CCACCCGAACGCTATCAGACAATCAAAATTTGCTAAAAATGAAAATAAAAATTTATTTCTTCCAAATTTATTACTCTAATCATCCAAAAATTACCTGAGTTCCAGTAGGGACCGAGCCCTTCGCAATCCTTAAGATTAGAGAATTTTATTTCAATTTTTAAGTAGTAGCACCTCCACCCGAACGCTATCAGACAATCAAAATTTGCTAAAAATGAAAATAAAAATTTATTTCTTCCAAAATTAAGGACTCTAATCATCCAAAAATTACCTGAGTTCCAGTAGGGACCGAGCCCTTCGCAATCCTTAAGATTAGAGAATTTTATTTCAATTTTTAAGTAGTAGCACCTCCACCCGAACGCTATCAGACAATCAAAATTTGCTAAAAATGAAAAAAAAAATTTATTTCTTCCAAAATTAAGGACTCTAATCATCCAAAAATTACCTGAGTTCCAGTAGGGACCGAGCCCTTCGCAATCCTTAAGATTAGAGAATTTTATTTCAATTTTTAAGTAGTAGCACCTCCACCCGAACGCTATCAGACAATCAAAATTTGCTAAAAATGAAAATAAAAATTTATTTCTTCCAAATTAAGGACTCTAATCATCCAAAAATTACCTGAGTTCCAGTAGGGACCGAGCCCTTCGCAATCCTTAAGATTAGAGAATTTTATTTCAATTTTTAAGTAGTAGCACCTCCACCCGAACGCTATCAGACAATCAAAATTTGCTAAAAATGAAAATAAAAATTTATTTCTTCCAAATTTTATTATTCTAATCATCCAAAAATTACCTGAGTTCCAGTAGGGACCGAGCCCTTCGCAATCCTTAAGATTAGAGAATTTTATTTCAATTTTTAAGTAGTAGCACCTCCACCCGAACGCTATCAGACAATCAAAATTTGCTAAAAATGAAAATAAAAATTTATTTCTTCCAAAATTAAGGACTCTAATCATCCAAAAATTACCTGAGTTCCAGTAGGGACCGAGCCCTTCGCAATCCTTAAGATTAGAGAATTTTATTTCAATTTTTAAGTAGTAGCACCTCCACCCGAACGCTATCAGACAATCAAAATTTGCTAAAAATGAAAATAAAAATTTATTTCTTCCAAATTTTATTATTCTAATCATCCAAAAATTACCTGAGTTCCAGTAGGGACCGAGCCCTTCGCAATCCTTAAGATTAGAGAATTTTATTTCAATTTTTAAGTAGTAGCACCTCCACCCGAACGCTATCAGACAATCAAAATTTGCTAAAAATGAAAATAAAAATTTATTTCTTCCAAATTTATTATTCTAATCATCCAAAAATTACCTGAGTTCTAGTAGGGACCGAGCCCTTCGCAATCCTTAAGATTAGAGAATTTTATTTCAATTTTTAAGTAGTAGCACCTCCACCCGAACGCTATCAGACAATCAAAATTTGCTAAAAATGAAAATAAAAATTTATTTCTTCCAAATTAAGGACTCTAATCATCCAAAAATTACCTGAGTTCCAGTAGGGACCGAGCCCTTCGCAATCCTTAAGATTAGAGAATTTTATTTCAATTTTTAAGTAGTAGCACCTCCACCCGAACGCTATCAGACAATCAAAATTTGCTAAAAATGAAAATAAAAATTTATTTCTTCCAAAATTAAGGACTCTAATCATCCAAAAATTACCTGAGTTCCAGTAGGGACCGAGCCCTTCGCAATCCTTAAGATTAGAGAATTTTATTTCAATTTTTAAGTAGTAGCACCTCCACCCGAACGCTATCAGACAATCAAAATTTGCTAAAAATGAAAATAAAAATTTATTTCTTCCAAAATTAAGGACTCTAATCATCCAAAAATTACCTGAGTTCCAGTAGGGACCGAGCCCTTCGCAATCCTTAAGATTAGAGAATTTTATTTCAATTTTTAAGTAGTAGCACCTCCACCCGAACGCTATCAGACAATCAAAATTTGCTAAAAATGAAAATAAAAATTTATTTCTTCCAAATTAAGGACTTCTAATCATCCAAAAATTACCTGAGTTCCAGTAGGGACCGAGCCCTTCGCAATCCTTAAGATTAGAGAATTTTATTTCAATTTTTAAGTAGTAGCACCTCCACCCGAACGCTATCAGACAATCAAAATTTGCTAAAAATGAAAATAAAAATTTATTTCTTCCAAATTAAGTACTTCTAATCATCCAAAAATTACCTGAGTTCCAGTAGGGACCGAGCCCTTCGCAATCCTTAAGATTAGAGAATTTTATTTCAATTTTTAAGTAGTAGCACCTCCACCCGAACGCTATCAGACAATCAAAATTTGCTAAAAATGAAAATAAAAATTTATTTCTTCCAAATTTAATTATTCTAATCATCCAAAAATTACCTGAGTTCCAGTAGGGACCGAGCCCTTCGCAATCCTTAAGATTAGAGAATTTTATTTCAATTTTTAAGTAGTAGCACCTCCACCCGAACGCTATCAGACAATCAAAATTTGCTAAAAATGAAAATAAAAATTTATTTCTTCCAAATTTTATTATTCTAATCATCCAAAAATTACCTGAGTTCCAGTAGGGACCGAGCCCTTCGCAATCCTTAAGATTAGAGAATTTTATTTCAATTTTTAAGTAGTAGCACCTCCACCCGAACGCTATCAGACAATCAAAATTTGCTAAAAATGAAAATAAAAATTTATTTCTTCCAAAATTAAGGACTCTAATCATCCAAAAATTACCTGAGTTCCAGTAGGGACCGAGCCCTTCGCAATCCTTAAGATTAGAGAATTTTATTTCAATTTTTAAGTAGTAGCACCTCCACCCGAACGCTATCAGACAATCAAAATTTGCTAAAAATGAAAATAAAAATTTATTTCTTCCAAATTTTATTATTCTAATCATCCAAAAATTACCTGAGATCTAGTAGGGACCGAGCCCTTCGCAATCCTTAAGATTAGAGAATTTTATTTCAATTTTTAAGTAGTAGCACCTCCACCCGAACGCTATCAGACAATCAAAATTTGCTAAAAATGAAAATAAAAATTTATTTCTTCCAAATTTTATTATTCTAATCATCCAAAAATTACCTGAGATCTAGTAGGGACCGAGCCCTTCGCAATCCTTAAGATTAGAGAATTTTATTTCAATTTTTAAGTAGTAGCACCTCCACCCGAACGCTATCAGACAATCAAAATTTGCTAAAAATGAAAATAAAAATTTATTTCTTCCAAAATTAAGGACTCTAATCATCCAAAAATTACCTGAGTTCCAGTAGGGACCGAGCCCTTCTCAATCCTTAAGATTAGAGAATTTTATTTCAATTTTTAAGTAGTAGCACCTCCACCCGAACGCTATCAGACAATCAAAATTTGCTAAAAATGAAAAAAAAATTTATTTCTTCCAAAATTAAGGACTCTAATCATCCAAAAATTACCTGAGTTCCAGTAGGGACCGAGCCCTTCGCAATCCTTAAGATTAGAGAATTTTATTTCAATTTTTAAGTAGTAGCACCTCCACCCGAACGCTATCAGACAATCAAAATTTGGTAAAAATGAAAAAAAAAATTTATTTCTTCCAAATTTTATTATTTTAATCATCCAAAAATTACCTGAGATCTAGTAGGGACCGAGCCCTTCGCAATCCTTAAGATTAGAGAATTTTATTTCAATTTTTAAGTAGTAGCACCTCCACCCGAACGCTATCAGACAATCAAAATTTGCTAAAAATGAAAAAAAAATTTATTTCTTCCAAAATTAAGGACTCTAATCATCCAAAAATTACCTGAGTTCCAGTAGGGACCGAGCCCTTCGCAATCCTTAAGATTAGAGAATTTTATTTCAATTTTTAAGTAGTAGCACCTCCACCCGAACGCTATCAGACAATCTTTGTATTTCTTCATTTATTTTAATTATTTGTTTTTTATTTTATTTCTATTTATTATACTTTTACTTATTTTTTAATTTTGATTCGTTCATTTTGTTGTTTGATAATTTTTTCAAAATTTTTAATTTGATGAACTGTTTTTGTCTTTTAACATATTAGTTTTCCTATTGTTAAATTCTGTTTTATAAAAAAATTCATTTGACAGATATTGGAAAATATTTACTTTTCTTTATTCTTTGGTAAATAGGAAAATTATTCTATATTCATATATAAATATAGAAATAAGTTTATATTTTTAATGAATGAGAATTAATTAAATAGACGCGAGACATATATTTGTATCACCATTATATTGGAATGTTATTTATTATTTGCTTATTAATGATTAATTGTAATGTTCTATATATCTACTGCTATAATTGATAATTAATCACAGAAGTGAATAATTTAACATTTAGGAAGTCTCTTTTCGTATTTTTAATTGAATAATTATTATTTTATAATTGATTGAATGAATGAATGAATATATCCTGACGATAGACTAAATTATTTTTAAATTAATTTACTTATTTTTATATAGGTTTCCTCTTATATTATCATAATATTTACATTTATTTTCATAATCAGAGTTAATTATTAAGAGTATAAATAATATTTATTCTATTATGAATAAATAATTGACGGTAAATGAAACTGAACATCGAAATCTTTTATCTTTTTTAAATTATTATTATTCTTTTTTTTCTCATTTATGAGATTCAATTTTTAAGGGGCTGAAAAGACCCTTTAGTACAATGTACTTAACAAAAAATGTTAATACAAAATTTTTATTTTATTACATATAATTTATCGTATAGTAATATGTAAGTCACAAATTGAAACAAAAAAAAATTTATTTATATCTAATTAGTATTTAATGCTTGGTATTTTTTATGCTGGGAGAAATGTTCTATTTATCATTTCATTATCATTTCCTATTTATAAAATTTCAAATGAAAAAATAGATTAAAATTTAAGATTGGAATCAATTTTTATACAAAAGAAAAAATACGGGTCATTTTGGTTTGATTTTAAATTTTATCGTCAACTCGCATATACACGAGGCAAATGAAATACTTCAACCCTTATAATTCTCTTGCAATTTCTGTTTGTGCTAGAAATTATTCTTCCAATATCCTCGTGTTTTGTGTATTATACACACATCTATGCATATAATAACAAAAAATTGTTGTTGACAATAATGACGAGTGCAATTCTCTCGCATTGCTCATTGTAAAACTATATACACACATATATGTCAAAGCCAATCACGCCCGTATTCGTTGATCTGTGCTTTAATTGCTAATTATTAGGTATTGATTTTTTTTTAATGGGGACGTAGCTTCTCGCGGAGAAAAGTGCGCGCGGGGGAGGCTGTTCGTCGGCTCGTAAGTATCCGGAACTACTTTTTACCTCGTTTAATAAAACACACCCTCACACACAAACACAAATACATTCTCGCACATTCGGCGCAGTAACAATATATATTTTGATTCCTCTGAATTTCCCCGCCAAACATTTGAATTTCGTCGTCTAGTTCAAATTTTCAAAATATTTGCCGCATATTAGAAAATTGTTTTTTTTTCCTTGAAAATTCGCTAATTGTGGAAATTCTACAGAGGGAATGAAAAGAGGGATGTTGAAATTGACGGAGAATAGAAATTTGTCGCAAGAAATTCACGACTAGGGGAAGAAAAATGGCGGACCAATTAAAGCTCGCGAATGAGAGTTGATACATTTTATTCTTTACATTCCAGGGATGAATCCGAGGATGAATCTCCTTACTTAGCAATTTTTTTTAATACTTTTTATTAATGACAAAAGTTGTAAATTGTACATAGAAGTTAATTTTTCGGGTAAATAAATTTTCGAGGTTTTTTGGGAAATGGGAAATGGGATTTGAGTAAGAATTATAAATGTACGAAAATAAGGGAATTGTATAGAGGAGGGTTGTAAATAAAACAATTGGATATATATGCTGTATAGATGAGAGAAGGAGAGAAAGAGAGAGAGAGAGAGACTGTGGTGTGTATATATATATGTGGGGGAGTGTATATATATTCTTTCTATATACATATGTTTTTCAAATCGACGAATGCTATTATATATTTTGTATTGAGCACTCGTTTCGGGGGAGACGCCGACGCCCGGCGCCGACGTCGTTTTTAAAGCGTCGACGGTGTCAGTAGTAATCTCGGCAATCCTAGAGGTCATAAGTAAAAAAGATCGTTAGAATAATCAACCCTCCGCGCCTATAGATGTTGGAATAATCTTGAGGATGCTGCGCTGAAAAATAGAAAAAAAAGAAAAGAGAATATGAAGCGTGTGACAACAATGAGAGAGAGAAATAAATTAATTTTAATAAATGGATAAATAAAATTATTTTCATTATGATAATGATAATAAAGAAGATGTTGATGATGACAATGATAATTATGATGATAAAAATGAAAATGACACGGATGTTGATGATGTAAATGACACTGAAAATGACGATGTAAACGACAATGATAATAACGATGTAAATGACAATGAAAATGCTGTAAATGATAATGAAACTTCTTTAAATGAAAATTCTTTAAATGAAAATGAAAATGCTGCAGATGACAAAGAAAATGATGTAAATGATAATGAAACTTCTGTAAATGATAATGAATCTTCTGTAAATGATAATGAAACTTCTATAAATGATAATGAAACTTCTGAAGATGCAAATAAAAATGCTGCAGATGCAAATGAAAATGCTGTAAATGACAATGAGAATGCTGTAAATGCCAATGATGATGATAATGATAAAGACAATGTGGATAAAGATCACAATGATCCTTTAAAGGAACTATACTTTTAGAGGTGAAAATTTAATTTCGACAAAAAGAAAGGATAATTTTTGGTACCTTTTGTTTTGAAATGGGCACGGCGGGACGTGATTTCGAGGAAAGGAATCACCATGATAATGACGAACAGTGCAGAATTTGTGCCAATTACGTGACAAGAAAGGAAGGTGTTGATATATTTGACGAGGAGGGAAAGAGACATTATCTACAGACGAATATACGTAAATATTTGTACATTTTGGTAAGTGTTTTGAATAAACACGTTGTGCTTTAGTTGTAACTCGCCATATTGGTTGTGTGGAAGATTTTTTTTCTTTTTTGGTTTTATTTTTTGAAAACCGGTGTCTGATGGCAGTTTTGATGCGCATCATCCACTTCTGTTTTGTAGTGAATCTTGATCATTTTACGCAAACGATATCGATTGGTGATTGTGATTATTGATATTCTAATGTATAGCCATGGATGCGCATTTGGTGTTAGATTTAAATGATTGGGGAATTTTTTGATTAATGACGAGAGCGAGTGTAAGTGTAGGAAAGGAGTAATGTAGAGCAGCATTTTTTATATGCCGTGTATAATTGATGTTGGCAATTAAGGTATTGCAAATAATTGGATTTAATTTCTAAATTTGATTTTTTGAGATCGTATTATGAGTGATGTGATATTAGTGAAGGTTTTCTATTCTCTTTTTCTTAATTAATTATTTCCGGTCGTGAATAAGATTAGTAGTGATTGAAGTTATTCTCTAGAATGCTTTTCGGTAGTAGAATTTACAATATGGACATTTTTAATTCTGTGTTATCTATAATAATTAGATCAATTAAGTAAGTTACTTTCTCGGACATTAGAATATTGTTTTGATTAAATAGACAATTTATAAATTGTCAAAACATAATTAAATTGTTGTAATGATAAATAATTAATATTTTTTTGTTACAATTTTGTAGGGATTATAATTTCAGTTTATTTTTAAAATTATTACTATAATGTGGTAATTATAATAATGGATTACAATAATAATATAATTATTATTAACCATTTTAATGATTCTTAAACTTAAGGACTATGATATAAATAAATACTCTCTAAATTAGAATTAATAATAAAAATGTTTACTAAGTGGAATTAGTGACTGAATTTTTGCTTTTGAATTAGTAAATTAATGGTAAATTTAGAACGTTTTTGGAACGAACATGGTTTTTTGCCCAGAGGACAAATACTAATTAGTAGAAATGATTATTATTTATTAGTAAAATTGACTAATTAAATTGATAATAATAATCACTAATTAGTAAACATTTTTATTCCTAATTCAAATTTAGAGATTACACACGTAAAAATAATGTACACTGCTATTAAGTTAAAAATACAAATAATTTTTTATTGCTAATTTACATCACAGCCCTTAGTCCCAAGGTTCATTATAATGGACAATATATTATTATAATATTATAGTAAATAATAAGGTTAAAAATAAACTAAAATTATAGAATCCAACTAAAATTATAACAAAAAGGAAAAATATTAATTATTTGGGAAAATAAATTTACAAGAAATTTAGTAAATTTAGCATAAAAAAAGTGTAGTAAATTTGTCATATGGAAAAAGTAATAACTATAATATAGGAAATTAACGATTATAGTAAATTTTACATGTGTCTTATAAAATTGTTGTCTATTTATTTTTTAATTTATTACATTTCTCATAATAATGAGAAATACTCGAATTTTCTCGAAAATTTTATTTGTCATAAATTCGGAAAATTTATTTTGTAAATTAATCTACAAATTTACAAAAGAAAGTATTGCTTTATTAAATTTTTACTAATAGATTTGTAATTTTTAATAGTAATAAATTTAATTTACTATAAAAAGATGTAATAAATTATTAGTAACAAAGAAGTAGTAAATTTACTACATTTCTTTTGTGAATATACAATAAATTTTTCTGTTGGCATACAACTTCATAATTCTTCGCAATTTTGATTTTCAAAATTTATTGTTTTTGTTTTTTTTTAATTTATCTAAATTTTTTGTTTATCATATTTCTAAAGTTTCGAACGTTCAAATTAACGACAATATTTTTGTTACTTCTTATAATTTGTAGCAATAATACAATAATAGAAATAATAATAATTTATAATTTGTATTTTATTTGAAAATTATTCTGTATACAAAAAAAATAATTCTTACCCAAGAAAAAATGTGTGATTTACATTATTTTCCATATTATTTAGTAAATTTTTGAAAATATTCAAACACAGAAAAATTTTGTTCATTTGAATGTTCAGAACTTTAGTAACTGTTTATCTTAATTTTGATGTTTGTTTTTTTATTGTAAAATTTTTTATAAGTTACTTCGAATTTTTTGTTCCTGTTGTGGAAAGATTCAGAATTAAATTATTAAAAACTTACTTATAAAATTTTTTAAATTATGTATTATTAATTAGAAATTATAATTATGAAAATCACTTTATCTGAAGGAAAAGTAAGAAAAATTATAGAAATTTTAAATATCATTGTGCTTTTTTCTGTTAGGAACAAAAAAAACTCCTCTAATATGTATCTGCAAATTAGTAAACAGTCATTAATTAAAATTTAAACTAGAAAATATTTTCTCAAACATTTTTCATAAAATTTATTCTATTTTTTAATTTCTGTATAATCTGAATTAGTAAAAATAAAAAGTTATTGTATTTTAAATTCAAACTAGAAAATATTTTCTCAATAATTTTTCATAAAATTTAAATTCAATTTTTAAAGTTTTTAATTATTTTAGGTATATATATTTAATGTTTATTATTTATTTTGAATTAAAGAAAAAACATCTTTGTTTGTCGAAAATTAGTAGTAGACAATAGTAATTGAGTTTTATTTAACTGCACTAAAAGAAATTGAGTTTATTAAATTTTATTAATTAATCAGTCTGATAATTATTATTATTATTATTATTATTATTATTATTATTATTATTATTATTATTATTATTATTATTATTATTATTATTATTATTATTAGTTTATTTTTACTTTTTTGAATCTCTATTTTCCCTTATCTCTTTATTTAATTTTGCTGGGTAAAATATTGTAGGTATATATTGCGATAGTAACGAACTGATGGGTTTGAAAAAGATGCCATTTATCCGTAATTCACCACAATTCGATTCAAATACATATTTCAAAGGTTTAAATAATAGTTTATTTTTATGTTGTATCTGAAATTTTTATTTCATATAAAAACTTTTTAATTTCTCGAATTTTTTACAATAATAATACTGTAGATTTCTTGCAAAAACTATACTGAAAAAAATTTTTATTTGCTTGAAATAACAGATTATTATGAAAATAAATATTTACTTGAATCAAATAATGTATTTATTTTAATCAATTAAATGGTATTTGCTTTGAATAATTAAATTATTAGTTTGAATATTTATTTATTTAATTTGTGATTATTACCTAATAATTGAAATAAATATAATTATTTGATTCAAGTAAATATTTATTTTGTAATAAACGAGCAATATTATTATTAAAAAAAATAATAATAATATAGTAATAATAATAGCAATTATATCTAAAAAATTATTTCAAATTCTCAAAATATTTTTTAATTTTGTTTAAAATATGAAAATGATTGTAAATTTGGTGGAAAAAAATGTTCTGAGGGTGAATAAGATGGAAAATAAATAATTTTGTAAATAATTTGCGGGAGTTAAAATGGCAATTCGGATTTCGCCGAATAAACGTAACGGCGACCTTTGTATTCCTGGGAGATGTAAAAGTGTTAAAAATTAGCATTTTATTGATTACCTCGAATACTGTACTGCATGCGCGCTATACACGAGTGCGCCTATAAATATAATTGGGATAAAGCGTCAGAGATGCTCCTGGACCTGACGTCTGATACGAAATAAATTATTCAAAAGGGCGAAATAATGCAGTTTACCAATGATTTCTTGCGTTCAAATTATTTAACAAAGTTTTACATTTAAATATTTTCCAAATTCAAATTTTACTTATTTTATTTTTCACTGTTTTGGAAAAACATAAAAATTATTGGCAAAACTTTCCTCTTATTGCAATTTTAATTCTCCGCTTTTTATATTGAGAAACTAATAAAAATAGCAAATTAATTATATAACAATTTAATTGTCATTTTATTGTTGTAATGATAAAATTATGATTTTTTTGTTGTAATTAAATTGTAATTTTGTTCTTATGACAATTAAATTATAGTTTTGTTCTTGTAATAATTGGGTTATAATTTTGTTATTGGAACAATTAAATGACATTTTTATTGTTGTAATAATTAATTTATAATTTAATTGTCATAAGAAAAAAATTATAATTTAATTGTCACATGAACAAAATTATAATTTAATTACTGCAATAACAAAATTATAAACTAATGATTACAATTAAAAAATTAAAACTTTGTTAGGTACTGAAATAATTAGATTATAATTTTTCACAATAGCTAAATTAGAATTTATTAAATTACTGCAATGACAAAATACTACAAACAAAATTTTTTATTGTACATTATAATTTTGTTATTGTGACAATTAAATTATTATTTAATTATTTTAATAACAAAATTATAATTTCATTGTCACAATAATAAAATTATAATTTCATTACTACAAAGACAAAATTATAAATTTGTTACTGTAATAATTAAATTATAGTTTTGTTGTCGTTACAATTAAATTATAATTTGTTCTTTTGAAAATTAAATTATAATTTAATTATTACATTATTTAAAATAATTATTGAATTATAATTTTGTTATTTTGACAATTAAATTACAATTTAGTTACTATGATAAGAAAATGATAATTTAATTGTCACAATAACAAAATCATAACTTAATTATTCCAGTAGAAAATTATAATTTTGATATTTTAGTAATTAAATAATTATTTTGTTATACTGCAGCAATTAAATTACAATTTTCTTTTTTTGACAATTAAATTATAATTTTTTTATTGTAATAATAAAATTACATAATTTTATTATTCTCTTATTATTGTAGTAATGAAATTACAATTTTATTATTGTAATAATGAAATGAAAATCAATAGTCTTTAGATTAATAATTAAAAAAATAAATTTTTATACTTGAGAAAAAGAATTATTTTTGTATTAATCACTTTCAAATTAATGAATTTAAATTTAAACGAGAAAAGGCTCAATTGTCGTTCGATAATTCCCAGTATAAATAAAATTAAAATCGGAACATTTTTAATTTGATTAATTTAAATTGAGTTTAATTAGTTAATTTTTTCTTTTATATTGGATATTTTTTTCAAGAGGAAAATTTTGTCTCAATAAATCGTTTCAATTTTATTTAGTCAATTAAATTAAGGTTTAATTTAAAAATAGTTTTGTTTTCTTTCAATAAATTGTGATATTATTTGAAAAAAATCAATTAAAAAGGAATTTTTAATATTGTTAAATAAATAATTTATTAAATATATTTTTTTTTATTTTTCTGTAAGTATTTTACTCTTCTTTGTTTTTTGTCAAATTTTTTGTTTTATTTCTAATCAGTTTTTTAGTAACAATAATAGTTCACACCTCGAACCTAAATTCTTATAAAAAAAAGAGTAAATAAAAATATTTTTTTTATTATTGTTTTTGTATTTTACTTTGTAGGTACATAATTATTTTTGTCAAATTTTATATTTTATTTCTAATATTCTTTTTAGTAACAAATGGTTCATCTCGAACTGAATTCTTTAAAAAAATTAATTAATAAATAAATAAATAAATAAAATAAAAAATATAATTATCATAAAATTTTTTTAAAAACGAAGAAAAGTAAAATACAAAAGAAATAATAAAAAAATAACTAAATTCGTTAGAATAAATTTTAATTTTAGAAAAAAAAAAATCTTTAGAGAATTGGAGATGCGTTTTTAAAAATAATTTTCAACTATGAATTATGAATGAGGTCAATTAAGGTGAGATTTATTTTCAGGTATCATCCGAAGATAAATTACCTAAAATGGTGTGTATAACGTGCATCAAAAGGTTAGAGGGTATTCACCGATTTGCAATGATGGCCTGTCGAACGCAAGAATTGCTGAAATTAAAATTATATGGAGTTTTTGATAATGTCGATTCAACTCAAGACATGGACATCAGAGCAGAGATCAGAGATATTGAAAATTCGGGCAAGAAAATTGAGGAGAAAAGTTTATTACATTCCATATTAACTAAGGTATAATTTCGTTTTTTGATTACTAATTTATTTTATATTTTTTAAATAAAAAGAAGAGTAGTAGAAAAAAAAATTTCCAACTTTTATATTTAATAATTTTACAATAAAGAAAATTTGTAGATTTTTAAATTAGTGGAATGAAAATAAATTTATAGATTTATAAATTAGAGGAATAAAAATAAATTTTTAGATTTATGAATTATTAGAGGAATAGAAACAAATTTGTAGATTTATTTTTTAATTAGATGAAAAAAATGTGTAGATAAAATTAATAAATTTTTCTTTTTTTACAGGGCGCTCTTGAAATTTTGGGTGATGGCGATTCCAAGACACCACCATCCGAAACATTGTCACAAGAAGAACACACTCCAAATACTGAAGAAATGGAAGTTAAAGTTGATCCTATGTTATTTTTACAATGCGGACTTGAGGAACCTTCCTCTGAAATGTCCGAGATTTCTGACAACGAATGCGACGAACAAGATTTAAAAATGTCGCCGACTGAACCATTATCTTTAGTTAACAAGTTGGTATTTTTTACTAATATCCCAATTTTTACTGAGGTTTTCATTTAAATTTTCATCTAAATTTATTTTCCTAAAAGTTTTTTAAAAATATTTTTAAAAAAACTACAATTTTTTTCTATTTCTGACAAGAATGAATTTTTTTAATATTATTTAATTATTTCAAAACTTTTCACGAAATTATTAACATAAATAACAAAACTCCACTGAAATTTAGTTATTTTTAGGAATTTTAATAAAATTCTTTGCAAAATTCAATTATTTTCAAAAATAACAATATTCATCACAGGAATTCAATTATTTTCAAAAATTTTAACGAATATCTCGTCAAAAATTCAATTATTTTTATAAATAGCAAAATTTTTCACCAAACATTCAATTTTATTCAAAAATTATTCTTAAAAATTTTAATAAGACTCGACGACAGAATTCAATTTTAAGAAACATTTAATTATAGAATAAAATAATAAAATTCTTTGCAATAATTCAATTATTTTCATAAATAACTTTCAATTCGTCACAGAAAATCAATTATTTTCAAAAATTTTTAAGTAATTCTACAAAAGAATTTAATTATCTTGTTAAATAGCAAAATTCTTACCATAAAATCGATTATTTTAAAGATTTTTAATGAAATTCTTTTCCAAGATTCAATTATTTTGATAAATATCTGAATTTATTATAGAAGAATTCAATTCTTTTGAAAAGTAATAAAATATTTCGCAGGGATTCAATTATATATTTACAAAAATTTTTAATAAATTTCTTCGAAATAATCCAATTATTTTCATAAAGTAGATAATAAAACTTCCACAGGAATTCGCAATTATTTAAAATTTGTATTTTAAATAATTGCGAATTTCTGTGGAAAATTTGATAAAATTTTTAGAAAACTATCAATTATTTAAAAAGATTTTTATAAAATTCGTCGAAAGAATTAAATATTATTTTTAAAAAATTTAACAAAGTTCTTTTCACGAATTCAATTATTTTTATAAATAATAAAATTCTTCACCGAAATTCAATTATTTTTATAAACTTGAATAAAATTCTTATAGCAAGAATTCAATTTTTTATAAAAATAATAAAATTCTTTACAGAAATTGAGTTATTTTTATAAACTTGAATAAAATTCGTTGCAAAAATTCAATTATTTTTAAAAGTAATAAAATTCTTCGCAGAAATTCAATTATGTTCAAAAATTAAAAAAAAATTATTGTCAAAATTTAAAATTTTAATTATTTTCATAAATAATAAAACTCATCGCAGGATGAGTAATAAATTTCTTTGATGAGATTCAATTATTTTCAAAAATTAAAAAAAAATTCTTGTCAAAATTTCAATTATCTTTATAATTAATAAAATTATTCCTATGAATGCAATTATTTTCATAGATTATTATTTAAATTCTTTAAATGAATTCAATTCTGTTTTTAAAATTTTTAATAAAATTCTTTAAAAGTTTTTAATTATTTTCAAAAATTGTGATAAAATTTTTTAATTCAATAAATTTCTGTAAATTTTTATTAAATTCCATAAAAAATTAATTATTTTCAAAAGTTGTTAATAAAATTCTTCATAAAAATTTAATTTTAAGAAACATTCAACTATTCAATAAATTATTTATTTCTGTACTTAAATAATTGAATTTTCGTAGAATTTTCTAATAAAAATTGATTTAAAAATGAATTTTAATTATAATTTGAGATAATAATTCAATATTAAAAGCATTATAGCATGAATTTTTAGAAATAATTGAATTTTGAAAAGATTTTAAATTAAAATCTTTGAAAATTTGAATTTTTCATTTTTTTTAACTATCAATTCTGTAGAATTAATTTTTTTGTAAAAGTTTAATTCAATTTTTTTAAAATTATTTGAAGTTTTTATTTTCTAATATCTATTTAAATAGAGAATTTTTGAATAATAAAAGTTTTTGGTAAAATTGAATTATAAACAAATGGATTTGAAAATTCTCAAAGGAATTTTTTCAAAAATTATTAAAAATAATTGATTTAAAAGAATTTTAGTTAAAAATTCTAGAAAACAGTAATAGTTGAATTTAAATGATGAAAATAATTTCGAAGAAGTTAGAGTAACAATATTTTTTATATAAAATAATAATTTTATCTTTGGGTTATTTTTAATTATTATAAAAGCATGAAGAAATCGATCACTCCGAGTTGAAGACTCGGAGAGATCGATACCTTCATGTTTTATTATAATCTTCTTATAAGTTGTTAAATTTCAAAAAGGTTTGAATTCGAATCTTTTGAAAAATTTTAATTCTTACGAAAAAATAATAAATAAATATTTATTTAAGAATGAAGTTATTGATGTATTCGAATAATTTTACTATTAAAGAAATTTCGTAAATAAATTCAAATAGAACATTTTTTTGAGTATCTAATAATTTTAGAGTGAATCAGAATATTCTTTAGGGTCAGGGAAAAAATTTTGAGGACAATTTTACTGAAATTTGAATTCGTTTTTTAGATTACACGAAACAAAAGATGACTTGAAAGATGAAGATAATGATGTTGATGATGAGGATGAAGATGATGATAAAAAGCCGTCCGAGGAAAGTGACGAGGACATTTCAAATACATCAATAAAATCTCATAAATGTACAATATGCTCCAGGTCTTTCATGTCACAAATTAGTTTGCAAGATCATCTCTGGTCACATATTCCCAAGGAGAGACGATTGGAACGAAGGACAATGTTGAAGTCACACTATTCAACAAATGGAGTGCTTCAAGTGAATGCCGATAGTAATGCAAGCGGAAATTTTATTTGTCCAATTTGCAGTAAAAGAATTTCCACGAAAGGAAATCTTAAAGTACATTTGGAAACTCACAGGCCTAAGGGAAAATACGGCTGTGATATTTGCGGAAGAATGTACGTTTCAATTTTATTCGATAATATTTTGGTTGCAGAAATTTTCTTTCTGAAATTTAGTGAAAATTTATTATTTCTTTAAAAAATAGATAATTTTTGGAAATAGAATTCTTCAAAAGTACGATTATATTTAGAAACAATTTTTAAAAGTAATAGAATTAAATTCTTTCAAATATATAATTCATTTCAATGATATTTGTCGAAATTTTTGATTGTTTCAATTTTTTAAATTATTTTCGAGAATTCAATTATCAGGGTTGCCATAAATATTTAATTTCATTTTTCCCTGATTTCCAAACAAAATTTTGACTTTTTCCCTGACCCTAAAGAATAATTATTATTGTGCCGTAAAAATTAAAATTCTTCAAAACATTCAAATTCAAACCTTTTTGAAATTCAACAACTTATAAGAATATTATTACAAAAAATTGCCATAAAATTTTTCAAAAAAGTTGATTATTTTCAAAAATCCTAATAAAATTCTTCGCAAGAATTCAATTATTTTTACAAGTAGTAAAATTTCTCAAAAAAATTCAATTATTTAAAAAAAATGTAATAAAATTCGTTGCAATAATTCAATTATTTTCATAAATAATAAATCGATTATTCGGAAATTTATTTTTAAATCAATTTTTATCAGAAAATTCTAGAAGAATTCAATTATTTAAATTAAAAAATAAATAATTTATCGAATAATTGAATGTTTGTTAAAATTTAATTCTCATAAAGAATTTTATCAGCAAATTTTTAAATGTTTGAATTCTTTTGACAAATTTTAATAAATTTTTTAAGAATAATAATTACATTTTTCAAGGAATTCGATTAAAATTGTATCAAAAATAATTAAAATCATGCGATGAGTTTTATTATTTATGAAAATAATTAAAATTTTCCCAAGAATTTTATTAAAATTTTTCTAAAATAATTGAATTTCGGAGATGAATTTTATTATTTATAAATATACTTGAAATTTTGACAAGATTTTTTTTTTAATTTTTGAACATAATCGAATTTCTGCGAAGAATTTTATTACTTATGAAAATAATTGAATTCTTCCAACGAATTCTATTCAAATTTATAAAAATAACTGAATTTCTGTGAAGAATTTTATTATTTTTATAAATAATTGAACTCTTGAAAAGAACATTGTTAAATTTTTTTTTAAATAATTGAATTCTTGTGACGAATTTTATTAAAATCTTTTTAAATAATTGAATTCCTGTGGAAATTTTATTAGTTATGAAAATAATTTAATTATTTCGAAGAAATTTATTAAAAATTTTGTAAATAATTGAATTCCTGTGAAATTTTGTCAAGAATTTTATTAAAATTCAAGTTTATAAAAATAACTAAATTTCTGTAAAAAATTATATTATTTTTATAAATAATTGAATTCTTGGAACGAATTTTATTCAAGTTTATAAAAATAATTGAATTTCGGTGAGGAATTTTATTATTTTATAAAAATAATTGAATTCTTGAAAAGAACTGTGTTAAATTTTTTTTGAATAATTGAATTCCTGAGGAAATTTTATTAGTTATTAATTGAATTATTTCGAAGAGATTTATTAAAAATTTTGTAAATAATTGAATTTCTGTGAAATTTTAGCAAGAATTTTATTAAAAATTTTTAAAATATTTAAATTTCGAAGAAGAAATTTATTATTTAAAAAGATAATTGAAATTTTAACGAGAATTTGTTTTAAAATTTTTAAATATAATTGAATTTTTGCGAAGAATTTTTATAACTTTTGAAAATAATTGAATTTCTTGAATTATTTGTAATGTTTCCAAAATTTAATTTTTTCAGTATTTTTAACTAAAATTTCTATTTTAATAATTAAATTTAAATTAAAAATAATTAAAAATTATTTTTTTTGTTTTAAAATTATTTGCTTTCTTTCAGCATTTTGTATTTTGGTAGTGTTGGTATTTTCGTAATTTACGAAAAGAAAATTAATTTTTTACTAAATTTAATTATTTGTTATCTAATTTTGATAGTATATTAATAATAATTCAGGGATTACATTTTTCAGATTTAAAACGCAATCGAATCTTTTTCGTCACAAGGAATATCACGGTGGCATTCAATTTCCATGCAATGTTTGCGGGCGAGTTTATCCGACGAATTCAACATTAAGGGCTCACAGTATAACGCACTCGGACTTGAGGCCTCACGCGTGTCCTCTTTGCGACAAAACTTTTAAGCGCAATCAGGATTTGAAATTTCATATAAATCAACACACAGGTGCCAGACCATATCAGTGTCCCTATTGTCCAAAAGCCTTTGCAAGTTCAGGTAATTGTTTTTCGCATAGAAAACGAATGCATCCTCGAGAGGTTCATCGAGATAGGCAGAGAGCCGCTGATTTGATGAGATGAACCGAGGGCGGTCGTTTTGAAGAGTGGTTTTAGATTTAGGAGAGAAAATAATTAATTAATATATATTATATATTTAATATAGGACCGGGGCAATTTAGATGCAATTCTTTTTTTATTTTATTGAATAATTTTATTTCTTGTTTTTAGAACTCGAAAGAAAATAATTTTAATTATAATAATAATTTAATTACAGTATTTTTCTAACGATATCAAATTGAGACAAAAAATGTATCAAAATTGTTGAGAAGCAACGTTTTGATATCCCTAGAAAAACTGTGCTATTGTTTAATTATTTTTATTATTATTACTATTATATATTTTTTATTTATTTAAACAATATACGGGCTTACATTAATAAAAATAAATAATAATAAATTATTGCTATTTTTTTTTGATTATTTTTTTGTTTCTAGAATTTTTCTTGTGGGAACAATTAAATTTTATGGTTTGAATTTAATATTTTCTAATTTTTATACATAAAGAGGATCAATTATTATTGGAAATAGTATTCTTTAAAAATCTTTTTTTTTTAAATATACATAATATACTAAGTTACAAATAAAAAAATACATTTCATCGAAAAAATTTAAAGCCAGACAATTAATATAGAGTAAAAGTTTTTAATAAGTGCTGTGAGAGAAAGAGCTTTTTAAACTAGCAAAATAATTAAATAATTATATCAAAGAAATAAATAAAACAAAAGAATTAAATTAATTGACGTAATAATAGAAAATGCATTTGAATATTTTAATGTAAATTGCCAGGGTTGCCACAGGTTAGGGAATTCAGGGAAAAGTCAGGGATTTTCATTAAAAAGTACAGGGAAAAAATTGAATTTTTAGAATTCATAAGAAAATTCTGAATTTAATATTCAATATTATTTAAAAAATTTTTATAATAAAATTTCTTGCAAGAATTTAATACTTTTCATAACTAATTAAAATTTATCGCAGAATTTCTGTAATATTTTTAATACAATTTTTAATTAATTCCTAAAAAAATGCAATTATTATTTTTTAATTTTTTATAAAAATTCTTCAAAAGAATTCAATTATTTAAAAAAATTTGATATAATTTGTTTATTAGATTTTAATAATTATTTACAATACACTTTTAATTAAATTTCTTGGAAGAATTGATTTATTTTCAAAAATTGTAATGAAATTTTTCAAAATAATTAAATTACCAAAAATTTTAATAAAATTCTTCGTAGAAATTTAATTAATTTCAAAAATTACAAATGATTGCAGCAATTTAATTATTTTTAAAATTAATAAAATTCTGTGCAGAGATTCAAATATTTTCAACAATAATTAAAAAAAATTCTTGTCAAAATTTCAATTATCTTTATTAATAATAAAATTCTACTCCGAAATTCAATTACATATTTTCAAAAAATTTAATAAAATTTGTTGGCAAAATTTCAATTATTTCAAAAGAATTTTTATAAAATTCTACGTAAACGTTTAATTATTTTTGCAAATAATAAAAAATTCACAGGAATTCATTATTTGCATATTTTTTATAAATTTCTTCGTAATAATTAAATTATTTTTTTATAAATAATAAAATTCCTTTTAAGAATTTAATTATTTTCATAAATAATGAAACTTATCGCAGAATTTAAATTATTTTTAATACAATTTTAATCGAATTCCTTGAAAATTGTAATTATTCTTAAAAAGTTTATTAAAATTCGTCAGAAGAATTAAATTATTTAGGTTGATAAAATTCTTTAAAAGAATTCAATTTTAGAACACATTGGATTATTCAAAAAATTATTTATTTTTCTATTTAAATAATTGAATTCTCGTAGAATTTTCCAATTTTTTAAAATAAATTTCATTTAAAATTTTAGATAGTAATTGAATTCTAAAAGCATTAAAGCTTGAATTTTTTTTTAGAAATAATTGAATTTTGAAAAGGTTTCAAATTACAATCTTTGAAAATTTTAATTTTTCATTTTTTTAACTAACAATTCTGTAGAATTTTATTTTTGAAAAGTTTTGAATTTTGTTTACCTACATTATTTGAATTTTTTATTTTCTAATATATATTTAATTGAAGAATTTTCTAATAATGGAAATTTTGTAAAATTGAACTGTAAACAAATGGATTTGAAAATTCTCAAAGAACTATTTTAAAAATTATTAAAAATAATTGATTTTAGAAAATAAATTAAATTTTTGTGGCAACCCTTATATAACAGTTTTAATTCTTTTATAATTTCTTTATAATTAATTTTTGTATAAATTATATTTTTGTAAGTATAATTTTTTTTTCTTGTTATTACACTTTGATGATGCAAAGTCAATAAAAAAAGATTCTTTGTTAATGAGTACTTAGTGGAAGCAAATAAGGGAAAAGGCATAAAATTTCATAACCAGAAAATAATACGAGAGAACTTTTTATTTAAGTAAATTAATCAGAATTTTAATTGTTTATTATTTTATGTTCTTTTTTACATTTTATTTTATTTATTTTCAATTATATTTTTTATGTTTGCTGTTTCGAATCATTAACAACAAATAACAGTGTCATAAAAAAATTTATTTTTTTATAATTGTTGAGAAAAATAGTATCAAAATTACTTTTGATGATGGTTATGAAATTTTGATTACTGAAACTTTTACTTACTGAAACAAGATTATTTTACTAATTGTCATATAATATTGCGAATACGATAAAAAAATTTTAGATATGTGCTTTATAAATTTCTCGAGGGATGCGTGGTAAATAATATTTTATCTATATAATATGAATGACAAAAAAATGTATATTTTAGCTCATATATATATATACTATAAATAACGCGAGAGAGACTCGCACAAGTCACGTAGCACAAAAAGAAAATTAATAAATTACAAAAAGTATATCAATAAAATTAATAAAATTAATGAAATTGATGAAAATAATTATTATTCTACGTGATTTTTTGTTATTTGCGAAAAAAAATGCCACGTAATAATTTTAATTCAGTTTTCCATTATTTAGCTCCTTATTTACTTATACTTTATAAATAAAAAAATTCGCATTTAAAGACTGTTGGCAAAATTATGTGTCAAATTAGAATAATAAAGTAGAAATTCAATTTCGTATGATGATGTAAAAAAAATACATTTTGTATTTAATGAAGATCTTTGTAGAAAAAAAGAGGAAAATTTTTTCTGTTTTTTGTAAAAGATTTGCTCTTTTTTTGTCGCACCGAGAGAAAATTTTTTCCTACCACGTGATCTCCAATATTTACAGGTATATATAGTTATTTATGTATAGGTATTTATATACAAGTAGAAGTAAAAAAGAAAAAGAATTACCAGGAAAAAAAATATAATATATATATAATAAAACAAAAAAAAAATACCAGTTAGAATTCTACACAGTCGTATTGCTATTCTTGTAAACAAAAAATGTATAATTAATAAGTTTAAAAAAAAGTATTAAAATATAAATCCTGAAGTCTGAATAGTTTTTAGGATAATATCTAGACATTTAGATGATATAAAAAAAATATCGTAGTTTGTGCTTCCGAAGAAGATATATATATATATATATATATATATGATAATTAATTTTTAAATAAAAAAAGCACTTGTATGCCAAAAATGTTTTAGAATGAGAGTAAAGATTGATTTTACCTGTGCTGAGCACGATTTCTAAAGCACAAAAAAAATTAAATAAATAAAAATAAACAAGCAAACGCATCAAGTTGCATGACCTGAGAAAAATAATATTAACACAAGGACATTAATAATTTAATAATAAAAAAAAGAAAAACAAAAATTGAGAAACGAATAATACAGCTTTTCTGCAATAGTTATATATAATATATATCATAGATATAAATAGTTATTGAATATGTATTTTGTGATTGCGTTTTTTCAAAGACTACTCATGGGATAGAGAAATATATAAACAATATAATTAGATACATAGTTTACATATAGGGAAAAATTAATTTTAGGAAATTAATTATAATAATTTATTGTGATATTTAGTTTTAGAAGCAGCTCATCGATTGTTCGAAAATTCATTTTTTTAAAGGGGTTTTCCGCTTTTTTTTAATTATTGTTTTTATGATTGTTATTTTTATTATTATTACTATTACTATTGTTATTATCGTTGTTGTTATTATTATTTTTTTGTTACAACCGTTTTTTGTATTTATTTGTAATAAAATAAACAATAACATTTTATTGTTTAATTTATTCTCTTATAAAATAATCACAAAAAATGTTTTTAATAAATAAAAATTTATTTATTTATTTAAAATTTGGACGGACAAAAAAGTCCTTAACAAGAGAAATTTTATAATCTAAAGAAAATTACAAAAGAAATGAAAAATTAATTAATTAAACCAAATTGCTTTTAATTAAAAATATTTCTTTTATTTTATTTCTTTCATAATTTTGAATTTGGAAATAATTTATTTTTTATAAAGAAATTTATCCAAATTTTTCAAAATAATTAAATTTCTGGCGAAAAATTTAATTAAAATTTTTGAAAATAAAATTCTAATGAGAAATTTTATTATAAAAAAATTAAAAATATTTAAATTTTTATAAAAAGTTTTATCAAATTTTTTGAATATAATTGAATTTCTGCGAAGAGTGTTATAATTAGCAATTTTTTAAAAATATAATTGACTTTTCGTACAATTGTTTTAAATAGTTGAATTCTTTCGACAAATTTTATTACATAATTATTTTTAAATAATTGAATTCTTTCGAGAAATTAGATTATGAAAATAATTAAAATCATGGTAAGAATTTTATTAAAATTGTACTAAAAATAAGTGAATTCTTATGACGAATTTTTGCCAAAATTTTTCAAAATAATTGCATTGCTGGACGAAGAATTTTGTTATTTAGGAAAAGAATTAAATTATTTTCTTATTGATAATTTTATTGAAATTTTTTAAAATAATAAAATTTTTGCCAAGAATTTTAATACATTTTTTAAAAATAATTAAATTCCTGCAAAAAATTTTGTAAATTAAGAAAATAATATTTAAATCTTTTAATTAATAAAATAATTTTAATTGATAATATGTATTTCAATTTTCAAAGAATTTGATCAAAATCTTTCAAAATAATTCATTCCTGCGAATAATGTTATTAAAGTTTGGAAATAATTGATAATAATTAATTAGTTAATAATTGAATTTTTTAAAATTTTGTATCTGAAATTATTCCTAAATTGACATTAATATTTGAAAATAAATTTTTTTTTACTTTTCATAATTAATAAATTAATTAATAATTACCTACTACTATTAATTATTAAGTAGAGTAAAGTAATAATATTTTTTGTTTATTTTATTACAAAATAGTTACAAAAAACAGTAAAGTTGTAACAAAAAGCATAATAATAATAATAATAAAACTGATAATGATTATTATTAATTAATAATTAGTTAGATTGAAGTAAATAATAGTAATAATTTAAGTTTATGATTTGGTGGTATCATTTTACATTCCACTCTTTTATTTATTATGATTATAATATTATTATTTTAAATAAAAGGGGGTCGGTATGTCTACGGAAAAGATTAAAAACATTTTAAATATTTTTTTTTATTTCTCCAGGTATTAGAAAAATAGAAGGAGAAAATAAAAGATTTATTAATTTTTCATCTTTTCCGTAGAATTTAGAATATTTATTATCCTTTTATTCCTTATATTTTATAATATATTTTCTCTAGCGATATAATAGTATTGATAATATTAATAATATATAGTTTTAATGACATTAATGTTATTTATATATTATTATTATATTGTTAATATATTGATATTATTAATAATATGCGATAATAATAGAAATAAATAAATGACAACAACGTATTAATTATTGTTACACAAGCCAAAAAGAAAAAAAGTGAAGAAAAGTAGTGCCAAATGCAATAATAATACTAATATAAATTACAAAAAAACAAACAAATAAAAAGTGCAAAAAGAATGTTTTTCTTATTAAAATATCAATTGCTGAAAATTTTTGATGAGAAATTAAAATGAAAAAAACAAAAATAAATTTGAAATTGATTTATTGATTCTCATAATATGGAAGTCAAGGTAATATGACGTAATATGTATAACATGTATTCAGTATCAGATTAGGATTTGCAATAAAATCCCCTTGTATAAAATGCATTTTTATTACTATTTTATTGAATCTCGATAAATATGTATTTTTTATACATTTTACTCGAATTTATTATAATTTTAATAGATTCATTCAATCATTCCATTGAGAAAATATTTTTAGCTATATTATTGATTTATATTATAAAAATTTTCAATTATAACACGGAAATTTTATTATTTTCAGAAACTAATATTAACATTAATAAATTATTATAATAATTTATTTAATTAATTGAACCGCCGGTGACCAAAAGAAACACTTTTCTAAAAATTTTAATTCAATTAATAAAATCATTTAATAATAAAGAATAATAAAACTAATTTTTAATTAATTTTGCTTTTAATAAAAGTTTTCTTTATTTGGAAATTATTGGATATTAAAAAGGAATATAGAGAGTACAATTTTATACACTTTTTTGTATAATACTCATAGCCTTTTTATTTATTACAGTTTTAGGTTTTAAACTGATAAACTCGTCTTCCTTCACTGTACCTATTGTTTCATTTATTTATTTATTATAATTTTTTAAAATCAACAATTATAATTTATCTTTAGTTCACATTTTTTTATTCTACATCTTTTGCGCTTTTGGATTTTTAAGTTTTATTAACATTTTCTTTAAATTAATCATTTGAAATATCAGTGAATAATTTTTAACGTTTTGCAAAAGTATTTAAAAATGATTTGAATTTTCTAAATTTCTTAAAAGTTTTATTTCTTTTTATAATTTTTAAAAGTTTTTAACTTTCTTAACATTTAAAAAAGATTATAACGTTTTTTAATTTCTAAAATAATTTTCAACTTTATTTTTTAAATTGTATAAAAAAAAGTTTATTTTTATTTTAAAATAATGAAAAAGTTAATAAAAATTTGGCTTAATTTTTCAACTTAGCTTGCAAAATCATTTAAATTAAAATTAGTAATAATTTTATCAATAATTATTCAATGCTTAAAAATCTTTGACTTTGATTAAATTCAAATTAGAATGTAACGAAAAAAATACTGACAATTATAAGACAATTATGTGAAAAAATTATTTTTTTGGAATAAAATCTCATTAATTAAAAGGAAAATAGAAAATATTTATGAAACTAATTTGTAATATAGAAAAATAATTTGAAAACTAACCTATTATTCACTCACTTCTGGTTTCACCAAATATCTATCAATGTAATGAAGTATTTCAAAACCAACTTCAACCATAATAAGAATTATTATCATCCACTCTAATCGGACATGGTGTTTGTCACTTAAATGCGATGACAGAAGTTCCACGAGTTCCACACAATGGTTTATTTTCTCATTCATCACCTAGGCAATAAATAAATCATTAATAAATTAATTAATAAACAATAGATCATTTAAATAATAAATTATTTACTACAGGTAAATTAGAATTTTAGAAAAAATTTAAAAAAGGGAATTTGATTAAATCAGAAAGGTAATATATTATTATAATTTAATTGAAATTGAAATTGAATTTTCCTAAAAATTATTACACTTACTCTGGTGCGTTTATTAATATTAAAATTAGAACAAGTTTGATGATAAAGATTTTCGAGATCGTCACGTTCCCAGTAAAAATCGGGAGTATCGAGTAAATCTGAACTCAAATTAATTAAATGCCTTAGAGCAAAGAGTTCTCCCTGTTTCCTCAGTACTTGTTCTCGTGTCATTTTAATACTTCTGCCGGCTTTCAAATCCTCAGTGACAAATTCAATTGAGTCTACATAATGATTCAATGACGCCTCCCATATTCCCAATTTCACTGATTGAGCTATTGCATTTGAAAATGTATACTTGTCGTATTCATTTGCATCGGAAGCTAAAATTATGTTTCCCTCCTTCAAGTGACTCCTTTTTCTAAAATTCAGTTATACAAAAGACAAATAAATTTATTTCCATTTCTACTTTTTCCAAGAAAAAAGAATTAATTTAGAAAATTTACAAATTTCAAGAAAAAAATTCTAAACGTTCAAGATGAATGAAATGTTTTCAAAAATTATTCAATTTGATAAAAATTAAAAATCGAAATGAAAAATTTGGAGTGCTTATAAATTGTGTTTTTAAACGTAATTTTAATATTTTTATAATAAAACTAGCATAACTATTTTTTAAACTCCTTGTCAGTTACAAAAACTTTCTTTTTAAAATTTAATGAAAATGTATTATTTTTTAAAAAATGTAATTTTTCAAAATCTGATTCTTCAAAAACACGATTACAATTCAAAATAATTTTTGAAAGTAAATAAAATTAAATTCTTTTAAATATAAAATTTATTTCAATGGAATTTGACGAAACTTTTAATAGTTACAATTTTTTAAATTATTTTCGTGAATTCAATTGCCTTCAAATAAATGATTACAATTTTTGAAAAATCGAATTCTTTTTTCGAATTTCTAAATTAAATTATTCAAAAATTCAATTATTTTTTAAAACATATTTAAGAACTTATTGTTCTTTATTTTAATTGCAATTTCAAATAATTTCAATGTAGAACCATTTGAAATCTAATTCTTTCTAAAAATTACAATTGGAAATTTTCGAAAAGTTCAATTGAATTTTTTTTTTAAATCAATACTTATTAGAAATTAACGATAATTGAATTATTTAAATACAAAAATGTTTGTAAAATTTAATTATTCTCCAAATTTTTAGTTACAATTTTCCAAAAAAATACAATAATATTTAAAAATAATTTTTTCAAGTGAGAAAAAAAAATTCTTTCAAAAATAAAATTTATTTTAATAAAATTTGAGAAAATTTCCTATTTCTTCAATTTTTAAAAATAATTTTCGGGAATTCAACTGTTTTCAAAAAATTTTAATTAGGGTTTTTTATAAACCTCATTTTTTTCTGAATTTCTAAATTGAATTTTTCAGATTTCATTAGTTTTGGTAAACAAATATTAATAAATATTTAAATAATTATTGACATTTACTTTAATTGAAATTTCAAATAATTTAAGTGTAAAAACTTTTGAAAATTAATTTTTTCTAAAAATTAAAACTGCAATTTTTTCAAAAGTCAATTATTTAAAATTCTTGACTTAAATGTATGTAATTATTTTTTTAAATTTTCTGTTTCAACGCTTCTAATATTTAATTATAATATTTCAACTAAAATTCTTTTTTAAATCAATTCTTATTAGAATTCAACAAAATTGATTTATTTCAATAAAAATTTTTTTGTAAAATTTAATTATTTTCTAAATTATTAATCATAATTTTTTAAAAAATACAATAATATTTAAAAATAATTTTTTAAAGTGAGAAAATAAAATTTTTTTAAAAATAACATTTATTTTAATGAAATTTGAGAAAATTTACTATTTTTTCAATTTTTTAAAATTATTTTCGGGAATTTAACTATTTTTAAAAAATTTTGATATAAATATTATATGAATTGGATAAAATTGAATTAAAATATATTACCCTTTTTCGGAGTAAGTATAGGACATTATTTCACCTTCGGCGTTTGTTAAATCATCTGCATAACTGTTGTCTTCGTAATTTTTTAAAAATTGCAAAACATTACCCAATTCTAATTCCGAAATATTCCACATAACAACTGTTCCTTCTCTGAAGAAGTAAATTTCACGAGGTTCTAGACCAACTTCGTATTTTGGAACTGCTTGAATTACATCTGGTGCAGCTGTTTAAAAAAAAAAAATATTATCGTATTTTCAAAATAATAATAATTTTTAATTTCAATATTTAAGATGTAAAATGACTAAATAGAAATAAATTACGAAAAAATTATTTCTATATTTAAGATGAAAAATGGCAAAATAGGAGATAAATTACGAAAAGTAAATAGGTTGGTAATTGAAAAAATTTATAATTATTATTTTACTTACGTTTAGTAGATGTACGAAATTTTTGAGGAATGTATAAATCTTGTTGTTTAAGTCCCTCCATGAGTGCTTCTAAATTATATTCCTCAGCAGTTGCTAACGCCTTAACTTTCCAAAACTAGAGAATATTTTTAATGTTATTTTATTAAAAATGAAATATCAATTGACAATAATTAATGTTCCTTTAAATTAATAAAAAAAAACGTACCCCAGGAACCGGTATGTCTTCCTCATCATTGCAAAGTTTTTTCTTTCTCAATAGTCTCTTCTTTATTTGTAGCGGTGAAATAATTTCCTTGATTGGCTTAAAATTTGAATCTTTTTTCTTTGTACAATACTGGGCATTATTTAAAAATACATTTTGATATTCTTTCCTTGCATCAGTGAGAGATTTTGTTGTGACTGTTATAAAGTTTCTTTGTGTTTGTATAACTGTAATTCCTACATTATGAAACGTATTTAAATTTGTAGGTTTAATTGCATTTAGTAATAATCGTTGAACTGTTATCACAATCATTGTTATGTTAAAAAAAAAAAATGACGAAATAATTGTCAATTTATGTTACATCAACTGAAAGGCTGAAGTTCAAGTTTGTGGTTAGAAGCACGTGTTTTTCAATTTGCCGCATTTATATCACTATCACTGTCACGGAATTTCGTTTGGTTTATTAAACTCAAATATTTATAATCTTTGGACTTTGATCTTTGAAAATGTGCGAGTATTAAGAATTATAAGTTAAAATAGAGAAATATTTATCTTTGTTGTATTATTTCTGGGCATTTGTCGTATTTATGCTTGTCGAACATGTGTTTGTAAAATTTAACCTTAAGGGTTTATCCACATGTGTTGGCAGGGTTGGGTCGATAAATTACAGTAATATGACCCCCACTTTTTTGTGGAAAGAAGGTCCATCCTTGCTTGTAATCATCTGTTTTCTGTTTCACTTGTCAATTTGTCATCTGCTGTAAACACAAATTTTTGCAAAGCAATGAGTGAAAAAATAACCATTGACTTATAAATAAGAAATAAAGGAAATACAACTTCTTAATTTTCTACCTGAAATGTAAGTTAAAAAATAATTTTAAATTCTAGATAATAATAATTGAATTAAAATGATGAAAATAATTTTGATCAATTTGCAGTAACAATATTCTCTTATAATATAAAATAATGATTTTATCTCTGGGTCATCTTTAATAATTATTAGAAAACATGAATATATCGATCACTCCGAGTCTTCGACTCGGAGCAATCGATATCTTCATGTTTTAACTATATAAACAAAAAACAACTTCAGAGTGTGAGGGAGAGAAAAAGTGAATGAATGAAAGAATGCGAAAGAACATTCAAATTATTAAAGTTAATTAAGAAGGTATTTTCCTGTTTTAATTAACAATATTAATTTTCAGATATTTTCGTCCTGAAACAAGATCATAATGGAATTGGAATTCAGAAGCATTATAAACGAAAGAAAAAATACAATATATTTTTCTCAACAAATAAATCCTCTAGAACAAGCACTACAGTTTGGTTCAATTGTCGAAATTGAAGACATACTTCGTGAAAAATATCAAGCAACATTATCACCAGAAAATGATTGGGCGAAAAAATGTAGACAAATTATCAATATTTGTCTGGAGAAAAAACTTAACGTTAACGTGAAACTCACAAATTATTGTTCTTTATTACATTTTATGATAAAACATCTCGACGAAGATTTTGAATCAGTTATCAAAAAATGCAAAGAACTTGATATTAATGCATTGAATGTTGTTTATGATGAGCCGGATGATAATAAGTCCTTACTTCATTTTGCGATTGATCAAAGAAAACAGAATGCAGTGAAAGCTTTAATAGAATTTGGTGCAGATGTCGATATAAAAGACTCCCGTTCTCGGACACCTTTATTTTACGCCGTTCTTTCTAAACAAATAGAAACAGCAGAAATGCTTCTAAAAGCAGGTGCGGATATTAATGCGAAGGATTCTGGAAATATGATGCCAATAAATTATGCTTTTGGTGAAAGAGAAGATACTAGTAATGAAAAATACAAACCTTCGAAATTAGTAAAGCTCCTGTGTTCATATGGAGCTGATTTAAATTTTAAAAATCAAAGTGGCTCAATGACATTAGTTATTGCGTGTAGAAAAGGCAATTTCAAGGAAATAGAATTTTTGATTGAACATGGAGCTGATTTATTGTCGAGTGATGAAGACGGCAAAACGGCATTACATTCTGCAGCCGCAGAATATAATTACAAACTTGTAGATTTTCTAATACGTAGAGGTGTTGATATTAATGCTCAAGATATGCATAAGGAAAATTCTATTCATCATCTGGCAAATACTTTGAAAACGATTAATAATGTACTTGAATATTTCGGAGACAATACGCATGAAGCTATCAGTGACATATGGAATTTCGATTTTGAAGGCGATGAAGTTAAAAAAGCTGCGAAAATGATAGAATTTTTAGCGGATAATGGCGCAGATATAAATACTTTCAATAAGCAAAACATTACACCTCTAATGATAAGCGTTCGTTCTAATGCTCTTGAAATTACCGAATGCCTTTTAGAGTTAAATGCCAAAATTTACAATAGTAACAATTTTCTGCATTTTGAAGACAGTTTCAACCGTCACGTAAATACACAATTTAATTGTGATAAAATTACTACGTGGGCACTATTGACAGCATTTTTAGCACTCAAAGACATCGCTATTCATGAAAATACTTTTTTATCTGTTGATTTTCAATGGGTCGATTACTCTCTTGAATCGTGTTATGAAGAAGTAGCTTATATGCAGGAAAAAAAAATATGGGCTGATCGAAAAGTTACATTTTATGATTTTCTAAATGAAGATTTGTTGAAGGTGACGAAATATTTCAGAAATGATGATGTAATGTCTGTTTTGGAATATGAAAAATATCAAGAATTTCCAGATTACAGATATTTTTTTGAAAAACGTAAAGAGAGGGTTGAGAAAATGAAAAATTGTCAGAATGTTTTTATTCGTTTTCTCAAGGAATTTTTTAAGAGAAATTTACCAAGTGTGGTAATTTATCAGATAATTAATTACTTGACAGCTGGGGATCTTCGCAACTTTGGAAGAGCGTTCTGCATAACGGAAAAATCACCTAATGGAAAATACTTCATTTAAATCGTTTATTGTTTATGAAAAATAATAAAATTCATACATTATAAGAAACATTTACGTTAAGAAAAATTATTGTTGACAATATTTTTCTAATTGTGTGATAATTACTATTTACTACTTATATACTTTTGGAAATTTTGTGTTATTTTGCTAATAAAATTTTGCTTTCATCTGCGATTTTGATTTCATTTACTTTACTCATAAAATTGTCGCAAGTTTTTTTAAACCTCACAATATTTTGTTTTTTTAAAATAAAATCAAGTTTTTACGGATGATTCTTCACGAAAACTAAATTATGTGTGCACGGTATTTTGCTAAAAATTATTAAAATTTATTTAAATTACATTAAAAATTCTGCCTGCTGTAGCATTATAAAAATTTACGAATTTTCAATCAGATCACTAAAGAAAAATTCAAAAAAATTTAAATAACCGAAATATTGAACAAAAGCTCGCTTCATTCAAGACAATTAAAAAAATTTCTTTTATTTAGATATTACACAAAAAATTATTAAATCACATAGTATAGCTGCCTGTGTTGAAAAAACAACCCTTATATAGTGTGAGTTTTGTTTATTAAAAATGTGCGAGTATTGACAAATTGTTATGAATTAAAATAAGGAAATATTTATCGTTTTTAATTATTATTCTACCTACTGAACATTTAAATCCTTGTCAAAATTGATTTGTTTTGTAAAATTTCAAATATTCATTTTCTTAAGGTATATTCACATGTGCTGGCAGGGTTGGGTCGATAAGTTACAGTAATGACCCCCACTTTTTTATAGAAAAAAAGGTCCATCCAATATCCATGCTTGCAATCATCTGTTGAATTCTGTTGTTTGTAACTTGCGTGACTTGTAAACACTTGTAAAGTGAAAACGAAAGTTAAATATCATAAACATTTTGACAGTTATGTAAAAGAAATTCAATTTTTTCTCAATTTTATACTATATAAATGTAAGTAAAAAAAGATATTTCAATATAAGATCTTAAATTCTTTCTGTTTGGTCTAATGGTTTTATTATATTCTACGGTAAGTCCAGAACGTCAATTTTAGGTTATAACGGTTATTAACCAACGTGTCGTAAAACAATAAGCAATTATCGTGTCTACGTTTGAAAAATTGACATTCTAGACTGTTACCACGATGTTTAATTATTCTTTAATATGCGACAATTAAATATTCCGCCACCAAATCTATGAAAATAAAATAAATATTTACTTTTAAATAAAATATTTATAATATATTTTCTTATGTCAACTAACTGAGCATATTATTAATTTTCAGATATATAGATTTTGAATCAAAATCATTATAGAATCGGAATTTTTTTACATTATGGACGAAGGAAGAAATACGAGAGGTTTAATTCAAAATAAAAAAAATCTAGTACAAGCATTGCTGTTTGGTTCAATTGTTGAAATTGAAAATATTCTTTGTGAAAAATTTGAAGCTACATTTTCAGCAGAGAATGATTCGGTGGAAAAATGTAGACAAATAATTAATATTTGTTTGGAGAAGAAAATTGATGTTAATTTCGAAGGGACAAAGTATAATGCTTTATTATATTTTGTAATAAAATATCTTGACGAAGATTTTAAATCAGTTATTAATAAATGCGAAGACTTTGATGTTAATGAATTAATGCATTCAAATGAAATGTCTTTACTTCATTCAGCGATAGAAGGCAAAAAACAGAATGTAGTGGAAATTTTAATAGAATTTGGTGCAAATGTTGATGTAAAAGACGGCAGTCAACAAACACCTTTATTTTATGCCGTTGAAAGTAAACAAATAGAAATAGCAGAAATGCTTTTGAAAGCGGGAGCGAATGTTAATGCGAAAGATCTCGATGATATAATGCCAATTAATTTTGCTTTTGGCGAAAGAGAAGATACTAATGGCAATGAAAAATACAAACCCTCGAAATTAGTAAAGCTCTTGTGCTCATATGGAGCTGATTTGAATTTCAAAAATGAAAATGGCAATATGACATTACTTTCGGTTTGCAAAAAAGGCAATTTCAAGGAAATAGAATTTTTGATTGAACATGGAGCTGATTTATTGTCGAGTGATGAGGACGGCAAAACGGCATTACATTATGCAGCTTTAGGATTTAATTACAATATTGTAGAGTTTCTATTGCGTAGCGGTTTTGACATTAATGCAAAATATTTTTTCAACGACAATCTTGTTCACACGCTGGCAAATTTTTCGAAGGATTTATATACAGTGCTTAATTTACTAGTAGGCGATGGAATTATCAATAATGTATTAAATGAAACACACTATAATGGAATTAAAGAGTCCGCAAATATGGTTGAATTTTTTGCCGATAATGGCGCAGATATCAATTCTTTTATGCATGAACGCTATACTCCTTTGTTGTCAAGTGTTCAAAGTAATTATCTTGAAATTACCGAATGCCTTTTGGAGTTAAACGCCAAAATTCACAAAAAATTATTTAGAAGATATTATTACTGTAGTTATCCTAATCTTCACGTCAATCCAAAGTTGCATTGTAATAAAATTACAAGTTGGGTACTACTAACAGCTTTTTCAGCACTTAAAAATATCAATTTGAATGATTATCGTATTTCACGTAAAAATTTTCAATGGGTCAAGTCCTTTTTTGAAGAGTGCAAACAGGAAGTAATGAAAATGCAAGAAAGAAGAATATGGGCTGATCGAGAAGTTTCATTTTTTGATTTTCTAAATGAAGATTTGTTGAAGGTGACAAAATATTTGAGAAATGATGATGTGATGTCTGTTTTGGAATCTGAAAAATATGATGAATTTCCAGATTACAAATATTTGTTTGAAAAGCGAATAGAGAGAGTGCAGAAAATGAAAAATTGTCTGAATGTTTTTCTTTGTTTTCTCAAGGAATTTTTTGAGGGAAATTTACCAATCGTGGCATTTGATAAAATAATTAGTTACTTGACAGCTGGCAATCTGCGCAATTTTGGAAGAGCATTGTGTATAACGGAAGAATCACCTAATGGAAAATATTTCGTTGTTCACGAAAAATAATAAATTTCATACGTTGTAAGAAACATTCACGTTAAAAAAAAGTATTGTTGACAATATTTTTCTAATTATGTAATAATTACCCACTACTTCGAATTTCAAATTTATTTTGGTTTTCTTAATAAAATTTTTAAATAACACCAGTTTTCTTAGAAATTTTTTTTTTTAATTATTTTACTAAAAATTGTTAAACCGCATAAGTAGGGCTCTCCTTTTTGAAATAATTACCCTAAAATAATTTGTGTTTCTTTTATTAAAAATATGCGACAATTGACAATTATTGTATTATTATAAATTAATAAATGCAAATATTTATGTTTAATTTATTATTTCTACTGAACGCACTTAAAACCCTGTTTGTGGGAAATTTTGTTGATTTTTACATATTTGTCTTTCTTTCTTTTGGTTTTAATGGTTTTTGTTTATAAAATTTCAAATATTTATTTTCCAAAGGTATATCCACATGTGCTAGCAGGGTTGGGTCAATATGTTCTAGAGACACTTTGACCACTTTTCTGTTGATAGACCATCTATGTTTGTAATTTTAATGGTTGTAATCATCTGGTGATTGTAAACAGTTGCAAAGTGCAATGAGTGCAAGATGAACATTTTTACATATAGAAATTAAAGAAATTGATTTTTTTTCTTAATTTTGTATCTGAAACGTAAGTAAAGAAAGATATTTTAGTAAATGATCTTAAATTCTTTCTGTTTGACCTAAATGCTTCGCTATATTTGATGGTTAGTCCAGAATGTAAATTTTAGGTTATAAACCGTTTTGTCACATTGTCATGTACATAAATAAACAGATAAACAATGCAAGACAATAATTGCTCATTGAAATCTACGTGTTGACGATTAAAACATTTTGGACTTTCATTGTTAAAAATTTAATATAACGAATTTCATTACCATATTCGATGGCTTCCAAATAAAAACATAATATTGAAAATTTTATGTTTTTTTAACTCCAGGAGACAAATAGAAAACGTGATTATTTAAAACTACAGTTTCTTGAAGGTTACAATTTTTAAAATTTATTTCTAAAGTGTAAACAAATTTCAAAAATATAAAATAATCAAATTATTTGTTTACAGTTAAGCCTTGAAACAACCTCGATAAGTCAGGGAATTTTTATCGAAATTAATTCAATTTTAAAAAAATTTATTGCGTTTACAATTTTCATAAGTAGATGAACTTCAAAAGATTTTGATTTCAAATTTTGTAAAATTTTAATTTTAAATGAATTCAATGAGAAATATAAAAAATCTTAGATTTAAAAAAATGTTTAAAACTAAAACTCTTCTGAAATTAGTTAAATTTTTCAATATATATTTAATTGATTATTAAAAATAATGGATTTATAGAAGAATTTTAGTTAAAAACACTAAACAAATTAAATTTTGAAGCAATTACAAATGATTGCAGAAATTCAATTATTTTCAAATAAAAGTAGTAAAATTCTTTTCAGAAATTCAATTATTTTTAAAAACTTTTCTCAATTTAATGATTTTTAATATCTACTACTTTACTAAAAATTCCTAAAAGAATTCAATTAGTTAACAAAAATTTTAATAAAATTCTATGCAAATATTTAATTATTTTTATAAATAATGAGAATTAATAATTATTAATTATTAATTAATAATTGAATTCACAGGAATTCAATTAAAAATAGTATTTTCATTTTCATATACATATTTTCATATATTTTTCAATTATTTTCATAAATAATAAAACTCAATGCTGAATTTCAATTATTTTTAATACAATTTTAATGGAATTCCTCGAAAAATGTTATTATTCTTAAAAATTTTATTAAAATTTATCAAAGAAATTTAATTATTTTAATACTTTTTGCTACAATTTATTTATTAGAATTTAAGTATTATTTTTAATACGTTTTTAATTACATTTCTTTAAAGAATAAAATTATTTTCAAAAATTTTAATGAAATTCTTTGCGAAACAATTGAATTTTTTTAAAAATAATTTTAATAAAATTCTTCGCAAAAATCCAATTATGTTTAAAAATTTACAAAAAAATCTTGTCAAAATTTCAATCATCTTTATAAATAATAAGATTTTCCTCTGAAATTCAAATATTTTCAAAACTTTAAATAAAATTCTTAACAGAATTTAAATTATTTTTAATACTATTTTCATCAAATTTCTCGAAAAATGCAATTATTCTTAAAAATTTTATTAAAATTTGTCAAGAGAATTCAATTATTAAAAAATTTGTTGATAAAATTCTTTATGAAAATTCAATTTTAAGAAACATTCAATTGTTTAATAAAATGATTATTTTTATACTTTAAATAATTAAATTGTCGTAGAATTTTCTAATACTGTAATGTATGTTTTTATTTAGCAGCCATTGATATTATTGTATCCTAATCAAATGTACAAACATCTAAAAAGAATATTTACTTTAAAAATAATATTAAGAAATTATTTTCATACCTCAACTAATTCAATATATTCTTTTTCAGGGCACATATGGGTGATTCTCCTGAAAGGGACCCTTTTTTGGTTGAATTTCCAAAAAATCAAATTATTCTTTTTTTGTTACTTTTCTTTCATAAATAAGTTTAAAAAATGTTTAAAGATAAAAATATAAGTTGCGCAAAATTAATTTTCAGAAATAAGACCTCCAGGAACATTTTACTATAATGTGTTCTAGAGGTTAAGTATAATTAATTATAACTTTTAAATTAATTATTTTGTAAAAAAAACTCGGTAGGAATATTTTTTTTATATAATAAATTGTTATGTTTTAATTTATTGCACTTTTTGATTGTATATTTTATTTTTATTAAATTAATAATTTAATTTGAGGGTTAAATATTTCAAAACAATGATAAAAAATTAAAAACAAAAGAAAACGGCTATCAAATATAAAAAAGGCTTCGGAGATGAATTGATAATTTAATGAAAAAATTCTCATTTTTTCTAATTTTAAAAATATTACAATTTTTTAAACAATATTTTTAGTTTTAATCATCAAATATTTTCACATCGATTACATATTATGTTTAAAACGTTAAAAAATATGATGTTATTATATAGAAAATGAGGCTTCGGAGATGAATTTAATTTTTACTCTCATTGATAATACTATTTTAATTAATAATTTAAATAACTTTTTTTACCTTCTTTTAAACAAATGTAAGTAAAAAATAATCCTTATATTCTGAACTTTAATTTGATATATATCATAAATATGTTGAAATTGTTTAAATACGTTAAAATATAATTATAAAATATACATTCTGTTTAACCAAAATTCGATGACAAAATTAAATATGTTTTTTAAATAGGAAGAAATTTAAATATAAGCAATAGAAGATTATATAAAGATAGATAAATCTTCGTAGATTATAAATAAATTTTTCAAAAAATTTAAACTTGATAAAATATTAATGAAAAATTAATTTAAATAATGAACCTCATGTTGGAGACACGTGAAGTGGTCCCTTTCAGGAGAATCACCCATATACATTTTCTTACAAAAGCACAATGGAATCGAAACTTTTAGAAATTATAGACGAAAGAAAAAAAGCGGAAAGATTTGCTCGAGCAAAAAATCCTCTAGTAGAAGCACTACTGTATGGTTCCATCGTAGAAATTCAAGATATTCTCCGTGAAAAATATGAAGCAACATTATCACCAGAAAATGATTGGGCGAAAAAATGTAGACAAATTATAAATATTTGTCTGGAGAAAAAACTTAACGTTAGCGTGAAAATAACAAATTATTGTGCTTTATTACATTTTGTGATAAAACATTTCGACGAAGATTTTGAATTAGTTTTCAAAAAATGCGAAAAATTTGATATTAATGCATATAATGATCCATATTATATGCACGATACGAAGTCTTTACTGCATTTTGCGATAAAATTAAGAAAACTGAATGTAGTGAAAATTTTAATAGAAGTTGGTGCAAATGTTGATGTAAAAGACGGCCGTGAACAAACACCTTTATTTTACGCCGTTGAAAGTAAACAAATAGAAATAGCAGAAATGCTTTTGAAAGCGAAAGCGAATGTTAATGCGAAAGATTGTAAAAATATGATGCCAATTAATTTTGCTTTTGGCGAAAGAGACGAAACTAGTGGCAATGAAAAATACAAACCCTCGAAAATGGTAAAGCTCTTGTGTTCGTATGGAGCTGAGTTAGATTTCAAAAATCAAAGTGGTACAAGAACATTGATTATGGCTTGCGGAATTGGCAATTTAAAAGAAATAGAATTTTTGATTGAACATGGAGCTGATTTATTGTCGAGTGATGATGACGGCAAAACGGCATTACTTTGTGCAGCCGTAAAATATAATTACAATCTTGTCGATTTTCTATTACGTCGCGGTGTTGATATTAATGTTGTTGATGATCAATGCATAAGTGCTATTCACGAACTGTCATATATTATAGAAAACATTGAGGTCACGATTGCAAATGATGGATACAATACTTATGAAGCTATTAGCGACGATTGGTATTTTGATTTTATAGGCGATGAACTGAAGAAATCTGCTGAGATGATAGAATTTTTAGCTGATAATGGCGCAGATATAAATACTTTCAACTATGAACAAATTACTCCTTTGATGACAAGCGTTACAGCTGATGCTCTTGAAATTACTGAATGCCTTTTGGAGTTAAATGCCACAATTTACGAGCACGAAGCATTTTTTATGAGAGGTCGAATGTTTCCTCATGTTCCTGAAACGACCGATTTTTCTCCTAATGGAATTAATACGTGGGCAGTATTAACAGCATATTCAGCACTTAAAAACATTTCTGTTTATGAAAAGTTTCAATCTGAACATTTTAAATGGATCCATAGCTTATTTGAAGAGTGCAAAGAAGAAGTTATAAAAATGCAAGAAAATAAAATATGGGCTGATCGAGAAGTTTCATTTTTTGATTTTCTAAATGAAGATTTGTTGAAGGTGACAAAATATTTCAGAAATGATGATGTTTTGGAATCTGTTTTGGAATCTGAAAAATATGACGAATTTCCACGTTACACATATTTGTTTGAAAAGCGTATAGAGAGAGTGCAGAAAATGAAAAATTGTCTGACTGTTTTTATTCGTTTTTTGAAAGAGTTTTTTAAGAGAAATTTACCAAGTGTAGTAATTTATCAGATAATTAATAACTTGACAGCTGGAGATCTTCGCAATTTTGGAAGAGCGCTCTGCATAACGGAAAAAACACCCAATGGAAAATATTTCATTTAAATAGTTTATTGTTTATGAAAAATAATAAATTGTGTACATTGTAAGAATCATTCGTGACAAGAAAAAGTATTGCTATACAATTTTTCGAAACAATTCAATTATTTTTATAAATTGTAAAATTCTTTACGAAAATTCAATTATTTAATTATAAATTGTAAAATTCTTTACAAAAATTCAATTATTTTTAATAAAAATTTTAATAAAATTTCATAAAAAGAATCCAATCCTTTTTTAATTTAAAAAAAAAAAATTTTTTGAAATTATATTCAAAAAATTAAAGAAATTTTTTTTAATGAATGCAATTATTGTCAAAACTTTTAATAATATCTATATTATTGGAAAGAATTTAATTATTCTCTATATTCCAAAAAGTTTTTGCATTATTTAAAAAAACTAATTAATTTTTTGATGAATTTTGATTAAATATTTTGTACATGATTTTTTTCTCCAAAGTGTTAAAAATAATTCTAAATTATTATTTTTTGTCTGCGTATTTAAATTTTCGGAAATATGTAATTGAAAGTACTAAAATTAAAATACTATATACATAAAATTAAAAGATAATTTTCATTAATTTTCATTTTTAAATCTTTGTTTAAAGATTTTTCATTAAAATTTTTGATAATTCAATTACTTTGAAAATTTGCAATAAAAATTCTTCAAAAGTTGACTTTCGAAATTTGTAACAAAATTCTCAATTTTCTAAATTTCTCTGACAAAAAATTGTTTTTCCTGACATTTCCCTGACTTAACTGACATATGTAGCCAACCTGAATATTTGAATACAATTCCTTGAATGAATTAAATTATTTTAGAAAGTTGTAATAAAATTCTGAGAAGAATTATTGAATTATTATTTTCTAAAAATTTTAATAAAATTCAATAATTAAATTAATGTTTAATTTCAATTATAAAAAAAACACGATTAAAAACTAAAAAGAAAACAAATTGTTCATAAAATTCAAAATTTTCAATTAAAATTATTAAAGAAACTCCATTATTCTAAAAAAATTCAAAGAAATTCTTTTAAAGAATTGTAGGATTTTCAAAAAATTTTCGCAATAATTCAATTATTTTCATAAATAATAAAATTCTTCGAAGGAAATTAAATTATCCTCAAATTTTTTTGATAAAATTCTTTGCAAGAATTTAATGCTTTTCGATAAATTAAATTAAAAATTAGAAATATTTAAAAAGAAAAATTATTTAAAAAGTTAGAAAACAAAAAAACAAACAATAATTAATTTATCGTTCCATTTGTTTGAAATAAATATGACATTTTTTAAAGGTATATTCACATGTGCTAGCAGGGTTGGGTCAATAAATTCTAGTGGTTATAATAGCGACAGGCGACACCCACTTTTTTATTGAAATGACCTTCTACATGATCTATATCATCCATGATGCTTGTAAATCATCTGTTGTTGTTGTTTGTAAAGTGAAAGACGTATGAGATAAACATAGTTATAAAAAATAAAAGAAATTCAATTTTTTCTTAACTTTGTAACTGAAATGTAAGTAAAAAACATATTTTAATAAAAGTTCTTAATTGTTTTTATTTGGCCTATTGGCTTCAGTATATTTTATATGGTAAGTCCAGAATATCAATTTTAGGTTATAATTTCAACGTGTCGTGAAACAATGCAACCCTATAGGAATAACCGGGGTAACGTTTTTAAAATTAATGGTTTCGGAGTTTAAAAAACTTGCAGTCTGGATTTACCATGATGTTAAAAATTTAATATGACAATGACGCATTTCTCATAAAGATCTACTCGATCTACTAGAAAGATTTAAAAAATTATTTATTTTCATAAAAAATATCAGTATTTGCCTACATTTAACTAACTAAAAATATTAATTTTCAGGAAAATACAGATTTTAAAATAAAATCATAATGGAGTTGGAATTTTTAAAAATTATGGACGAAAGAAAAAATGCGGGACTTTTTTCTCGAAGAAAAAATCCTCTAGAGCAAGCACTACAGTTTGGTTCGATTGTCGAAATTGAAGACATACTTTGTGAAAAATATCAAGTAACATTATCGCCAGAAAATGATTGGGCGAAAAGGTGTCGACAAATTATAAATATTTGTCTGGACAAAAAACTTGACGTTAACATTGAAGACACAAATTATTGTGCTTTATTATATTTTGTGATGAAACATCTCGACGAAGATTTTGAATCAGTTATCAACAAATGCGAAAAATTTAATATTAATTCATTGAATGATGTTGATATGCCGGAAGTAAAAAAGTCTTTACTTCATTTAGCGATTAATGAAAGAAAACAGAATGTAGTGAAAATTCTAATAGAATTTGGTGCAAATGTTGATGTAAAAGACGGCTGTCAACAAACACCTTTATTTGACGCTGTTGGAACTAAACAAATAGAAGTGTCAGAAATGCTTTTAAAAGCAGGTGCGGATATTAGTGCGAAGGATTCTGGAAATATGATGCCAATAAATTATGCTTTTGGCGAAAGAGAAGATACTAGTGGCAATGAAAAATACAAACCCTCGAATTTGGTAAAGCTGTTGTGTTCGTATGGAGCTGAGTTAGATTTCAAAAATGAAAGTGGCAATAGGACATTGTTTTTGGTTTGCTATAATGGTAATTTAAAAGAAATTGAATTTTTAATTGCACATGGAGCTGATTTATTCTTTAGTGATAAAGACGGTGCTACGGCACTAAATTCCGCAGTTCTGGGATACAATTACAAGGTTGTTGATTATCTACTAAGTCGCGGTTTTGACATTAATGCTAAAGATTCATATAATGATAGTCTTATTCACGATCTGGCATATTCTTTGTACGATATTTATAATGTACTTAAATATTTCGGAGACAATACGTATCACGCTATCAGTAACTTATGGAATTTTGATTATTTAGGTGATGAAGCGAGAAAAGCGTCAGAAATGATAGAATTTTTAGTGGATAATGGCACAATTGATATAAATGCTCCCAATAAGGAAAACATTACTCCTTTAATGATAGGCGTTCATTATAATGCTCTTGCAATTACCGATTCCCTTTTGGAGTTAAACGTGGAAATTACGGATAATAGAAATTTTCCATATTATGACCGGAGATATCCCAATCTTCACGTCAATCCAAAGTTTTATTGTAATAAAATTACAACGTGGGTATTGTTAACCGCTTTTTTAGCACTTAAAAATATCGATATTAAAGACTATACTTTTTCAACACATGATAATTTTGAGTGGGCCTATTCTTTTTACGAAGAGTGCAAACTGGATGTAATCAAAATGAAAGAGAGAAGAATATGTGTTCATCGAGAATTTTCATTTTTTGATTTTCTAACTGATGATTTGATGAATGTGACAAAATTTTGTAGGAACTATGATTTAACGTATGTTTTGGAATTTCAAATATATAATGAATTTCCATGTTATAAATATTTGTTTGAAAAGCGTGTAGAGAGAGTGGAGAGAATTAAAAATTGTCAGAATGATTTAAATCGTTGTTTCAAAGAATTCTTTAAGGGAAGTATGCCAAGTTTAGTAATTTATCAAATTATTGATTACTTGACAGCTGCGGATCTTCGCAATTTTGGAAGAGCATTTTCTGTAACTGAATAAGCAATCAATGGAAAATATTTTATTTAAATATTTTATTGTTTAACAAAAATAAAAAAATGTACGCTTATAATCACGATATAAGAAAAAGTGTTGTTGACAATATTTTTCTAATTATGTGATAATTATGTAGTATTTCAAATTTTGTGCTATTTTCGTAATAAAATTTGAATTAAAATTTACAAAAATTTCGAATTTAAACCTTTCCGAAATGCAGCAACTTATAAAAATATTATTATAAAAAATGAAAAAATCGATTACTTCAAAATTATTTTCATTATTTCAATTCAATTATTATTTTCTAGACTTTTGAAGAGTTTTACTAAAATTTTTGACAATAATTGAATTGGAAGATTTTTATTAAAATTTAAATTCATTCGAGGAATGTAATTAAATTTGTACTGAAAATAATGGAATTATTTTGAAGAACTTTATGATTTATTAAAATAATTTATTTGTTTTAAGAAATTTTATTACAATTTTTGCAATTAATTAAATTTCTCAGAAGAATTTTATTAAAATTTATAAGTATTCCCAAATTCTTTCAAAGAATGTTATTATTTACGAAAATAATTTAATACTTGCTAAGAACTTCGATATTTTTGAAAATAATTGAATTTTTGTGAAGAATATTATTAAATCTTTTAAAAATAATTGAAATTTTAGAAATAATATTAATATTTATAAAAATATTTGAATTTTTGTAAAGAATTTTGTTAAAAAAACCTTAAAGTGTTAAAAAAATTTATGTTGATATTTAATTAAATAAAAATTTTGTTAATTTTTTAAATAATTTTCGAAAAATTTCTTAGACAATTTTCAAATCCATTTGTTTGCAATTCAATTTTACGAAATTTCGATTAGAAAATAAAAACTTCAAATAATTAAAAAAAAATTCATTAAAATTTTTCAAAAAAATTAATTGTACAAAATTATTAATTAAACGTATCAAAAATTCAGATTTTCAAAGATTTTAATTTGAAAATTATTGAATTAATTTGAAAAATTTAATTTTCATTCAAGAAATTTCATTAAAATTTATTAATAATAATTGAATTTTTTAGAGATATTTTTTTAAATTATATTCAAAATAATTGAATTCCTTTGCAGAATTTTATTTTAAAAAATAATTTAATTCTTTCTAGAAATTTATAAATAGTTTTAAAAATAATTGAATTCCTGTGAAATTTTTATTTATTTATAAAAATAAATACATAAATGTTTCAGTAGAATTTTATTAACAGTTTTTTTAAATAATTGAATTCTTTTGGAAAATTGTTGAAAATAATTGAATTTCGGAGAAGAATAAATTTTATTATTTATGAAGATAATTCAGGGTTGCTACAGAAGTCTGTTTTTAAATTTCCATGACTTTTCCAGGTTTTCCAGTACCAAATCTGATAAATTTCCAGGTCACCTTTTGAACATTATAAATTAGAGCAATTTTTCTGTATTATAAAAATATTCACGTTAGATTATCTCTATTTGATTATTAAAGCACAGACAGGGTGTCTACTGAAAATATGACTTAAAATTCCAGGACATTCCAGGACAGATTTTTTATTTTTCCAGGACATTTACATGTGTAATATTATTTCATATTACGATTAACATAATTTAAATTAACCTACTTGAAAAAAATATTAATTTTATTATAAAAAGAGTTAAAAATCAATATTATATAATACAGATATCAGATTCTTTAATCAAACGACAAATTAAAATTATTTTTTGATAGATCAAAAAAATTATTTTTTTAAATTTGAGTAAAATTTTTAAATTATTGAATATTTAAAAGCAAAATATGGAAAATTCATTTCAGGACATTTCCAGGAATTCCAAGACATCATTTTTTAAAAGAAAAAATGTAGTAAAAAATATTAAGTGGGATAAAATTCCAGGCATTTCAAATTTCCATGACATTTCCAGGTATTCCAGACCTTTTTTTAAAAAATCCCTGACTTTTCCAGGTATTCCAGACCTTTTTTAAAAAATACCTGACTTTTCCAGGTTTTCCAGGTTTTCCAGGTTCTGTAGCAACCCTGTAATTGGAATTTTGACGAGAATTTTTAAAAATTTTTGAACGTAATTGAATTTCTGCGAAGAATTTTATTACTTTTGAAAATAATTGAATTTTTGCAATATTATTTGTAACTTCTCCAAAAATTCAATTTTTTGAATGTTTTTAACTAAAATTCTTCTATAAATAAATTATTTTAAAAAATTTAACTAATTTCAGAAGAATTTGAATTATTGAAATTTTTCAAAAATTTTCTTTTTGAATTCTAAAAATTTAATTTTTTTCAGTTCTTTTAATCGAAATTCCTGACTTTTCCCTGAATTCCCTGTGTCAGAATATATTATGATTATTATAGTTATAATAATACTATAATGAACATTTAAATCCTACTTTTCAAAAATGTTTTGTTTGTGAAATTTCAAATATTTATTTTCTAAAAGTATATTCACATGTACTGGCAGGGTTGGGTCGATAAATTACAGTAATGACCCCCACTTTTTTATAGAAGAAAAGGTCCATCCATGCTTGTAATCATCTGTTGTCAATTGTTTTCAATTTGTCATCTACTGTAAACTTGATTGCGAATTCTTGCAAAGCAATTATGTAATGAAAAATAAACATTGATCTATTAACAAGAACTAACGGAAATACAACTTCTTAATTTTCTACCTGAAATGTAAGTTAAACAAGATATTTACTTTTACAAACAATACAACGAAGGTATTTTCCTGTCTCAATTAATTAAAAATATTAATTTTCAGATATTTTCGTCTTAAAACAAAATCATAATGGAATGGATATTAAAAAACTTCATGAACAAGAATCCTCTAAAACAAGCACTACAGTTTGGTTCGATTGAAGAAATTCAAAATGTACTTTGTGAAAAATATCAAGCAACACTATTAATTGAAACTGATTGGTCGGAAAAATGTAGACAAATAATTAATATTTGTCTGGACAAAAAACTTGACGTTAACATTGAAGACACAAATTATTGTGCTTTATTACATTTTGTGATAAAACATCTCGCCGAAGATTTTGAATCAGTTATTAATAAATGCGAAGAATTTGATATTAATGCATTGAATGACGTTCCATCTTTTTTTGAGCCGGAATACAAAAAGTCTTTACTTCATTTAGCGATTGATGAAAGAAAACTGAATGTAGTGAAAATTTTAATAGAATTTGGTGCAAATGTTGATATAAAAGACGAGCGTGAACAAACAGCTCTATTTTACGCCGTTCAAACTAAACAAATAGAAGTAGCAGAAATGCTTTTAAAAGCGGGAGCGAGTGTCAATGCGAAAGATTGTAAAAATATGATGCCAATTAATTTTGCTTTTGGCGAAAGAGACGAATCTAGTGGCAATGAAAAATATAAACCCTCGAAATTGGTAACGCTCTTGTGTTCGTATGGAGCTGAGTTAGATTTCAAAAATCAAAGTGGTACAAGAACATTGATTATGGCTTGCGGAATTGGCAATGCAAAAGAAATAGAATTTTTGATTGAACATGGAGCTGATTTATTGTCGAGTGATAAAGACGGCAAAACGGCATTACATTCTGCAGCTGTAAAATATAATTACAAACTTGTAGATTTTCTAATACGTCGAGGTTTTGACATTAATGCTCAAAATTTGGAGAAAGAAAGTTCTATTCATTATCTGGCAAATACTTTGAAAACGATTAATAGTGAACTTGAATATGCTGGAGATAATACGCATGAAGATATCAGTAACATAGGGAATTTAGATTCTGAAGGTGATGAAGTGAAAAAAGCTGCTGAAATGATAGAATTTTTAGCTGATAATAGCGCAGATATAAATACTCCCAATAAGGAAAACATTACTCCTCTAATGATAAGCATTCGTTATAATGCTCTTGAAATTACCGAATGCCTTTTGGAGTTAAACGCCAAAATTCACAAAAATGACAACTTTTTGTATTATGACTGTTCCTGCCCTCAGATAAATACAGAATTTCATTCTGATAAAATTACAACGTGGGTACTATTAATAGCATTTATAGTACTCAAAGAGATCGCTGTTCATGAAAATATTTTTACATCTGATGATTTTAATTGGGTCGATTACTCTTTTCAATCGTGTGTTGAAGAAGTAGCTTATATGCAGGAAAAAAAAATATGGCCTGATCTAAAAGTTACATTTTATGATTTTCTAAATGAAGATTTGTTGAAGGTGACAAAATATTTCAGAAATGATGATGTGATGTCTGTTTTGGAATATGAAAAATATCAAGAATTTCCAGATTACAAATATTTGTTTGAAAAGCGTATAGAGAGAGTGCAGAAAATAAAAAATTGTCTGAATGTTTTTCTTTGTTTTCTCGAGGAATTTTTTGAGGGAAATTTACCAATCCTGGCATTTGATATAATAATTAATTACTTGACAGCTGGAAACCTGCGCAATTTTGGAAGAGCATTGTGTATAACGGAAGAATCACCTAATGGAAAATATTTCGTTGTTCACGAAAAATAATAAATTTCATACGTTGTAAGAAACATTCACGTTAAGAAAAAGTATTGTTGACAATATTTTTCTAATTTTGTGAGATAATTGCTATACTTATGTACTATTGGAAATTTTGTGTTATTTTGCTAATAAAATTTTGATTTCATCTGCAATTTTGATTTAATTTACTTTACTCATAAAATTGTCGCAAGTTTTTTTAAGCCTCACAATATTTTGTTTTTTTTAAATTAAAATCTAATTTTTACGGATATGATTCTCCACAAAAAAAATTATGTGTGCACGGTATTTTGCAAAAAATTATTAAAATTTAAAAAAATTGAAATAACCGAAATATTGAACAAAAGCTCGCTTTTTTGTTCAATTAAAAAATTTTATTTTATTTATTAGACGAAAACTTGTTAAATCACATTGTGTAGCTGTCTGTTTTGAAAAAAATTACCCTTATATAGTGTGAGTTTTGTTTATTAAAAATGTGCGAGTATTGACAATTGTGATAAATTAAAATAAGGAAATATTTATTGCTTTAATTATTATTATACCTGCTGAACATTTAAATCTTGATTTAAATCCTACTTTTCAAAAATGTTTTGTTTGTAAAATTTTAAATATTTATTTTCTAAAGGTATTTTCACATGTGCTGGCAGGGTTGGGTCGATAAATTACAGTAATGACCCCCAATTTTTTATAGAAAAAAAGATCCATCCATGCTTGCAATCTTCTGTTGTTGTGACTTGTAAACACTTGTAAAGTGAAAACGAAAGTTAAATATCATAAACATTTTGACAGTTATGTAAAAGAAATTCAATTTTTTCTCAATTTTATACTATATAAATGTAAGTAAAAAAAGATATTTCAATATAAGATCTTAAATTCTTTCTGTTTGGTCTAATGGTTTTATTATATTCTACGGTAAGTCCAGAACGTCAATTTTAGGTTATAACGGTTATAAACCAACGTGTCGTAAAACAATAAGCAATTATCGTGTCTACGTTTGAAAAATTGACATTCTAGACTGTTACCACGATGTTTAATTATTCTTTAATATGCGACAATTAAATATTCCGCCACCAAATCTATGAAAATAAAATAAATATTTACTTTTAAATAAAATATTTATAATATATTTTCTTATGTCAACTAACTGAGCATATTATTAATTTTCAGATATATAGATTTTGAATCAAAATCATTATGGAGTCGGAATTTTTAAAAATTATGGACGAAAGAAGAAATACGAGATGTTTAATTCAAAATAAACAGAATCTAATACAAGCATTGATGTTTGGTTCAATTGTTGAAATTGAAAATATTCTTTGTGAAAAATATCAAGCAACATTTTCATCAGAGAATGATTCGGTGGAAAAATGTAGACAAATAATTAATATTTGTTTGGAGAAGAAAATTGATATTAATTTCGAAAGGAGAAAGTATAATGCTTTATTACACTTTGTAATAAAACATCTTGACGAAGACTTTAAATCAGTTATTAATAAATGCGAAGACTTTGATGTTAATGGATTAATGCATTCAACTGCAATGTCTTTACTTCATTTAGCGATAGAAGGCAAAAAACAGAATGTAGTGCAAATTCTAATAGAATTTGGTGCAGATGTCGATGTAAAAGACGGCTGTCAAAAAACACCTTTATTTTATGCCGTTGAAAGTAAACAAATAGAAATAGCAGAAATGCTTTTAAAAGCGGGAGCGAATGTTAATGCGAAAGATCACGAAGATATGATGCCAATTAATTTTGCTTTTGGCGAAAGAGACGAAACTAGTGGCAATGAAAAATACAAACCCTCGAAATTAGTAAAGCTCTTGTGTTCATATGGAGCTGATTTGAATTTCAAAAATGAAAATGGCAATATGACATTGCTTTCGGTTTGCAAAAATGGTAATTTCAAGGAAATTGAATTTTTAATTGCACGTGGAGCTGATTTATTCTCTACTGATGTGGACGACAAAACGGCATTACATTATGCAGCTTTAGGATTTAATTACAATCTTGTGGATTTTCTATTGCGTAGCGGTTTTGACATGAATGATAAATATTTATTCAACGGCAGTCTTGTTCACACGCTGGCAAATTTTTCAAGGGATATATATATGGTTCTTAATTTACTAGCAGGCGATAGAAATACCAATAATGTATTAAGTGAAGCACACTATAATGATATTAAAGAGTCCGCAAATATGGTTGAATTTTTAGCCGATAATGGCGCAGATATCAATACTTTTATGCATGAACGCTATACTCCTTTGTTGTCAAGTGTTCAAAGTAATTATCTTGAAATTACCGAATGCCTTTTGGAGTTAAAAGCCAAAATTCACAAAAAATTATTTAAAAGCTATTATTACTGTAGTTATCCTAATATTCACGTCAATCCAAAGTTGTATTGTAATAAAATTACAAGTTGGGTACTACTGACAGCTTTTTTAGCACTTAAAAATATCAATTTTAATGATTTTCGTTTTACACGTGAAAATTTTGAATGGGTCAAGTCCTTTTTTGAAGAGTGCAAACAGGAAGTAATGAAAATGCAAGAAAGAAGAATATGGGCTGATCGAGAAGTTTCATTTTTTGATTTTCTAAATGAAGATTTGTTGAAGGTGACAAAATATTTCAGAAATGATGATGTAATGTCTGTTTTGGAATCTGAAAAATATCACGAATTTTCAAATTACAAATTTTTGTTTGAAAAGCGTATAGAGAGAGTGCAGAAAATGAAAAATTGTCTGAATGTTTTTCTTTGTTTTCTCGAGGAATTTTTTGAGGGAAATTTACCAATCCTGGCATTTGATAAAATAATTAGTTACTTGACAGCTGGCAATCTGCGTAATATTGGAAGAGCATTGTGTATAACGGAAGAATCACCTAATGGAAAATATTTCGTTGTTCACGAAAAATAATAAATTTCATACGTTGTAAGAAACATTCACGTTAAAAAAAAGTATTGTTGACAATATTTTTCTAATTTTGTAATAATTACCTATACTATCTAGAATTTTAAATTTATTTTTGTTTTCTTAATAAAATTTGTATTTCATCTATAATTTTATTAAATTGTCTTTACTTATAATAATTATAATTATTTTTTTAACGTCACGTTATTTTGTTTCGACAATTAAATTCTAGTGTTTATGGAAGATTCTCCACTTTAAAAAAACAAATCACACAAACACGGTATTTTGCTAAAAATTATTAAAATTTATTTAAATTATTAAAAATTCTGCCTGTTAATCCATTATAAAAATTTATGAATTTTCGCTAAAGAAAAATTCAAAATTTTTTAAATAACACCAGTTTTCTTAGAAATTTTTTTTTTAATTGTTTAACAAAAAATTGTTAAACCGCATAAGTAGGGCTCTCCTTTTTGAAATAATTACCCTAAAATTATTTGGGTTTTTTTTTATTAAAAATATGCGACAATTGACAATTATTTTATTATTATAAATTAAAATATGCAAATATTTATCTTTAATTTATTATTTTTACTGAACACACTTAAAACCCTGCTTGTGGTAAATTTTGTTGATTTTTGCACATTTGTCTTTCTTTCTTTTGGTTTTAATGGTTTTTGTTTATAAAATTTCAAATATGTATTTTCCAAAGGTATATCCACATGTGCTAGCAGGGTTGAATGAATACGCGTTCTAGTGAGACACACTTTAGCGACACCCACTTTTTTTATTGAAATGTCCATCTACATGATCTATATCATCCATGATGCTGTATTCATCTGTTTGTAAAGTGAAAGTTAAACATTCTGACAGTTATAAACAATAAAAGAAATTCAATTTTTTCTTAATTTTGTAACTCAAATGTAAGTAAAAACAGATATTTCAATAAAAGATGTTAATTTCTTTCTATTTGAGCAAATGGCTTCAGTATATTTGATAGTATTTAGATTTACACAAAGATTTGAAAAAAAATATTTTTTTTCTTTTAAAAATTATATTAGGAAGTTACTTTTCTTACATCAAACTAACTAAAAATATTAATTTTCAGGTATATAGATTTTTAAACAAAATCATTATGCAATCGGCAGTTTTAAAAGTTTTTAGAGATAATGTAAAACATGGGTTATTGTTTACTGATGAAAACAAAGGAAAAATAGAAATAATATTACAATATGGTTCAAATGTAGAAATTGAAGAAAACTTTTGCGAACAATATCACGCAACATTTTCATCAGACAATAATTGGTCGCAAAAATGTAGACAAATAATTAATATTTGCTTGGAGAAGAAAATTGATGTTAATGTGGAAAGCACAAAGTATTGTGCTTTATTACATTTTGTGATAAAACATCTCGACGAAGATTTTGAACCAGTTGTTAAAAAATGCGAAGGATTTGATATTAATGCATTGAATGATCTACCATCTGTTTTTGGGCCGAAAGACAAAAAGTCTTTACTGCATTTAGCGATTGATGAAAGAAAACAGAATGTAGTGAAAGCTTTAATTGAATTTGGTGCAGATGTCGATGTAAAAGACGGCTGTCAAAAAACACCTTTATTTTACGCCGTTGAAAGTAAACAAATAGAAATAGCAGAAATGCTTTTGAAAGCGAAAGCGAATGTTAATGCGAAAGATCACGATGATATGATGCCAATTAATTTTGCTTTTGGCGAAAGAGTCGAAACTAGTGTCAATGAAAAATACAAACCCTCGAAAATGGTAACGCTCTTGTGTTCATATGGAGCTGAGTTAGATTTCAAAAATCAAAGTGGCACATTAACATTGCTTATGGCTTGTAGAAAAGGAAATTTCAGAGAAATAGAATTCTTAGTTGAACACGGAGCAGATTTATTCTCTGGTGATATAAACGGTACTAAGGCATTACATTATGCAGCTTTAGGAAATAATTACAATATTGTAGATTTTTTATTACGTAAAGGTTTTGACATTAATGCTAAAGATTTATCAGATCAGAGTTCTGTTCACAAACTGGCGATTTTTTTGGACGAAATGTATGATTTGTTCGATATAATTGAAGTAGATAGAACTATGAAAGATATATTGAATGAAAATCATGATAAGGAAATGAAAGAATCCGCAAATATGGTTGAATTTCTAGCCGATAATGGGGCCGATATCAATATTTTTATGCGTGAACAATATACTCCTTTGGTGTTATGCGTTGAAGGTAATTATCTTGAAATTACCGAATGCCTTTTGGAGTTAAACGCCAAAATTTACCGAGATTTATATAAATGGTATTATTTCTGTAGTTTTCCTAACTATCACGTCAATACAAAATTTCATTTCAATAAAATTACAACGTGGGTACTGTTAACAGCTTTTTTAGCACTTAAAAATATCGATATTGAAAACTGTGGTTTTTTACCAACTCCAAATTTTGAATGGGTCTATTCCTTTTTTGAAGAGTGCGAACAGGAAGTAATGAAAATGCGAGACAGAAGAATATGGGCTGATCGAGAAGTTTCATTTTATGATTTTCTAAATGAAGATTTGTTGAAGGTGACGAAATATTTCAGAAATGATGATGTGATGTCTATCTTGGAATCTGACAAATATGACGAATTTCCGAATTACAAATATTTGTTTGAAAAGCGAATAGAGAGAGTGGTGAAAATTAAAAATTGTCAGTATGTTTTCATTCGTTTTCTCAAGGAATTTTTTAAGGAAAATTTACCAAGTGTGGTAATTTATCAGATAATTAATTACTTGACAGCTGGGGATCTTCGCAATTTTGGAAGAGCGTTCTGTATAACTGAAGAAACACCCAATGGAAAATATTTCATTGTTTACGAAAAAAAATAAATTTTATTTTATGTAAGAAACATTATTCACGATAAGAAAAATGTTATCAGTATTTTTCTAAATTTTGTGATAATTACTAATTATGTGTCTAGTTCAAATTACTCATGTTAGTTTTATTAAGAATTTTTCAATAAAAGTTTGAATATTTCATATACGATTTTATTTTACTTTAGTGTACAATGTCGCTATGCGAAGAATAATTACCAATTACTTTTAAAGATTTGAGGTTATGTTTGTAATTTTCGGAATGAAAATAGAAAATACACATAGAAAATTAATTGCAAATATAAGCAACTATTGTTCAAATCTTTATTTATAATCTAAAATAATCTGTAAAAACTGTTTTTAGTTTTCTACAATCAAAAAGAGATTTTTTAATTAAAGTAAAATTGACTGAAACATCTTAAACTACTTTCCATTTTACGTACATGTCAGTGCTGCCAGGTACTTCTTCTTCTTCTTCTTCTTCTTATTATAGTCATGGGTTGAACACAACTCACGACACATTGGCAACGTACTGTGGACTAAAGCCTTGTACATACAGCCATGATCTATCTGAAACATAAGTAACAAGCCGCCTCTCCACCGAGTCCACACCGTACTCGGAGGTAAAGCAGCACACAATCTCCCTCTCTCTCCAACCGTAGTTGAAGAGAGAGAGAGAACGACACAGCACCAATCGAGCGGACTCGTGAACGCATGGAGAGAATTTTAATCAAAAAAAAATAAAAAAAAATAAAAAAAAATAAATAAATAAAAAAATAAAAAAAAAAAAAAAAAAAAAAAAAAAAAAAAAAAAATTGTAATGATACCTGGTAGAAGAATATAAAAGTTAGACTTTTATATTACAAAGTTTTAAGAATCTAAATATAGGTGATACTAGTCTGAGTGTTGGATTGCTTAAAAACTGAATACTGCAAAATGGAGGAGGGCAATTTAGTGCTTTGGAGAATGATTTTAGTAGTGGTTTCCGATATAAATCAAATTTAGGACAAGCCCAGAGGATATGATCTATATCTTGCATCACATTCGGGTTACAAGAACATCCTGGAGAACTTACAAGGTTCTTCCTGTACATGCTTGCGTTTAAAGAGTAATGGTTACTCCTCATTCTGCCTATAGAGGTTATCCATTCTCTGCGTGAAATAAATGTATGGAACCAGGGTTTGCTTCGGATCTGATAGAAGTTTTTCATGTATAGTATGCCTTTGATTTCGCCAACAGTTTTAAAAAATTCATCACAAGTTTTAGTTAGTTCAATTTTTGGACATGTATAGAAGTCTGAAAAGGGCAGAGCAATGTTGAGTAAGTCTCCATTGTTTGCTGCTTCTTTGGCAATTTCGTCAGCTCGTTCGTTTCCCGAAATTCCCATATGTCCGGGAATCCAGATTAACCAGACTTCTTTGTTTAGATTAGAAAGGGTGGATAGTCTATTTCTAATAAGGAAGATAAGGTTGTTTTTAATATTGGTAGGATTAACAGAGGCAATACTTTGTAAGACACTTAATGAGTCGGAGTAAATAACTGAGTGTTGAAAGTTCTGTGTGAGTATAAAGTCTAGTGTGTATAAGATAGCAATGGCTTCAGTTGAGAAGATTGATGCATGGTTAGGTAGTTTCCAGGAGTTGAAAAAATTGTGAGAGGTACAAACAGAGGAGCATCCGGTTGCAAATTCGGAATCGGAATCCATCTTAGAACCGTCTGTGAAAAAGGATGCATAATTTTGAAATTTATGTTGCGTTAAATCTTTAAAGACTTCAATCGGAGAAACACTAAGTTGAACAGTCTTACCTATCTTTAGGTCGACTTGAGGAGTGAATAGGTGATCGTTGTAAGGAAACTCATAATAAGGATGAAAGAATGCCCTACGAATAAGTGGCTTAAATTCTTTGACTTTTTCAAAGGCTATAATAAGTGTAAACGTATTTCTAATTTGATATGTGTTTCTCTGGTGAGTGATTTCCCATAAGTTTCTCAGACTGTCAGGAATAGGATGATCAATGTTTGCGAAGGTTTTAATTAAGTAGCGTTTAGCTAAATAGCAAAAACGTTTCCTCAGGGGGGGCTCGCATGCTTCAGCGAGCATGACATTGATCGGCGTACTTCTTCTGTATCCTAAGGCTAATCTTAATGCTTGATTTCTTATCTTTTCCATTTTATCGAAAAATTTATAACGTTGGAAGGTGTAAGTATGAGAGCCATAATCAAATGGACTTCTGATTAATGAACGATAAACATTAAGGAGAACAGTAGGATCAGCTCCCCACCAGGTGCCTCTTAGTACTTTTAGGATATTGAGAATTTTTCTGGCTTTGTTCGCCAAGTATTGGAAATGTTCATCGAAGTTAAATTTGTAGTCAAATATCACTCCAAGGAATTTCACTGAGTCTGAAGGATACACAGAATCGTTGTTTAAGTTAAGCGAAAGATTTATATTATTAACATCTAATCGAAGTCTATTGAATAGTACTAATTTAGTTTTTTCAGGGCAGAGGTCTAAATTTCTATCGGAGAGAAAACGTGAAATGATGTTTAAGCAGTTCTGTAGAATTGCAACGCACTCAATGGGATCTTCCGATCTACAAAGGATTGCGATATCATCTGCAAATTCGGCTAGAATACAATTGTTAGGAATAATAGAGACCAGTTTCCTAGTATATAAGGAGTATAGTGCAGGACTGAGGACACTTCCTTGGGGAACTCCGATTGTATTAATTCTAGGTCCAATAATCTCTCCATTGATTTTGTAAAAGAGTTGTTTGTGAGCTACAGAATTATAGATAAACCTTGTTATAGACCTTGGAATTCCTAATTCACATAGATCTTCTGCTAGAATGCTTGGCATAACGCTGGGAAAAGCGCCTTTGAGATCTAGAAAGAGGCCTGCGGTGATTTGTCTATTGGCGAATCCTGTCCAGACTTCTGTTGCCAGGATAGCGAGGTTGTCAGCACACGATGCTGCCAGGTACCCTCACCAAACGCAACTGCGCTTGCGCTACAAAAATGATCTTATTAAGCGAAATGAACCGCGCATTTTTAAAACGTTTAATACACAGTCGAGAGCGAACATATTTGATTGGGGCGCCTGTATATCCCCGTTTTTAAAAAGTCCAAAATGTAATTTGATCAAAATTACAAATTATGTCAAACGTTAAATCCATATAAATTTCATTCGATATAATGTGGCTTTACACAAACGTTTACTTAATAAAATGAGTTTATCCAAGAAATTGTTTTTCAGCAAATGGGCTAAATTATTCAAAATAATATTTTAGTAACCATTTTGTCAAAAAAGCAGCGAATCAAAGATTATCTGTTTAGACAAGTCACCCGTAGAGGAACTGTAATTTCTTTGGTTTCTTTGTCAACATTTTCTATTCTTCTAAGGTTAATTTTAAATTTAAAAAAAAATTTATAATAAAACAATGTTTCCATGAGAAGCCTACATATAGAGTTAGAAACAAGAGAAAAAAATATACCTATTTATTACTATAAACAATAATTAAACATTAAAACTAACCTCAAAATAAAATTTCAAGACAATATTTATCCTAATTAATTTTCCGAACTGGTGTCGCTCGTTTCCTTATGGTATGTGTCAAATTTATTATGACTTGCCGTATGGTTGGAATTTTTAACCTAAAAAATAAAAACAATTTCAATATACCTTTAATATTAATTTGTGTGATTATCAAGATTTATATTGATAAACATAAATTTCAATAAATTTTTTTTTTAATATTGTTATTTATAATTAATAAATTAATTATTTGTTATTTACTATATATTATTATATATATTTATAATATTAAAAGTAAAACTAACCTCAATGCACAATTTAATTTTCTTCTTCTCCTTACTGTCATATATTGCACCTATAATTTAAACCTGAAAAAAAAATTAATTCGCATTAAAATAATTAAACTATTTATTTACTTATTTATTTATTCATTAAAAAACAATACTTATCTTAATTAATTATACAACACGTTTGTATATTCCATTCTGCACAGATTATCGTAAACAAAACAAAACTGCTTTACCAACAAATTCTATTTTGAAATTTGACACAACTATAGGTAATTTCACTTTCTGCATTATCGACTCGTGGTACGAGTTACCGACAATATGCTTGAAATAGTTTGTACATCACCACGGCGCTAGTAGTACAAGCGCGCACTGGTGGGGACGCTCGAAGTGGTGGGGACACGGGTATATAAGCAGGCGCCCGAGACGAGACTGGCACTTCATGCTCAACTGTGTTACAGGTAAGCAATAGTACCAAAGCCTTGTTAAGGCAGACCAACTTAAGCTGTATTACAGCCAAGCCTTATTAAGGCAAACGGACGTAAAGCTGTATTACAGCAAAGCCTTATTAAGGCAGACGGACGTAAAGCTGTTTTACAGCAAAGCCTTATTAAGGCAGACGGACGTAAAGCTGTATTACAGCAAAGCCTTATTAAGGCAGACGGACGTAAAGCTGTTTTACAGCAAAGCCTTATTAAGGCAGACGGACGTAAAGCTGTATCACAGCAAAGCCTTATTAAGGCAGACGGACGTAAAGCTGTATTACAGCAAAGCCTTATTAAGGCAAAACGGACGTAAAGCTGTATTACAGCAAAGCCTTATTAAGGCAGACGGACGTAAAGCTGTATTACGGCAAAGCCTTATTAAGGCAAAACGGACGTAAAGCTGTATTACGGCAAAGCCTTATTAAGGCAGACGGACGTAAAGCTGTATTACAGCAAAGCCTTATTAAGGCAGACGGACGTAAAGCTGTATTACAGCAAAGCCTTATTAAGGCAAAACGGACATAAAGCTGTATTACGGCAAAGCCTTATTAAGGCAAACGGACGTAAAGCTGTATTACAGCAAAGCCTTATTAAGGCAGACGGACGTAAAGCTGTATTACAGCAAAGCCTTTTTAAGGCAGACGGACGTAAAGCTGTATTATGGCAAAGCCTTATTAAGGCAAAACGGACGTTTTTTTATTCGACAGTTTATTAAATAATCGTTGATAAAATAAGTCCCCGAGTGCAGTCCCATGGCATCGTTATTTGCTTTGCTTTTTGTAACTTGACTATTAAAAGAATTCATTTTAGAAACTTTATAAATTATTTATTCTCTACATTATATTATGCAGACTTTTTTCAAATTTCTATCAAAACTATAATTATTTTAATGAAAATTTTGTTAAATAATTCATCTTTTTGAAAATGATTTTCTCAAATAATTGATTATTTTTTAATTTCAAGACAATATAATTGAATTTCAAAGATTTTTTTTAAACTACTAATTGAATTTCGTTTTAAAGAATTTTATTATCATTTTTGTAAATAGTTGCTTGATCTCTAATAATTTGTGAATTTAATGTAATGGAAATTCTAGAAAAAAATATATATAATTATATTAACACAAGTAGTAGCTTGTAGTTGCTAAAATTTTTAAAAAATACCCAAATAGCCTAGTTACAAAACCCAACGCAAAACGATGTCATTAGATTGCACCCTTATTTTTTTGTCTTTTTAACAAAAAATTTTTTTTTTTTACAGAAATTCATGTACCAGTATCTACTGTATTGACATAATGAAGAGAAAACGACAATTGAGTTTAAAATGTTAGTGTTTAACAGATGTATTTTAAAAATATTTTTATTTACATGTAAAGTTAACAATTGTAATTTATTTGTTTATTCTCTATTTTTCAGCAACAAATGAATCTCGTGAAGGACATTCTACCAGATTCTTCTACGGTAACTCACAGACACAAAAATCTGACGAAAATTTGACATTTTCTTCATCGTCATCAACTCCAAAGACAGAAGAGGCAGAACATCGAAAAGCAGAGAAGAAAACTTTTCGCTCGAGTGGAATATTCAGATTAAAATGTAAGTTTTTTAAAATTATATTTTCTTCAAGTATTTGATTTAAATTGAGGAATTTTTAAATTTTAATTCTTTTGTTTCTTTTTAATTTTCAGCACCAACTAGATCTCGCGAAGAAATGTCTACCAGTTCAATTGGAAAGACTGAAAATGTGAAAGCTGGAATTCCGGAGAAACAATCTTTTACTTCCAGTGAAAGATTGAGTTTAAAATGTTAGTGTTTAACAGATGTATTTTAAAAATATTTTTATTTATATGTAAAGTTAACAATTGTAATTTATTTGTTTATTCTCTATTTTTTCAGCAACAAATGAATCTCGTGAAGGACATTCAACCAGATTCTTCTACGGTAACTCACAGACACTAAAATCTGACGAAAATTTGACAGTTTCTCAATCACCAACAACTTCAATGACTGAGCAGGCTGAACCTCGAAAAGCAGAGAAGAAAACTTTTCGCTCGAGTGGAATATTCAGATTAAAATGTAAGTTTTTTAAAATTATATTTTCTTCAAGTATTTGATTTAAATTGAGGAATTTTTAAATTTTAATTCTTTTGTTTCTTTTTTATTTTCAGCACCAACTAGATCTCGCGAAGAAATGTCTACCAGTTCAATTGGAAAGACTGAAAATGTGAAAGCTGGAATTCCGGAAAAACAATTTTTCTCTTCTAGTGAAAGATTGAGTTTAAAATGTTAGTGTTTAACAGATGTATTTTAAAAATATTTTTATTTACATGTAAAGTTAACAATTGTAATTTATTTGTTTATTCTCTATTTTTTAGCAACAAATGAATCTCGTGAAGGACATTCTACCAGATTCTTCTACGGAAACCTACAGACACAAAAATCTGACGAAAATTTGACATTTTCTTCATCGTCATCAACTCCAAAGACTGAGCAGGCTGAACCTCGAAAAGCAGAGAAGAAAACTTTTCGCTCGAGTGGAATATTCAGATTAAAATGTAAGTTTTTTAAAATTATTTTCTTCAAGTATTTGATTTAAATTGAGGAATTTTTTAATTTTAATTCTTTTGTTTCTTTTTAATTTTCAGCACCAACTAGATCTCGCGAAGAAATGTCTACCAGTTCAATTGGAAAGACTGAAAAGCAAATTTTGTCTTCGAGTAAAGGACCGGAAAAAAAATTCCATTTCATAGTCAAAGATTAAGTTTGAAATGTAAGTTTTTAATAATTAACCAAGGAAAAAATGATTCGTACGATGAATCATTTTCACCTGGGTACATTTTAAAAATATTTTATTAAAATAACAATTTAAAAATTTTAATTTATTTAATTCCTTTTTTTCTTTTTCAGCACCAAGTGATTCTCCTGAAAAGCTGTCACCGTGTTCAGTTTACCGTGTACCAACAGAAACATCATTATCATTATCGTCATCAACTGGACCTGATTTAAAAATCACTTCTTCAAAAGTAGAGAAATCGAAAAAGCAAGAAGCTAAATTTTCCCATTCAACATCAACTTCAAAAAGAGATGGTAAAATTTTGTATTCTTTTTTCTTCTTTTATATTTTCTTAATCTCTCTCAATATAAAATTAATAAAATTTTCATTTCTTCCAATTATAGGTGTTGACTCATCAATTGAAAGTGGTGCTGGCCCCTCTTCAAAACGAAAGAAATACAGTGTCGAGAAATCTACAATTGGTGTTTCTTCAAACAGAAAAAGAACGTCAATTAATTTGGATAATGAAAATATTGATAAACCGTTGCATCATAAAGTGAGAAGAAGATTGGAATTAATGGGAACAGAAAAGCATACGGTAAAAGTTTGTTTGGGAAAATTATGTAAATCAGCAAACATTAAAAATCGAATTGAAGAAGATGCAAAGGTTGTTTCATCAATGATGTATGAGGCAACAACAATGGCATTATTCGGCCTATATGAAGAAACGAATGTTGAAAATGTTGAAAATTGCCCATCATTGTTGGAGAAATGGACCAACAATGGTCCCGACTTTCTGTCATTTTTAATATCATTAAAGCAGAAAGTAAATGCTCAACGTAAAGTAACTGAACAGGATGCGAAAATAAATACAATGGTCAACGAATATAAAGAATTAAGGAATGACATTCCACTTTATGACGGAGAACATAGAACGGCAATAATTCAGGAGGCAGCTTTAGTGTTGAATCGAAACTTTAAAACAAATTTCACGACGCATGCAGCATCACGATTAAGAAGATATTTGCAGCTATTAATGGAAATTGAAGACGAAGAAAAAAATCATATGGAAGTAGATGAAATTCAAGAAATTTGTTCAGTTTACCGTATCAAAAATGATAATGATGAAAAAATAAAAATTAGGAGTTTTAAAAATAGCATTAAAAATGAACAAAGAAAAGAATTTCAAAAATCTCAAAAAAAAATTCCAGATGAAATACGAGAAAAAAATACATCAGACTATTGCGATGAAAGATATGTTCGACAGGAAAAATATCACAAACATTGCGATAAAGTCTATTATAAAAAAAGGCCAAGAAGGCGAAGAAAAAAATCGAAAAAGGAAAAAGAAGAAGAAAAAGAGAAGAATAAGGAAAAAAAGAAATTTCGAAAAAGAAGGCCTTCATTTTATAAACAATCTGTTGCTGCTTTAAATCTCCTGCTGCAAAAAAATGAATGTCAAGTGAAAGGATTCCCTACTGATTTACTACTGAAAAAGGATGATAATGATAGAAGAAAATTGGACTTTACAAAATTGACAAAAGATGAAGAATGGCATAAATTTTTGCCATTTTTCATTATGATTCAACAAGAATTTCATGATAAAAAGAAGAAGAATTTCACGTTAATTCCACAAATTTCATTAGGCGTGAAGCATGTGGTTTATACAAATACTGCTTTAAAAGAATTGCAAACGGCAACTGTTATTCAAGAAATTAAAGAAAAAAAGGCAATTTTACAAAAAAAGAAAAGAAAATCAGGAACGAATAAGGATCATCTTCAAAGAGCAGTTGATAAGATGGACGATGAAATGAAGCGCTTAAGAGAAATGAACAATGAAGAAAGGTGGAATTCAATGTTCAACTTTAAATCAATCCAAAGAGGTCGAAAAAAATTAAAGAATGGTGGTAAATTTTCTGGTACAATAACGACAAACGGTGTGGACGTATCAGTAATTTTTGATTTACCCACAAAACATGATGTTGTGCAATCAAAGAAGAAAGTTGGAAGTTACAAAAAATTTTGTGGTTTTGATCCTGGTGCGAGGGCGACTCTGGCTGGTGTCAGTAGAGAAAACGATCCTAATCCAACCACTAATGTAAAAAAGGATTCAGCTATTTACATTGGTAGTTGGATGATGAGATGGCAGATGGGCGACTACAGAAGAAGAGAATTAATGAAGAAAAAAGGTATAGACATGCAAAAATATTACAAGCAACTTGCTGAGGATCCATGGATGGAAAATTTTTGCATGACTAATCCTCGAGATCGCCATCGCATAACAAAATATAGAATACATCTTTTACAAAATTTCCAATCACTTCATCAAAAAAGATCCGTAACGCGTTTAAAAATAGATCAATATTCGGCGCACAAACGACAAGTTGATCAACTTGTGAATTGGATAGTAGGTGATACAAAAAAGAAACCCTGTTTCGTTGCTATTGGTGGAGCTGAAATACCTAATTTTATCAAGGGATACACTAAAGCTCCTTTGAAACGTATTGAACAAACTCTTTTCCAAAGATCAGCGGAATTAGGAAAAGATAAATTGCAAGTCGTTAAAGTAAATGAATTTAATACAACAAAAATGTGTAGTCGTTGTGTGAGACCACTTAAAATATCCAAGAGTCCCCATCGATACACTTATTGTGCGAAATGCAAAACAACGTGGGAAAGAGATGTAAATGCAGGGCGCAATATTCTTAATCTTGCACTTGTTCAAGAAAAAATCATACCAAAGGATTCCATAAAAAATCACCATCTATTTCGGATTACGAATGATGACGCTCAACATCAAGATGCAGAATTGCAGAAATAATTTTTCCCATCACTTTCAACATTCATTTTTAAATGTAAGTTTTTAAAATTTATATTTAAAAAATATTTTTTTTTATGAAAAACATTAAAAAATTAATTAATTTGTAATTATTTTCTCTTTTTCAGCACTAAGTAAATCTCTTCAAGGACATTGAAAAGGAGGAACCTCAACAACCGGAAATACAAATTTCTACAATGGACAATATACTGCTTAATTGCGGAAATAATTTAACAAAACATTATTCGGTCCTGGTGGTGATGGCTTTTTGTCATTGTACATACCAGGAGATCTCTTATGAGATCCGAACCAGCCTATAAAAAGGCATACCAGGTTTTTTAAGAAATTAAAAAACATGCTACTTCTTTTATTGATTATTGTTTGAATTTTTCAAATTTTTTATAAAAACAAAAGCACATTTGTGTTTTTTTTTATAAATTAAAATAATCAATAATAGGAGGGGAGGTAATTTTGTAGAAGACATTTATTTCTTTAAATTTAAATCATTTTTCTCTTTTTTACTTATAATTTAGTTTCAGTTTAACGGTGTAATTTTTAAAATTTTAATTTTTTCAAAACATTTTAACTTGATTCAACATTTCACTTTAATTTTAAACTTTTTTTTTAACAATTTCAATTTCTCCTTTTACAAAATTACCTTCTAATCAGAAGTACCCTTACCAAATCAACTTAGCTTGCACTACAAAAATGATCTTATTGGCGAAATGAACCGCGCATTTTTAAAACGTTTTATATTTAAACATATAAAGTACTTTAGATGGACAAGTTTTATTCTACAAATAGAAGCATTTTTGTAGCGCAAGCGCAGTTGCGTTTGGTGATGGTACCTGGCAGCTCTGGTAATTTAGTACTGAATACTTATAAAAAAGGACAAAAGATATTTTTTGACTTGATATCCAATTTCACAAAACACAACACACAAGAACAACAAAAGTGTCCTTATTAAATGTTTTCTTGTTCCTTTACAATATTAAAGTTTTAGATTCATTAAAAGAACATTTTTATGAAATATGACAAAGACGCAGGTACCACATGTACCAGAGTACTAAATTACGACACGGTGTGATTGCACCCTAATTTGATAACTTAAAGCTTGTTCACTTGTTCAGAAGTTTTACGGACCATTGTGCACACTACCTTCAGTCCCCTGATGAACTGTCATTGCTAAACAGTGGAAAAAAGAGAAAAAGGTTTTACAAAAGTATTTTACAATATAATACATATAATACTCGATATTTTAAATAGTTCCTGAAAGAAAGCTAATAATCAACTGTTTATTAATTGCTTGAAACAATTTTCAATTCATTCCCTTCTCTCATTTGAGAGTAATTTTACTTTCATTTATTCCATTACAGGGAAGCTGTGTAACAGGTAGAATCATTTATTCAATTTAAATTTTTGTATTCTCGAATTTTACATTGTTTACAAATTAGGGAAAATGTAAATAATATTAATGAATGTATAAATAATATTTACTCTGTTAAAAAATATTTTTTCTTACACGTATCTCGTATTTTTGTAGTGTGAAAATGGAGTAAACGAATTTTCTCATCGGGTTAATCTTTACATTTTCTTTTGATAACTTTATATTGTAGTGGGGAAAAAAATCTTAACATTGAAAAATGAATTGTTTGTTTTAAGAATTAAGTTTCAAATTGTTTAAGTTAAAAACGTTTTTAACTCAAGCAATTTAACTTTTATTATTGTTTACCTTTCGTTTCTTACAGATTTTTTTTCACAATGACTGAACAATTTGTTGGTTGCACTGTTTCAATAACATGTGTGGAAGAAATAGGCACCTATCAAGGGCAAATTGTCGATTTTAATGATCAAAAGGTGATCTTGACGAAAGCATTTTGCAATGGTGTACCACATTCTTCGCCTCGAGTTACTATAAAGTAAGTAAATTTTTTTTCTTTAATTTAATTTAATAAATAATAAATCGTATCGAAATTGAATAAAGAATAGTGTTAAATCAAATAAATCGTATTAAATTAATTAGTAAATAGTATTAAATTGAATAATAAAGAGTATTGAATTGAATAATAAATAGTATTAAATTAAATAATCAATAGTATTGAATTGAATAATAAATTGTATTGAATTGCATAATAAATAGTAGGTATTGAATTGAATAATAAATAGCATTAAGATTAAATGTAAATATAATTCTTTAGTAAATAACTGAACGATTAATATGTTTTCTTTTTGAATTGTAGCGCAAAAGATATTTTGGAACTCTCAATAATATCGATAAATGATGCTGGTAAAAATATTACCGATGCTGAAACACAAAGTCGTGTCATTGTTAAAAGACCAATCGCAAAGCGAGCTGGCAGATCGACATCGGATTTCACACCACCACCACCACCTGAGGTGCAAGTACAAACACAATTCACTTTGAAAAAATCAATTGAATCCACCTTTCAAATGGAAATTCCGTCAAACGGAAGAATCAGTTCAGGTATTTAAGTATTTTATTCATTTTCCATGCATCCTTGTGTGTAATTTTTTTAAAAAAGGTGATTGTGATTTCCTTCTTTTTTTTAAGCTGAAGTTATATCAAAAACGAATCAAAGAAAATTAACTCACAGACAGAGACGAAATGAAAGAGATGAACAAGCATTCGGAACTCCAATCGATCAATGTTTAAAACAGGATTTTGATTTTGAAAAAAATTTGGCTTTGTTTAACAAGGAGGTAATTATAATAAAATAATAATATGTAATAATAATGTAAGACAATTTTGGTTCCATTCTTAGTAGATTCAAACGTTTTGAACGTTCAAATAAAGGACGATATTTTTTTCAATTTGCAGTACAAATGTTATTTTAAGAATATTTGAGAAAAAAATATTTTATTTGAACGTTCAAAAGTTTAAGGATAAATAGAAAGTAGAATTAAAGAATAGAAATCAATAATTATTATTTTCATTCCTTAGTATTTTGTTAAATTCACTAATTAAGACGTGAAATTATGTAAAATGCTTTTAGGCGGTTTGGCAAGAAATAAATTCATCGAGACCGGACATTGTTCGTCAGTCAGAAAGTAATAAGGCAAATAAATCGAGATATCGACACGATGAGAATATTATTGAATCGGCGCCGGCAGCATTTCGTCAAATAATTGTACCTTGTCCAGACCGAACGGAATATGTAACGGACGATGGTTTAATCATTCCAAGTATCACTCTTGACCTTCATCGTCAATTAATTGGTGCAGCAGATCGATTTGGCATCACTTGGGAGCGAAGAGTAATTTTCTTTTTACTACTATTTTAAAATTATTCCCTAGTATTTTTTTTCAAACTTCGCACTCATCTACTAAAACCTTCTATTAACTAAGTACTTCTTTTTTAACAACTTGCTACTATTTAGATACTTTTTCTTAGATTTGTGACACTAATAGCTATTTTTTTCTTCTAATTCAGATTTTAAACTATTTTAAATTCGCTTATAGCTGAAATAAAAAAATTATTCTCAACAATTTTCAGAAATTGAATTTTTGGAAATAATTCTAAACATTTTAATAAAGTTCATTGAAACGATTCAATTATTTTTAAAAAATTTAAGGTAATTTCTCGCAAGAATTCAATTATTTTCATAAATAATTAAATTATGAACTGAAATTGAATTATTTTCATAAATAATTGAATTCTTCGCTGAAATTCAATTATTTTCGTTAACTACAATTTTAATAAAATTTCTCAAAAGAATTTAATTATTTTAAATCAATTTTAATAAAATTCTTTGTTGAAAATTCAGTTAATATCGTAAATTAAAAAAATTTCATAGAAGTTCAATGATTTAAAATATAATTTTAAGAAAATTTTTCGAAAGAAATCAATCATTTAAAATATTTTAATAAAATTCTTTGAAATAATTGAATTATTCTTTGAAATTCTAATAATATGATTAAAAAAAAATTTATATATTTCCACAAATTTTAATATAATTCTTCGCAAGAATTCAATTATTTAAAAAAATGTGTAATAAAATTAATTCCAAGAATTCAAATTTTTTTTTATACAAGTTTAATTAAATCATTCGAAATAATTGATTTATTCCTTCAAATTTTAATGCAATGATTCAAAAAGATTCAAATATTTTCCAAACATTTGAATAAAATTCTACGCAAAATTTTCAGTTATTTTTACAAATAACAATTTTTTTCACAGGAAATTTAATTATTTAAAAAAATTTTAATAAAATGCTTTGCAAGAATTTAATTATTTCCATAAATAATTGAAATTTCACAGTAATTCAATTATATTTACAATTATTTATAAATGTAATCTCAATAATAGGAAATTTGTAAATAAATGTAATAAAGAATATTTTTGATTATTTAATAATTTTCAGAGTGAATCAGAATATTTTTTAGAATCAGGGAAAAAGTGAAAATTTTGTCTGGAAATCAGGAAAAAGTCAGGGAAAAACAAAATTCAATATTTGTGACAATCCTGTTCTGATTTTAAATAAATTTTTAAAATATAAATATTTTTTGTAGGTAGAATTATTTGGACGCGCTGGAACAGAAATAATACTACAATTATTGGGCGGCGGTCATCGTTTCAATCCAAATAATGCACATCAACGACCAACAGTTGTTGCACTCTGTGGACCACATAGATCGGGCGCAGCTGGTGTTAATTGTGCACGACAACTCTCTAGTCACGGTGTTAAGACAATTGTATTCATTGAAAATTCCGAGGACGTTTTTCTCCTACAGGAATTGTCATTATATAAATTAACAAATAACAAAGTTGAATCGGATGTAAAAAATTTACCGCCCGTTGTTGATTTAATAATAATGGCATTGTGCGAGGAAAATTCACCAAGAACAGTAACTGCAGTGGCAAAATGGGCGAATAATAATAGAGCACCAATTTTGGCAATAGAACCACCGTCCTCAGGCACACCTGGAGTTTTGAGTAAATACAGTCTCCTCAGTGCACTACCATTGGCACACAGTACAGATAATGGACGATTGTATATGTTAAATCTTGCCTTACCCAACAAAGTCTTTTTAGATGTTGGCATCACTTACAGATCACCGTTCGGTCCTAAATTCGTTATTCCCTTGCATTCGAATGATTCTTAGCAAACTGTAAGTACATCATTGTTATTATTGAGACTTTTCAATTAATGTAAAAAAAAAATATTTAAAGCAACCGAATGCCAACCATTTTTTTATGTTTCATATTTTTCAATCAGTTTTTAATAAATAAACTATCGACTGTATATTATTCATAATTTAGTGGGTAAAACTGAATGTAATCTTTTTCTTGTTACATAAAACTGATTCGACAAAATTTTGTCGTTTTTATTTCTTTACAGAGATGTTGAGAAATTATTTTCTAAACAAAACTTTATATTAATTTACTTACCTTTACTTTACTTCTGATTTTAATTTCACTGAAAAGTAAAGTTTGACTCAAACTATGAAATTATCATGAATTCTAATACAAAACCTTTAATTTTTTCTATTTCTGTCAATAATTTCTTTTTAAACAACTTAATTTTTGAACAAAACTACAAAGAAAAATTGTTTAATTATTTAACTCATAAATTATTTAATTTTTTAACTCATAAATTTATTTATTTTGAATATGATTTTGAAAAATATCTCGTAAAAATTCAATTATTTTTAATAACTTTTTAATAAAATTTCTTGAATGAAAATTAAATTTTTTAAAACAATTCAATAATTTCCGATTTAAAATCTTTGAAAATCAGAATTTTTGATACTTTTAATTAATAATTTTGTAGAATTAATTTTTTTGAAAAATTTTGATTTTTTTTTTAATTATTTGAAGTTTTTATTTTCTAATCGAAATTTTATAAAATTGGACTGCAAACTGCAAATTTGAAAATTCTCTAAGAAATTTTTCGAAAATTATTAAAAAGTTAAAAAAATTTATTTTTAAATATCAACATCAATTTTTGTAATACTTTCAGATTCAAAATTGAAAACATTAACATAAATAATTAACTAATTAATTCTAATTTACTATTTTAAAAAACTTTCATTCAATTCTTTACAAAAATTGAAATATTTTCAAAAAAAATATTAAAGTCCATCTCAAAATTCAATTTTATTTATTAAGTTCCTAAAAAGAATTTAATTTTCTACAATTTTAACAAAATTCTTTACAAAAATTCAATTATTTTTATAAATATTAGAATTCTTCCCAAAAATTCACTTATTATTAAAATTTTTAATAAAATTCTTCACAAGAATTCAATTATTTTCAAAAAAAAACTAAATTCTTAGCAAGAATTAAATTATTTTCGTAAATAATAACATTCTTTGAAAGAATTTAAGAATATTTATAAATTTTAATAAAGTTCTTCTAAGAAATTCAATTAATTGCAGCAATTGTAATAAAATTTCTTGAAACAAATAAATTATTTTAATAAATTATAAAGTTCTTCAAAATAATAAATTCCATTATTTTTAATACAAATTTAATTACATTCCTCGAATGAATTTAAATTTTAATAAAAATCTTCCAATTCAATTATTGTCAAAAATTTTAGTAAAACTCTTCAAAAGTCTAGAAAATAATAATTGTATTGAAATGATGAAATAATTTTGAAGAAGTAATCGATTTCTTCATTTTTATAATATAATTTTTATAAGTTGTTGAATTCGTAAATAAATGGAATAGAACTTTTTTTTGAGTATCTAATAATTTTTAGAGTGAATCAAAATATTCTTTAGAGTCAGGGAAGAAGTCAAAATTTTGTCTGAATGTTAGGGAAAAGTAAGGGAAAAACAAAACCAAATTTTTTGTCAACCCTGAAAATATCTCTTGTTCAAATAAAATTTACAAAAAGCAAGTAAAATTTTATAGAGAATCGTAATAATCGATGTGATCGCCGGAAACGTATTTTTGTTCCTCGAGAACTTTTAGAAGACGATTCACTGTTTGCAAAGTGGTTAAAACTGTATTTTTGACATTTAATTCATTAAATGATTCCTTCACTTCAAAATCGCCGACATTTTTACACACGTCATGGAACATGTCAGTTTTTACGGGACCTGGTGAATAATTCAGTACGTTTATGTCTGGATTTTCTTTAGCGAATACCTGAAAGAAAAAAGGGAATTAATTTCAAAAATTAAAGTGGAAAATTTAAAAAAATTTTTAGATCGTTTGAAATTTAAATTTCAACCTTAAAGAACATTTCTCTAGCTGCTTTTCCGGAACAATAATAACCCATTGATTTCATCGGTTCCAGTGCACAAAGCGAAGTTATGTTAATGACGAAAATCTTCTTTTTCACACGTCCATTGAAAAATTTGACAAAAACATTATTCAGCACTGACGGAGAAAATACATTTAAATCATAGTATTTTCGCCACACGTCAAAATCCAACATGTCAAGAGTTTTTTGACTTATATTTCCCAGAGAACCGGCATTGTGTATAATAACAGCTTCGCTAAACTGTGAAATATTTTCTTCTTTTACAGAATTGCGGAAAATTTCTGGAAAACGACGAAATTTATTATAATTTATTTATTATTTATTATATTATAAATATTATAATTTTTTTTAAATAGTAAAATCTTTGCAAAAATTCAATTATATTCACAAAAATTGCATGAAAGAATTGAATTTTTTTTCATTCGTTATAAAATTTTTCAAAAGAAACAATTATTTTCTAAAATTTTAATAAAATTCAATAAATAAATGTTTAATTTTAATTATTAACAAACACGATTATTTTAAAAACTTGAAAGAAGTTGTTCATAAAAATCAATTATTTTCAAAATTTTAAATTAAAATTATTAAAGAAACTCCATTATATAAAAAAAAAATCGGCTTCGAAAAGAATTTAAATGGAATTTTCAAAAATTTTAACAAAATTCTTCAGGAGAATTAAATTATTTTCCTAAATAATAAAATTCTCCGAAGGAATTCTAGTATTATCAAATTTTTTTTATAAAACTCTTTGCAACAATTCGATGATTTTCAATACAATAATTTTAAAATTGAAAATATTTAAAAAGAGAAATTATTAAAGAAGTTAAGAAACAAAAAGCAAACAATAACTAACTTCAAACTGCGAATACCGGAATACAACGATTATTATTAATGTAGATTGAGTGAATAATTAATTTAATAGTTAATTTTATTAGAATGTTCTTACCAGTTAAATTTTCAGCTGATGCACATGAAAGATCAACACTGACAGTATTTACCATTAAATTATTCGGCAATTCTTGTTTCACTCGATTTAAACTTTCTCCATTTCTTGCCAGAAGTAAAACTTGTGATTCGGCTGGTAATAAGGGGGCAAAAGATTTTGCAATTTGTTCACCAATTCCTTGACTTGCTCCCGTAATAAGAAGAAATACTTTGTCGGAAAATATTTTCATTTTTGCTGCTTGTTAATTTTGTTTTTCTTTATATTAAAAATCAAATATAAAATTTAATTTTTTCCAAATATCAACTTATTTTTGAAACTATTTTATTATCGACACAATATTTACACTATTATTTACATTACACTCTTACATTAATTCTACGACGAGAAAAATAGAAATATACAGTATAGTATAGAAAGAATTAAAACTCTTTTTTAATTTAAAAAATAAGAATTAATAGAACTTGACATATTGTACTTTTGTGTTGTATTTTGTAAACAAAAAAAAAGTCATTTAAATACCACAAATCAGAGTGATCAGAGTTGGGAAACTAAAGATTTAGACCGTGTGAACTGTACTTTAAACTTGTTAAAATCTACCTTCTCAACCCTGTGAAAACAACCTGTTGTTTCAAACCATAATTGTTTGTTTACAAACTGTCAAAAAAAAGTGCAAAATGTCATGCTAAAAAATGCTTTCGACGAGTTTTGTTAATATGTATCAACGTAGAGAGGAATTAAATATATACAAATGGCATCCTGAATTGGTTTTAATATCAAGATGTCCTTATACTTTCGAGGGGTTTTTAAATTTACCAAAAATCTGTAATATTCATGGAAAAACAGTTATAAAGATGAAATTAGTTGTTCCTTTCTATCCAAATTTAGACGATATAAATGTTTATTTCACTGAAAATTTTCGACGTTCTTTTAAAAATGACTTTCAAGAATTATTGGAAAATTCATTGCAGAATGAATCGTCTCTGCATTCGTTTTTAAATCAATTAAAGGAATATTTTTTACAGCAAGTGGTAAGTATACAGTGATTTTATATATTTATGCTATGAATATTTTTAATTTATTAGCAAATGATATATTTTTGACTTATTTTTTATTTATCGAAATTTAATTTTGCACTAAAAAGTCAGAAAAATAAAATGTTTTTTCTTTTTTAGAAAAAGGATTGTGCTCATTACAAATGTATCACTAACGAATCAACTGATCATATTTCTTTGAAAAATAGACTTAATGAACTAAGGGAATTGCTTCACAATACTTCAGTAAGAATAATTTTTTTTTATTATTTAGTAAATATATTTATCCACCTATTTTATATTCATTTCTCATTGAAAGCATTGTTTTATTTATTTTTCTTAATTATACGAATAGAAATATAATAAATTTATATTTTATTTTATTTTATTTTATTTATTTAGTATATTTAACGGATATATTTCGAATTAAAATTTGTAAACAGAAAATTATTCATTACAGGAAATAAAAGTGTCATCTGATTCCGATATGAAGAATATTAAATTGACGGGAAATGGTATTTCGATAATTGTTCAAAATAAAGAAGGAAATATGTGGAAAATTGTGAATTCAGAAATTCCGAATATTTTAGACAATAAATCAATTGAAAATACTCCATTGTCATTGAACAGAATTTGTAATATTTTTATGATAAAACTTGAAAGTCTAAAGAGAGTTTGGAATGAATTGGAGGAAATCGATTCGTACGATTAATTAATTTAATAATAATTATATTTTAATTGATAGTTTTAGAGAATATTACATTATTTTATAATTATTGCGAATTATAATAATTAAATCATAGTAATTACAATAATTTAATTTTAATAATTATAATTTAATTCTAATAATTGCAATAATGTAATTAGTTTTAATTATTCAATTTATACTTGAAAGTTAATAATTAAATTTCCCTTTTTAATTGCAGAGAATGTTGGGTGATCGATCCAGTTAAACCAAAGCCACATCAACTTTATCGAAGAATTTATCTCTCAGATTCATTGTCCCTTATGATGACACTGGATCTTTCTTACCTGTCAAGTGTACCAAATGTAAAACTTGTTGGCTGTGAATCAGAGGTTTTAAAATATCGCGAAAATCTCTCAGATCGTATACAGGTAAATATATATATTAAAATATATATTATAATAATTTAAAAAAAAACTAAAATTATGAATTGAAATATTTTTTTAAATAAAAGTTGGCATTAAAAGAATGTTAAATTTTTAGCTCTGGGATTGTGAGTATTCACTGTTGCATAATTTGTACTTGTTACTCAATATTAACGAATTTCCACAAGCTCCAGAGAAAGCGAGTGAAGATGAAAATGTTGGAATAATAAGTGACGAGGAGTGTTGCATTTGCTTTGAAAAAGAATGCGAAAATCAATTGCCGAATATAATTTGCAATAATACACGATGTAGAAAAAATTTCCATTCCATTTGTTTACGACAGGTAAAAAAATTTTCTTTATTCTTCTCTCTTATGGAACAAAAAAAAATTATTCTTCTTTTCCAGTGGTTGGAATCTGCGAATGGAAAAATAACAGCATTCGATCAAATTCATGGAGAATGTCCACATTGTCATGAAAAAATTGTTTGCTCAAGAAACTAGATAATTTCACAGTCATTGATTCTCATATTTCAATTTTGTAAATATTAAACACTTCCATAATTATACGAGAGACTTTAATACTGTTTCTGAATTAAAAATGCAGAATACAAATTTTAAGATTAAATAGGTTTTATATTTTAAATTTTGTAAACTAAAGTTAAAAATAAATATTTAAATATGTTAAAGATTTAATAAATTCTTTTTATTTCAAATTCCTATTAAAATCTGTTAAAATAAAAGTTAATTGTAAATTTGCATAGTTTGTGTACATAAAACTATTGTTAATTTGAGTAGAAGAAAAACAGTTTTTTAAATTATAAATATTTACAAACAAAATTTGTATATGTTAAAAAATTAGATTTTGATTCTCTTTTTTTAGGAACAGAAAGGAATTTATTTTTCGTGTTCAAAATGAGGGAAAATGAAAAATTTCCTTTCATTTTCTAATTAATTTTTAGTAGTTGATTTAAAATTAATCATAATTGTTCTTTGACTTTTCTTTTCGAATGTTTGTGAGAATTATTTTGTTTTGGTAACATCACTTCTTTCGAATGATGAATTACAGCACCCTTGTCCAGTTGAAATCTAAAAGCGAATCGTTAACTTTGTAATTACAAATTACGTTTACAAATTCCATTTACAAATTGCATTTACAAATTCCATTTAGAAATTACATTTACAACTTCCAATTATAAATTACAAGGAAATATAATTTCTATTTAGACATTAATTTTTAAGTTGCATTTTAATTGGAAAATAAAAATATTACCTGCACAGATGGTGAAGGGGACGAAGCATTTCTTCCTTTAAGGAAGATTTATTCTCCAGAATCGATAGAGCAATTGCTCCTGTTTCAAGGGTTGATAAACAATTGTCTGTGGGTTGAGTTCTTATGACATATTGACTTAACGGAGCGCCAACAATTTTACAAGTTCGTAGTGTACAAAGAACTGGACTCGCGTGATAAATTGCCTAAAAAAAGCATTGAATTTAATTAATTTCGAGAAAATTCGAATGAATTTAATTAATTTTTTCGCTTTCGTAAAAGTAAGTTTATTAATTAAAACAAATAAATTAATTTACCTTAGCTTGTGGCCACGTTCCATCTAATAAAATTACATTGTAAGGTTTTTGTTCATTAAACCCGACCGGCGTAAGTTCTTCTAATGCAACTGCTTCTGAAGTTGGATACAATAAAATAGTATTTGGATCATTTAATATTTCCTGTAAACCCGTATGTTTTGCTTGTGGGAATTTTTTCCCTCTGAAAATTGATTAAATTCAATTCATCTCAATGTTTATAAATAAAATTAAATAATAAAATTAAATTTGTAGAGTAATTTTCGAAAAGGTCGAGAAAAAAATATCCAAACCTGTAAGTAACACATTTTTCATTCTCCAGAGCTAATGTTAACATGGGAACTGTTCGAAGACTTCTTTTCTCTTCAGCTGGATGTTGCAAAATTATTAATCTAGATTCTGTGAATATTCGTGTTTTTGGAAGACCTGAACACCAACAAACAGTTATTGGACGCCTGTGAATAAAAGAGAAAATTCAAATTGATTGTATTAAAAGTGGAAAAATTGTAGTAGGAAATGTAATAATAATGATTAAAATATTAAACCTAATATTAAATATGGAATATTAAATATAGAAATAAATAAACAATAATAAATAAATAAATATTGACAGTTGTCAATATAGTTGAAATAATTCGAATTGTTATACTAACCGGCATTGTTCACATTTGTTTCTCATTTTTGGAGGATCAGCTGGTATTTCAGCCAGTTCTTTCCATACATTTTCTTCGTTTGTATTTGTTTGCATTTTTAATTTCACGATAGTACAATATTTTCGTATGAATCAAAATTGAATTTTTTTTTAAATTGGAGTAGTAGAGAAATAAAAAATCGAAATAATTTGTCAATATTTAAGGTTATGTTACTCAACAATATATATTTACAATAACACTCGTTTCATAAAGACATGTTTCAATTTATTTGGTTTTTAATTAAACATTTATATAAAGCAGCAAATTATTTTTTATCTAATTTTCATTGTCAAGTACTAGAAAACTTTATTTTGGTTTTGACAACAATACTCAAGACGTGGACAACTTTAAACTCTGCTTTTTTACGTAGAAATACGTATGCAATACGAATTTACCTGTTGAAGCCAACTGTGACGAGCGACTACTATCTCGCTCGAATCACATTTCGAGATTAATCGAATCGCGATTTTTAAGTCGCGGCTTAATTAAATTTATTAAAACAAAAGTATAAAATACATATTTCGAAATATAAACCTGAGACTGAGAACGACTAAAGAATATAGTATAATAAAGTACCTAAACACATTTTCATGTTTTAGCGGATGTTATTTTAAACATTCCAAAGAATGAGTAATTGTACTTTAAGAAACTCAAAATATTTCTAAAACATCATAAAGATAATCTGGATTAAGAAACAGATGTTTTAATAAAATCTAAACTCTTCGATTTCCTTCCAAACCAATATGTTTTTCTAACACTATAGGTACAATTGAAAAATACCCAAAAAGTATACTCCTTTAAGAAGTCATAAAATTAGAACAGCTTACTTTTATAGACCAGATCCTTTGTTCAGGTAATACTACCGAAATGGTACACCTAAAAACTTTCTATCCTTTTAACTTCAAAATTGTCACGTACTGGAAAAACCCAGTTTTCATTACTTTTTAGAATTGTTAATCGCTCAACTACTTTTTATAAATAATCGTAATTTCTATATTTCATTATTTCTATCAATCTAAAATTTAATCAACTATTATAATATTACTAGTAGTGAATTAACACTTGTAAATAAATTACCTTTAAGAGTTATAGTTAAACAATGAATTTGTTATAACTATCATGATCATCAGCATTGTATAATTTATTTATATAATATTTATTATAGTTGTAACACGTATGTGAGCATCGAATACAAGAGTAAATATACTTATTATAAATGTAAATATTACTATTAGTTTATTAATTGTATATAAACTGAATAATTAAAATAACTATAATATGATAAGGATAGGAATAATAAAGCTATGACGAATGTGTGTGTATCAACACCGACAGGTGTGACGTATGAAACAGTATTAGTATTGGTGAAGTGCATAAAGTGTAAAGTGGGGGATACGCGTCACTTTGAACATGCGCATTTCCCCCAACCTGGACTAACAGCGGAGACCAACTCCAATTGACTATAACTACAAGTTAGATTTAAGTTGACTATTGACTAGAAAGGTTGCTTCTCAGTTTCCTTAGTCATTTTTGTACTATTGAACTTTTATTTAAATAAATTTATTGGGTTTACTCACAAGAAGTCTGATATCCATCAATAATTAATATTATTAATTATTGATTGATTCTTTCTTGTTGTGAGGTTTTTCCCTCCGTTTTAACGGAATATTATTGTTTTTATTATTTGTAATTCCCGGTTCCTCTTAAGGATTCAGCCAAAGTTGAACTCAACGAATCATATCAGAGCACTTGAGTTTGCGTATTAAAACCCATATGTGCTCGTAACATAATTTCAAGCAAATACGTCAACGGTGCTAAAATTAAAATGTGAAAATAATTTTTTTGAAATAATATTAAAAAAAAACGCATTTTTAATATTTTAATAATTACTGAGAAAGTGATTTAAAAAAACTTAAAGAATTAACAAATAATAGAAATAATTTTATAAAAATGGTACAAAATTCGACATATTTTTAAGCTTGTTTGCAAAAGTTATTAACTTTATGGTTCACTGGTGTGCAAATAATTAATCATCTTTTGTTTTTTTTTTAAATTATATTGATTTCTTTCTATAAAAAATTGAAAATCACTAAAAAGAAATTCTCGAATTCGAATTTAAATAACGCGCTCAATTTTAAGATGGCTGACCAGCTATTTCCGACTACTAAAGTTTTGACTCAAGTTAAATATGATCCAAATGAAGATAGTCGCAACAGCAATAAATTATATTTTAACGACATTAAACATCAATTTCAATAAATAATTATCATTTCCCATATAATTTTCATTAAAAAAATTCATATTCAAGACAAAAATAAATGAGAAATATAATAAAGTGCCTCGACAACCGGAAATGTGAATGGAACTACATTTTGTCGCGTAACACCTAAAACAGGATGTGTAGTGTGGTTCCTATATAAGCGTGGAGCGCATTTCTTTCGACGCCTCTTCCTCATTAAGAGTAGAGTTGTGTTCACGTGTGGTTGTGTCTCCTTTTTACCTCAAAATAGGTCACACAACCCACTTCCAGTCGTGGATTAACACTCTTATAATTAATAAAAAAAAAAAACCAAAAAAAATATAAAAACTTTTAAAAATACAAAACAAAAAAATCGCAAAATCGTAGCCGAAAACCGCGAAACCCGAGGAAAAAAAAGGTGTGGAACAAAAATACAAAGTGAAAAAAATAATTTTCGTTGATTTTTCGTTCACGCGTGTTAGAAGTGCGAAAAACGTGATAAAAAAAACCGGAAAATATAAGTCAAAGAAGAAGCATCAAACAACACAGGAGGATTTTCTTTTTTTCTACAAACTACAACTTTTAAAAAGAGTAACGTTTAATCAAAAAAAAAAAAAAAAGTAAAAATAAAAAAACGCAAAAATGAATCCTGGAGCACCAAACTATCCTATGGCCTCACTCTATGTTGGCGATCTCCATTCGGATATCACCGAGGCGATGCTCTTCGAGAAGTTTTCATCGGCTGGCCCAGTACTTTCAATTCGCGTCTGTCGTGATATGATTACACGACGCTCGCTGGGATATGCTTATGTCAACTTTCAGCAACCAGTCGATGGTAATTATACTATTTTAAATTATTCTCTAAATTACTCTATTGAAAATTTCTAGAAAAAAATTGCCATTTCATAGCAGGGAGCAATAATAAATGTTGAATTTATCCAGTCCTAACCCAGACTTGACACGTGCTATTCGTTCATTGCTACCATATTGGATTCCCTTCCCCTCATTTTTAACGTGAGCGTACGTTACGTTCTGCAGCCACAAGGAACAAGCGAGCTGCAATTCAAGCTACTCAGGTTGGGTTGGATTTCAATGACGCATCCAGACATATTCCCGTTCTCTCTTATACCTGCTGCTGCTCCCTCATTGAAATCCTTATTTTTCCACATATTATAAATTCATCCAGCTGTTAGCGAAATTTCCCTCCAAATCGACATCTGCTAAAAATTTTCCATTACTTATTTTTCTCCCCTTTTTTCCCCCCACGTGTTCCCCTCAAAAAAAAGAAAAATTTCCAGATGTTTTGCTTTATTTTCCCCGCATGAATTATTGTATTTATTCAATTTTATTACGTGTCTCTGAAAAATAAACTTATCTCGTTTACAAATTTTTCTTTGTATCATGGAAAGGAATAAATGAAAACAATATGTTTACGATTTTCTTTCAATTAGGACGTTGAAATTTGATTTTCAAATGTTTCGAGTAAACAGAACTTTTGTTTTTATTATCGGTATTGGATTAAAATTTTTGGAGTAAAATGACTTGTATAAAATACGTTAAATTTATATAAGTTTTGATATTTTTAGAAAATACTCGAAACTTTATAGAAAAGGAATTTTTTAATGTAATTTTATTATTTTATACACGGGAAGTAATTTATTATTTAATGATTTATCTAAGCGGGTGAAAAGGAATTTTTGAAATATATTTTGTTTTCCATATTTGCAACTTATGTACATATTTACTCATTGACAAAGAAAATTGCGTCTTTAAAAAGTATATAAAGTAAACAGTTTTTTTTTATTTTATCAACTGAGTTTATTTTATTGAGAATATTTTTAAGCACTTTCCTTATTTTTTATCTTTGTCTTTTATTGTTATCTCTTTGTATGACTCATCGATTGATTCGTGAAATTCAATTGAATATTCTAATTTTTCAGTTTGATTATATTCGAAAAATTTGTCTATTTTCCGCACATTTTGTTGTTTTTTTTTAATTAAAATTGAATGTTATTAATTTTTTCTTTTTTTTTTAAATTAAAACTTGATAATAATTAATTTTTTTCGTTTTTTAAAATTAAAAATTGAAAATAATTTTTTTCGCTATTTTAAATTAAAAATTGAATGTAATTAAATTTTGTTTTCGTTTTTTAAAACTAAAAATTGAAAGTAATTCATTTTTTTCGCTATTTTAAATTACGAATTGAATGTAATTAACTTTTTTTTTTGTTTTTTAAAATTAAAAATTGAATGTAAATAATTTTTTTAAATAAATATTGAATGTAGGTAACGGTTTTAATTAACAATTGACTGTAATTAATTTTACTATTTACACAAAAACTTACAAATTTTTTAAATATCTATCTTAAAGAGGTTTTTTTATATATAAATAAATTACATTTGTTTTTTTCGTTAAAGTTTTGAACGAAATTTATTTTTTTTCTCCATCAAATTAAAATTTTATTGCAATAATATTGCGTCGTGTGCTAAAAATATATTCTAAATGTTTAATTTTGTTTGTATTTTTATTTATTTTTTTATTATTTATTATTAAATAATTATTTTTTATTAAAGATCTTGTCCCGTTAAAAAATAAATTATTGTTTAATTTTTATAAATATTTACAGTAGGACAAAAATTTCAAAAAAAAGCTTTTTGATCTTTTTTTTCTATAATGTCGCAGAAATGTTTTTGAAACTAAAAAGAAGAATTGCATCATACTTATTTGATAATATTTATTTTCATTTAAAAATTTTTTGCGTTGTTTTTAATGTAAGATTTTATTTTTATTTATTTGAAACAGATTAAAAACCCAAAAAGGTCGTAAAATAGATCGTAAACATTTTTTTTTCAAATTCATTTTTACTTTTGCTTGCGAGATAGTACAGAAATAAAGTCGATGAATATAAAATGAGTCATCGGAAACAAAGGGGACGTTATTTTCCAAAATTATTTCTGAAATTATGAAGGAAGGAAATAATTTTTAATAAATTGAAACTTCGCTAATGGAAAATGTTGTATGGAATATTTAACATAGAATAACCATTATTTAATGAATTTATTAATTTTTAATCATTTTGAATTAAAATTCTTTAGAATAATTTACGATAAATTTATAATAATTTACAATAATTTACTATTAATTTATTATTATTCAATTAATAGTGTAATATTATAATTATTTTATTAGCAATATTTATCAATAACATTAATTTTTTTGTCTTTAATTTTATTATCTATTAGATTCGCACAAGTTTTGAGCGTTCAAATAAACGAAATATTTTTTTATCACAAATATTTTCATGAATTACCAATTGCAATGAATATGAAAAAATTAAATTTTATATTTAGAAACTTTAGAATTAATTTTTTGAATAAAAAAATATTATTTATCACTACCTATATAAAAAATTTGATTTTCGTTCAGAAAACTTTATAATTATTTTTTTTTGATAAAGGAATTAATTTATTATTTATAATATAAAAAATTTAATTTAAAGAAGAAATAAATTTTCGTTCATTTGAACGTTCAGCTCTTTAGGATCGTTTGAAGTGTATTTTGTTAGAAAGGGAATTAATTTTATTATTAATTTATTTTTATGTAATTAATTATAATATTAATTTTATTGCCTTTTGTCTGTTACAGCTGAACGAGCTTTAGATACCATGAATTTTGACATGATCAAGGGCCGACCAATTCGGATAATGTGGTCTCAACGTGATCCATCGCTAAGAAAATCAGGAGTCGGGAATGTCTTCATTAAAAATTTGGATAAAAATATTGACAATAAGGCGATGTATGATACCTTCTCCGCTTTCGGCAATATACTAAGCTGCAAAGTCGCTCAGGATGAAACTGGCGCCTCAAAAGGTTACGGCTTTGTACATTTCGAGACCGAAGAAGCCGCCAATAAATCTATTGATAAAGTCAATGGCATGTTGTTAAATGGAAAAAAGGTGAGAATTTGACATTTTAAAGTTTAAAAAAAACTTGTGAAGAAATTTATAAATAATTGACATTATAATAGAAGGAATTTAAATAATAAATAATTTATTAATTACTAATTTGCTAATTTTTTTTTAGGTGTACGTTGGTAAATTCATTCCGCGCAAGGAACGTGAAAAGGAACTTGGCGAAAAGGCCAAACTTTTCACCAACGTTTACGTGAAAAATTTTGGCGAAGACATGAATGATGAAAAATTGAAGGACATGTTTGAGAAATATGGCACGATCACAAGTCATAAAGTCATGAGTAAAGATGACGGTAAATCACGTGGTTTTGGTTTTGTCGCTTTTGAAGATCCTGACGCAGCTGAACAAGCAGTTATTGAACTTAATGGACGTGAGATTGCCGAGGGTAAATTTATGTATGTTGGCCGTGCACAAAAGAAAGCTGAACGTCAACAGGAATTAAAACGTAAATTTGAGCAATTAAAAATTGAGCGTTTAAATCGTTATCAAGGCGTTAATCTCTACGTGAAGAATTTGGACGATACCATCGATGATGAACGTTTACGTAAGGAGTTTACTCCATTCGGAACAATAACATCGGCCAAAGTGATGATGGAGGAGGGACGCAGTAAAGGTTTTGGTTTTGTCTGCTTTTCGTCACCTGAGGAAGCCACGAAAGCAGTTACCGAAATGAATGGACGTATCGTTGGTACAAAACCACTTTATGTTGCATTGGCGCAACGCAAGGAAGATCGTAAAGCCCATTTGGCATCGCAATATATGCAACGTATGGCAAATATGCGTATGCAACAAATGGGACAAATGTTCCAACCGGGAACTGGAAGTTACTTTGTACCAACGATTCCGCAACCGCAACGCTTCTACGGACCGCAAATGGCACAAATTCGTGCGTCACCACGCTGGCCAGCTCAACCCAACCAAGTTAGACCTAATGCCCAGACTGGAGGCTCTGGTTTTGCAACAATGCAAAATCAGTTTAGAGCTGCGCCACGTGTTCCCACTGCTCAAACGGGAGCTATGCGCAATGCCCTCTCTGCACGACCAATTACTGGTAAATATTCTTGTTTTTGTACCAAATTTATTATTCTCGCGATTTATTTTTTTAGTTTTATTCGAAAGAAAGGGAAAAGTTGGGAAAAAAGGTCTGATTCGAGAATTTTTATTAATTAATCAAATAGGAGTTCAACTCATTTGTTTTTCCTTATTTTTATCTCTTTTTAATCTCTTTTTATATAATTTATTAGTAACTATTTTTACCTTTAATGAAAAATTGAAATTCTTTCAAAATTTATTCATTATTAAATTTTAACTTTCGTAAATAATAATTTCACTATAAAATATTTTTATCTTGAACGAAAATTAAAATTTTGAATTTTTTCGAAACTTACTTTTTATTAAATATTAACTTTGACCGTTTGGCGAGTAATTATTTCATTAAAATTCAGAACGAATTCTTTTCTGGTTACGTTTTTTTAAAATTTACTACATTAAATTGAAAAATAATGCGAATTCAGCATTTATTTACTTTGGAATTAACTTTTTTAAGTAAAAACTTAATTAGCTTTTTTTTCTTCAACGAAATATTTAAATTTTGGATCTTTTCGAAACTTGTTTTTTTTTTTTTATTAAATTTAAAAAGTGGCCGTTTGGCGAGTAATTATTTCACTAAAATTCAGAATGAAATTTTTTTTCTGTTCCAATATTTTTTAAATTTAGTATATTAAATTGAAAAAATATTGAAAATTTATCATTTATTAACTGCAGAATTAATTATTTAAATTCAAAACTTAATTATCTATTTTTGCCTTTAACGAAAAATTGAAATTTTGGATTTTTTCAAAACTAATTTTTTTTTATTAAATTTCAATTTTCGTGAGTAATTATTTAACTGAAATTCAGAACGAAATTTGTTTCTGTTTCAATATGTTTTAAATTTACTATATTAAGTTGAAAAATAATGCGAGTTCAGCATTTTTTTTTATTCGAGAATTAATTTCTTTTAATTAAAAACTTAATTAGCTATTTTTACCTTCAATGAAAAATTAAAATTTCAATTTTTTTCGAAACTTTTTTTTTATTCAATTTTAACTTTTTGAGTAACTATTTTACTAAAATTATAAACAAAATTTTTTTCTGTTTCAATATTTTTTAAATTCAGTATGTTACATTGAAAAAATAATGCAAATTCAGGATTTATTGGCTGCAGAATTAATTCTTTATATTATTTTCTTTGTTTAAATATTTTTTAAATTTACTGTATTAATTTACAAAAATAATCAAAATTTAGCATTCAATGTTTTTATATTAAAAATTTGATTTAAAAAAATATTTTTTAACGAAATAACAAAATAAAGAAAGAAAAAAGAAAAAAAAGAAAGAAGTAATAAAAATATTTTTTGAAAGTTCAAATATTCAAGAACATAAGTATTAAATTTCTTTTGCATCAAAATTTCTAGAAATTGATATTTTAAAGTTCAGAGTCCTCCTCGACTTGTAACTAATCAAGAATCAAAATATACAAATTTAAATATTAACAAAAAAATTTCCCCTCAAGAATTATAGAAAACTAGTTGAGAAATGTTTGAAAAATTAATTTTATGATCTAAATTATAATAATTTTCAAGCGAAGGAAATTTTCCAAAATTAAGTCCTAGAATCGAAAACAAAAGCAAATTTAAAAATTTATTTCGTTTATAAGAAAAATATTGGCCATAAACAGTATTTTTCTACTTGAATTTTCAAAATTTAAAGAAATTTCAAAAAATTCTAAATTGACAAGAGACAAATTTATTTATTTTTTTAAACAAAATTTAATTAACCCGATTAGAGAAATTAATTTCTGAAAAAACCTTCATTTATTGACGACTTTATCAATTTAAATTATCTTAAACGAGATAAATAAGCTATTTTCCGAGTAATATTAGATTGAAAGATTTAACGATTGAATTTTTGTTTGTCTTATCGTGATTAGAATATACAAACTTAGTCGTTTGGTTAATATTTTCGATTCAGTGATATCTTACTGATAAATTAATGTTTATATAATTTGACCTTTAGACGAAATATTATATAAATTGAAGTCATTATATTTTAAACTGTTCACTGTGTACCCTTGAAAATTACAAATACTTTAGTCCAAATTGTTTGGAGAAAATTATTACATATTTTGACTTAAAAACGAGTTAAAAAATAATCGGTTTGTCAAGTAAATTTGATTGTAATTTTAATTGAAATTTTGATTGTAATTTTGATTAAAAATTCGATTATAAATTTGTTTATCAATTTAAATATAAATTTAAATAATAATTTCAATTTTCGCTTTGTAGCAAGTTTTAAATAGTAATTATCTACTTCGAATTCTTTTTTTTTCAAACAATTATCAATTATTTTCCATTTGGAAAATTCTCATAATCACTGTTAAGAATGTTAGAAATTTTCGATTCCATTTAATTACTGTTTAGATTGACATGACTTTCAAATTAGAAAGTTTGTCAATAAAAGAGATACTTTCGAATACGGTAAATTTAAATTGTTGACGGTAAAAATAGTTTTCAAGTTTTCCTACAATTTCACCTCGTAAAGAAGTTTTAAAATTCGGAAATTAATTATTTTCAACTAAGTGGAGAGAAAAATTGAAGCAAACGAAATTATTAGTTTCAAATGTAATTGGTAAATTTTTTTTTGTTCTCTGAAACATTTTTCTTGTGTTATGTAAATATTTTTTTGGTACCATAATTTTTTTTTTAGTGGAAGAATTTGGTTCTTGGAAATTAATGTTTATAAAAAAATATTTATAATATTTGTAATATTTTTATATTAAAATTAAAATCTTTGTAAATTTGAACTTTTCATACTTTTAATTAAGAATTCTATACAAAAAAATTTGAAAATTCACAAAGAACTTTTTCAAAAATTATAAAAAAAAAATTGAAGAATTTTAGTTGAAAATTCTAGAAACGAATAATCGTAATGATGAAAATAATTTTTAAAGAAGTTACAGTAACTAAGTAGCAAGTTTTAATTATTATAAAACATGAAGAAAGCGATCACTCCGAGTCTTCGACTCGGAGCAATCGATTTCTTCATTTTTTATAATAATATTCTTATATGTTATTGAATTTCGTATTTTTTAATATCTTAATTTCTATAAAAAAAATAATGATTAAATATTTATTTAAAAATAAAGTTATATTGATGTTTTCGAATAATTTTCGTTTTAAAAATCTGGAAAAATCGGGGAATTTGAAAAGGGCAAAAGCGTGGCAACCATGTAAGAGAATCAACAATTTTTTTTGTTTACAATTAAATTAATGATAATTTTTTTTTGCAGGTCAACAAGCGGTGGGTGGAGCAAATATGCAAGGACGTTCGATGGCTGGTCCAGCGGTTGGAGTATCACCTCAAAGTCGTCCATCAAATTACAAATACACAGCGAATATGCGCAATCCTCCACAACCAATGGCGATTCCAGTTCAAGCTCCTGTACAGCAAGCGGTTCACATTCAAGGCCAGGAACCATTGACTGCTTCCATGCTGGCCGCTGCTCCATTACAAGAACAGAAGCAAATGTTAGGAGAACGTCTCTTCCCGTTGATTCAGTGCATGTATCCACAACTCACTGGCAAGATCACTGGTATGCTATTGGAGATCGATAATTCGGAATTACTGCATATGCTTGAGCATGGTGAGTCATTGAAGGCCAAAGTTGAGGAAGCCGTAGCTGTGCTACAGGCTCATCAAGCCAAGCAAGCAGTTTCAAAGAAGGACTAAATTCTTTTTTTTCTTTCTTTCTTTCTGTTCAATTATTATTTTGTCAATTCGATTCTTATTATTATTACAATTATTATTATTATTATTAATCTTCTGTTCACAAATTCTGACATTTTCATTTTTATTAAAATAAAAACAATTTCGTTAAAATTATAATAAATGATGTTTTCTTTTATTTGTATGTGTACAATCCTTGTTGATTACAATTTTGGTAAATTGCAAAACAATTCTTTGCGAAATAATTAAATATTTTGCAATTTCACTTCTATATTTTGTGTGTAATTTAATATTTGTGTACTCTTCTCTTTTGGTTTTTTTTAATAGTACCAATTGATGAATTTTATCATTTGCATATTTTTATATACTCATGGATGTATAATTTTCTAAATACATTTCACACAAAAAACTCTTGATTCGAATTGGAGAAAAAGAATTAATTTTTTGTAACCATTGGAAAATTTTTTATTAAAATATAAAAACTGAATTCAACAAAAATTGTTTATTCTCAACTTCTGTTATTAAACAAATTATCATTTTAAATGACAACTTTATTTTTCAACGCTGATTTTTTTAAAGCTATTTTCATTAGCTAATTTTTAAGATTTTTAATAACAATTTTGAAGAAAATAAAAAATCTTTGGGCAGGAATTATCAATATTTATAGAAAATCAAAATTTAATTTCTCAATATTTATTTATTATTATATCTTTTTGGGAAGATTTAAAACTATTTGTGATTTTATTGGTATTGAACACTTTGAAATTTTAAAAGTTTTAAATAATTTGCCGCTAAAATTTCGAATCATCGAAGGAAATCGATCTGCGGCTAACTTCAAGTGTCAAGAAGGTTAGGTCGACTAGAATTGCGTAGTTACACCAATTGGTCAAGAAAGTGGACAATTTCCACGATTTATTTAAATATTATTTACGAATGTGATAAAAAATCGAATTATAATAATATCAATGTCTTGTGTGAATCATTTAGAAAAGTGAATAAATAAAATACAGTGATAATTCGGGAAAACAGTGAGTATACCTGAAATATTACCTTTAATTTAAGAAAATCGCAGAAAATTGTCTTTTTGCATCTACCAATCAGAATTCAGTTAAGAAGCGTCTGTTTTTTGCAATGGCAACATTGCATTTCCGTTTGTTTTTAGTTATTTCCGTTTCCGCATAATTTGTATGTTGTATCTTAGTGATAGAACTTAGTTTATTTTACGAACTTATGGCACAGATGTACTTGTTGAATATTGTCAAAAAGTGAAATAATCAGGACGCGGGCGATTAATTTGTCTTTGTAAATTTGTTTTGCAGACGAAGAGAGGAAAGTGGTAAGAAAATAATTAAATTACGGACGTAATGTTTCGTGGGTTTCGCGTGTGCCAACTTTTCTTTGTTTCACAAGTGAAAAAAACGTGTTCATTCGCTTTTTTTGGTTTAATTAAACATTGTTTCTATTCTTGATTTAATAGAAATCGTATAGTATCCTTTTTATTATTTATATTAATAATTTTATTATAAAGTACAACATTTTCAAGTTTAGAACCAGCCACGTGGTCTTGTCATAAATTGAGATGAATTTCATTAATTTTACAATTGACGTCAAAGTAAATAATTCTTTTATGACCACGTGCAAAATTTTAATTTTTCTAGCGAGAAATTTAGACTCTTGAATAAACATTGAATTGTCAAACATATAAATTTAATCTCTAAATACTTAGTGATATATGTGTATTCAATTAAATTTATTTAATTTCTGTTATTCTATTTTGATTTTGATTTTAATTTCAATTTGCCTTTGAATAGAGACATTAAGTAAACATACGGTTGCTTAGGATTTAGGAATTTGATATTCCTTAATAATTATAATATAAATGTTGTTAATTTTATTCATTAAAAATTCTTCCGCGGAATTTCCAATTTTTATTTGTGAATTTCCTTGAGATTATTTTTTGTCTATTATATTAAAATCTAATAATGAAAACTCAACCTCGTAACAAAATAGTAATTTTCTATAAAAAAGATCATAAATCGGTCCTAGAAAAATAAATAAAAGTGCAATTCCTGATTTTATGTAATCCACAATAGAACCAAATTTCTAGGATTAAGAATAAAGATAAAGATCTTTTTGTATTCTTCCTAGTGGGAGATCTCCCTTTATTATCCAAACAATTGTTCCGTTGTAATAATTTATAATCACCGACTCATTCTGTGTTTCAATTGTACAATTCAAATTAGCAAAATTGGCCAAAAATTAAGTAAATGAAAATGATTTTCAAAGATTTTTTCATTATAAAGGGGAAAAAATTTTTTATTTTCGAGAAATTCTGTAGAAGAAATTTTCTATTTAATTCTCGGCACTTTTTTTCTCTCTTTTTTTGTGGTGAAATATGAAGGGAAATTTTTCAAATTATAGTAAATGTGCTGAACACGTGTTGGGAAAATAAAAATTGATATTTTGGCAACGCGTGTTGTCTATATTGAAAAAAAAGAATTCTTTTGAATACAAGTGTGTTTTATGTTCGATTTTTATTACCCACTTTAGACTTTTTTTCGAGTTCAAGTCCCATTTTAATCTGCTCAATTCCTTCGTTTTAAAATTTTTAAAAGGCAATAAATTTAACTAGAGTGTCAAATTTTTCGTGACAGTAGAGAATAACAGAAAAGGTCTTTTTTATTTTATTCGGTTTATTTTTAGAAAAAATAAAACACTTTTTGAAAAATTATATTTATGAGAGTAAAATTTTATTGATTTGTGGGTTTTTCTGGGTATTTCCCTAAGAAAAATAATTTTTTTCTAAATAGGAAATAGGATTAATTTCAATTTTTATTCCACATTATAATTTTTTATAAATTATTTTTTTATAACAAATAATGAATTAATTTCATTTCTTTAAGTTTGTATTTATCATAATTATTCATTAATTAATTATTCGTTAATAATAATAATTTTTTATAAATAAATTTGGTTTCTTTAAACTTTTTTTCATGAAAATATTTGTAAATAATTTTTCAGAGTAAATAAATAAATGTGTCTAGTTAAAATTTATTTTTAATATTTATTAATAAAATATTCGTTTTTCTAATTGGCTAAATTTGATTTCTTTTTAATTGAAAATTAGCTAGGTTTTTTATTTTTTAAGTCATTTGTATAAAATACCAAAATTAAAAGGTCTTTAGTCCTTTTTATTAATTTACACGGGGAATAATTTTTGATTACAATTTAATTATTAAAAGAAAAATATTTCTAATTGAAAAAGAAAGTTGCAATTTTAAATTTCGCCGCTATCTTTTTCGCCGATTTGTGCTGTCATCTAGTTGAAAATATTCACTCCATTGGTAATAGATTTCAAACATGACACTCAATAAACATTAAACTTTTATCAAGAAGAATACATTTTATTGTTTATTAAAAAACGTTTCTTAACTTGTAAATCGGTGCATTTATATAATAAAATTCTAAATTAGAAAAAAGTGCAAAATAAATTGACGTAAATCGTGAGATTTTTGTTTTCTAAATTTTAATACACTTGTGTGCGGGACGAGAGAAAGGTTGCATTGTTACCCGAATTCCTCTACAGTAACATCCAATATTTTTCATTTCAATATTCTGGCATATTCTCTCTCTCACTACAATCTTATATTTCCCCTTACCTCTTGGTGATCAAGTCAAGTCTTGTTACTCGCATTCTTTCCAGTGCTTTCGCAGAAGTAGGTTGTGTGTCTGTTGTGTGTCATATTAAAGTGAAATTCCTTTGGATTATTGGTATGTAATGAACAACCTTACAATATTGCAAATTATTTCCCTCTATTTTTCATATTCAACCTGTTGTCATAATTTTATTTCTCGATAATCAAAGCAAAAATAAAATGCCTAATTTATTTTTTTAAAAGTGTGTATATATTTTTTGTAAATGTGTCGATTAGAAACACTGGGAATTAATTTAGTGAAAGAGAAAAATAAAAATTAGCCATAGGTTAGGTGTGGTCAGGACTTCCCACAATTTTATAATTTAAAACCATTGTATTTAAATTGACAATTACTGTCAATTATTGTCAGGAAATTTTGTAATATTGACATTAAATTATGATTTTTATTTATTTCTTGATTTGAATCATTCGTAGGAAAATTGAATTCAAAAATAATTTTAAACTTAAAAGTGAAATTTTTCAATTTTACCGGAAGATGAAGGAATTTTTAATTAATAAATAATAATAATAAAATTAATTTATTCGAGAACCTATTTATCATGAAAGAATGGTAATTAAAATTTTATTCTGGAAAGTTTTTAATTTCGACAAAAATAATTCATATTACAAAATTTTTTTCATTCTTTAAAAAAAAATTTATTCCAAATTGGTAAGCAAAGAATTCCAGATTTTGTTTTTAAATCATATTATATGTATAAGAAAGGTCATTCTTATCGAGTCAAGTAAAATAAAAATAAAACCTTTTTTATTTTTTCGTTTGGAAAATTAATTTTTTTTATTCTTTTTTTTATAGAATTTATTTCGACCGAGTGGTAAATTTATCCACATGCATATTATTATTAAATATTTATTATTTCTGAACGAATCGATAAAAGGATTATTTTCAATTAACAATGGAGAGAGATCAAATTTTAAATTCTCAGATTTATTATTTATTATTTCTATTGTGAAATAAAATTTAAAATTACATATTTTATTTTAAATTATAATGTAAACAATAAAAGCATTTTCTATATTCTGTCCACGTAATTGAGGCCTTGAATCACATAACGAATTGTAAATTAACTCTTAGAAAAATGTGTAAATTACTCGAAAGTTAGTGCAGAATTTTTTTGAAAAAATTTTTGATTTTATTTGTTTTTTGCTATTTTAAAATTATTTAAATTATTTTGAATTAATATTATTTATAGAAAGAGAAGAAATTGAAGTAATGTTTTGTCTAGAATATATTTTCTTTGCTAAAAATTCAGATGAAACTGAAATTTGATACATTCCATTACATATAATTATCATTACGTGGAAAATGCTCGCCGGATGTCACGCAAAGGTCACAAATAAAAACAAAATACACCGGTTCGGGCCGTTATTTTTTATTGTCTGTGTCACATATGAAGCGACACAATTTTTATTGTGTGCAAATTTATTTTTAAAAATGAATATTGTAAAAATAATAATTAGAAAAAAAAGTAATAAAAATAGAAGCAATGAAAGTAGTACAAATAATAGAAAGAACAGCAACAATATTAATAAAAATAATAATTGAAAAAAAAATAAAAATAACAAAAGTAATAAAAATAAAAGCAATAAAAGTAGTAAAAATAAATAGAAAAAATAATAATAAAAATAATAATAATTGTAATTGTAACAGTAATTGGTAATAATAATAATTGTATCGTAATTTATTTAAAAAAATATTGAGTAGAAAAAAATAATTTTCTTATTTGAATAGAAGAATTTTTGAATACTGTGAAAAATGTAAAAATAGAGAATCGTGTATAAATAAATTATGAAAATATAAATCAGCATTATACTAGGTCAGTAAGTGGGAAACCTGTCAAAGCAACTTCTTAAAACTCACTTCCCCGCTCTCAATTAAATGCATTGTTCGTATTTCTAGAACGGTGAAATTAATTGATTTTAGTGTCGAACCTATTTTTGCAGGAAATTAATCGAAAATCATATTATATCAGCTTCATTTTTGATAAAAAAAAAAGACTTATCGATAATATCTAATTTCTACTGTAATCTATAATTTATAAATTATAATTCTTTCTCCATTCACCTTATCTCGTGTAATTGAAAACATAATTTATATTTTAAAACATAATTTATTGATAATGAAATACATTTTTAGATTATAATTAATTCTGTGCTCACTTTTTTTTGAGCGTTGAAATTAATTATAACTACTATTTAAGTTCATTTCTCTACTGTATATCTTTTTGAATTTATTATTATTAATATTTATTGTAAATTTCATTCTATTTTTGCAATAAAAATAATTAATGAATTTCTTTATTTTAAATTCGTTTTTGTAAAACAATTTAAAATTTAAATTTTGAAAAATATATGCATTTTTAAATACTATTTTAAAATTATTTAAAATTTTTTTTTAATTTAATTAATTTTAAAATGAATTAAAATTTTAAAAAATTAAAAATTAGGAATTAATTAAGAATTAGCTGAGAAAAGAGAAAGAAAGAAAAAATGTTTTTTTTAATGTAAAAAACTATTTTTTGTTACAGAAAAAGTTTGGCTTCGTAAATCCAGTAAAAATCTTTGTTTTAAAATTCAAAAGCGATTTGAATTTTGATTTGGTTGTAAAAATTCTCAATTGCGGCACTTCTGTCCTAAAAATGGACGAAGTTGTCGTAAATTTGAAGGCTTGCCTTATTACCACAAAAGGAGGCATAAGCATCAATCGGCTTAACAGTAAGTAACGTGGAAAATAATTGAAATTATTTTTTTTCTACAAAATTACGTGAGTAATTATTCTTTTTTCTTTTTTTTTTTGCTATTTTAGAAGACTACATGGATGTAGTTGGGGAGCGAATCCCGTATAGGAGATTAAATTATGCCAGCCTCGAAGATTTCGTTAATGATATTCCTGGTTTGAAAAAATCGAATAGAGGAGGTGAATTATTTATTGAGGCAATACCTACTGCAAAAACTGCTCATATTCATGCCCTTGTTCAGGGACAAAAGAACTCGAAGAAATCACGAAAGGTATAATTTTATGTTAAAGAGGTCTTTGAAATTGGTGCTGACGATCAGTGTCAAAAAATATTTTTTTTTTGGTTTTTAGTAATGAAAAAAACACTGATTACCTGGAAAAGTCAGGGAATTTTCAAAGTTATTGTGTTTATTCTTGAAATCTAATTTCACTTAAATATTTCAAAATTAATTCAATTTTAAAAGAATTGCGTTTACAATTTCCATAAGTAGATGAACTTCAAAAGATTTTGATTTTGATTTTGATTTTTTTCCTCAAATCAATGATTTTTAATATTTACAACTTTAATAAAAATTCCTAAAAGCATTCAATTAGTAAAAAAAAAATTTAATAAAATTCTACGCAAACATTTAATTATTTTCATGAATCATAAAAATTTCAAAGGAATCCAATTATTTACAAATTATTTTCATAAATTATTATTCAATTATTTTCATAAATAATAAAATTTTTTACAGGGGATTTTTTAATAAAATTTCTTTAAAGAATTAAATTATTTTCAAAACTTTCAATGAAATTCTTTGCGTAACAATTCAATTTTTTAAAAAAATAATTTGAATAAAATTCTTCCCAGAAATCCAATTATGTTTAAAAATTTACGAAAACTCTCGTCAAAATTTGAATTATCTTTATAAATAAAAAAATTTTTTTACGAAATTCAATTATTTTCAAAACTTTTAATAAAATTCTTGGCAGAATTTTAATTATTTTTAATAATACAATTTTCATCAAATTTCTCGAAAAATGAAATTATTCTTAAAAATTTTATTAAAATTTGTCAAGAGAATTAAATTATTTAAAAATTTGTTGATAAAATTCTTTATGAAAATTACATTTTAAGAAACATTTAATTGTTTAATAAAATATTCATTTTTATAGTTAAATAATTGAATTCTCGTAGAATTTTCTAATAAATATTGATTTAAAAATGAATTTCAAATTAAAATCTTTGATAATTTGAACTTTTCATACTTTTAATTAAGAATTCAATAGAATGAATTTTTTTCAATAAGTTTAATGGAATTTTTTTTTAATTATTTGAAGTTTTTAATTTCTAATATATTATTAATTGAAAAATGTCGCAGAATAATCGAAGTTTCGTAAAATTAAATTGTAAACAAAAGAATTTGAAATTTCACAAAGAACTTTTTCAAAAATTATTTTTAAAAACATTGACTGGAACAAGAAGTTTAGTTGAAAATCCTAGAAATGAATAATCGTAATGATGAAAATAATTTTTGAAGAAGTTACAGTAACAAAGACTCGGAGTGATCGATTTCTTCATTTTTTAAAGTAATATTCTTATATGTTATTGAATTTCGTATTTTTTAATATCTTAATTTCTGTAAAAAATAATGATTAAGTATTTATTTAAAAATGAAGTTATTGATGTTTTCGAATAATTTTCGTTTTAAAAAGCTGGAAAAGGCAGGAAATTTGAAAAGAGCAAAAGCGTGTCAACCCTGAAATGGAATCGTTTTGAATTTAAAATCTTTAAAAAATATGTATTTTTACTTTTTTAATACATATCGCAGAAAGAAAAATCTTTTTTGACGCTTAGCGTTGATGCTAATTTCAGAGACTTGATTAAAGTATTAAAGATAAATGTAGTGAATATTTTATTGGTAATAATTTTAATTAGTGTATACTAATTTATAATGTTAATAATTATAGAGGAAAGATGTTTTTAATAATTATAAATATTTTCTTTAATAGAGAGTGGCGACTTCGTACAATCGAGCTAGACCAACTTTTTCAAATTCAAGAAATTCATGTCAACAACGAGTTAGCAGGCCTCCTTATTCAACTCAAAGTTCGAGAACTCCAAGGTTTTTTATTTTATTTTCAAGTTAATTTCAAGTGTTGTATGTAAAGTTTCGATCAACTATTCTTTTTTTGTTTTTCAGTTACGCTAAGAAGAATAATGATGTTTTTCACGGAACGAGACCCACGACGGTAAGAATGATTTATATTATACATTTTGAAATTTATTTTCTTTTTTTGGTAATTTAATTTAATTTAATTAATTATTGGGAGATTTAAATATTTTCTGTGATCTTCTGTTTTCAGCAATCGGACACTGACACACGAGGCTTGAAATTGAGAGAAGTTGGGTTTGAAAGGCCAAAAAGTAATTTGCAAGATAGACTTATTAATCAACCAAAGAGTAATGAGACTGCGAATGTTCGAGTAAATTCACCTTCAATGAAAACACTTCTAAACGATGTTAATTCTTCAACATCGACAACACATATAAATGAAACACGCCCATCCATATCGATGGCAAATGGATCGACAATGTTTAGTATACCAATTCGAAGGAATTTCGAAAATAGGGAAAACGAGGATTTAAATGTCATACGGGTTAGTGGAATTTAATTTTAGTTTCTTTTCATCTAAATAGAGATTTTAAATCTCGAGGCAATAATTAATATTAATTAATTCTAACTAATTAAATTTCTAAACTAGTTGAAAGGCTTAATTCTTAATAGTTAATTTTCTCTAAATTGTTTAATCTAAATGATTTAAGATCTCAAATCAGTAATTAATAGTTTAATTATTATTATTAATAATTTTTATTAATTATTATAATTAATAATATTATCATATTTTTTTTTTTTTTTATTCTTAATTTATAGTTCTTAATTTAAACTGCTTTTTCAAGGAGTGTCTTATTAAAATTTTAATTACAGCTAAAGGCCAATTCGATGGTTCCGTTCGACGAATTTAACCAAAAGAAAACACCGGAAGAAGAACTTAGATTACTTGCTCTAAGTCTGAATGACACGGCTCCCGTGTATAAGATTTCGAAAGCAAAACACAGAAGTTTCTTTGCATCGGTCACAGTAAGTTACAATGAATTTTGTTTTTTTTAAAACTATTTTCAGGGTTGACACTCAACCTGTAAACCTGGAAATGTCAGGGAATTTTTATCGTAATCCTTTGAAAATTATTGTTTTCTAAAGTTATTGTGCTTATTCTTGAAATCTAATTTTTCTTAAATATTTTAAAATGAATTCAATTTTAAAAGAGTTGCGTTAACAATTTTCATAAATAGATAAACTTCAAAAGGTTTTAATTTAAAATTTCAATTTTGAATGAACTAATTAAATAGTAAAAATTTCACAAAGAATTCTATTATTTACAAATTCTTTATAAATTTATTTGCAATAATTCAATTATTTTCATAAATAATCACATTTTTTACAGAGATTCAATTATTTTCATAAATAATAGAAAACTTAACAGGTTTTCAATTATTTTCATAAATAATAAAACTCATCGCAGAATTGCAATTATTTTTAATACAAATTTTAATGCTATTCCTTGAAAAATGTAATTATTTTTAAAAATTTTATTAAAATTAATCAATGAAATTCAATTATTTTAAAAAGGCCTACCTATAATTTATTCATTAGAATTTCAGTATTATTTTCAATATATTTTTAATTAAATTTCTTAAAAGAATTAAAATATTTTTAAAAATTTTAATGAAACAACTTTTAAACAATTCAATTTTTTTTCAAAATAATTTTAATAAAATTCTTCGTAGAAATTTAATTAATTTCAATAATTTATCAAAATTCAATTATTTTCAATATCTACTACTTCAATAAAATTTCTCAGAATTCAATTATTTAAAAAGAAATATTATTAAAATTCATCTCAAGAATTCAATTATTTTCAAAAGTAATAAAATTCTTCATAGAAATTCATAGAAATATTCAAAGAAATTCAATTATAGTCAAAAGTTAAAAAAAATCCTCTTCAAAATTTTCAATTATCTTTATAAATAATAACATTTTTCTCCAAAAATTAAATTACGGTCAAAAGTTTGAAAAAATTCTCTTCAAAATTTCAATTGTTTTCAAAAACTTTTCTCAATTTAATCAAATTTTTTACAGAGATTCAATTATTTTTAATATAATTTTAATCACATTTCTTGAAAAATTAAATTATTCTTAAATATTTTATTAGTTATGAGTTAAAATTTTAGTTAATTATTGAATATTAAACTCTCTAAATTTGAATTAGTAAAAATGTTTTCTTATTTGAATTAGTGACTGACTTTTTGCTTTTGAATTAGCAGATTTTACTAATAAATAATCGTTTCTACTAATTTAAGAGTGAAATTTACTAATTCAAAAGCAAAAAGTCTGTCATTCATTCCAATTAGTAAACATTTTTCAAATTTAAATTTAGAGAGAAAGTTTCGCGTGAATTTTTAGAAATAATTAAATTTTGAAAAGGTAGTATAGTCTTTGAATGTTTGAAATTCTCATACTTTTAACTGAAAATTGTGAAGATTTAATTTTTTTGAAAAAGTTTAATTGAACTTTTTTTTAAGTTACTTGAAGTTTTTATTTTCTAATATATATTTGATTGAAGAATTTCCGAATAATCGATGGAATTTCGTAAAATTAAAGTGTAAACAAAAGGATTTGAAAATTTTCAAAGAAATTTTTCAAAAATTATTAAAAATAATTAATTTAAAGAAGAATTTTAGTTGAAAAGTTTGGAAAACAAGAATTGAATTAATGAAAGTAATTTTGAATAAGTTACAGTAACAATATTCTTATAATTTAAAATAATGATTTTATCACTCGGTCATCTTTAATTATTAGAAAACATGAAGAAATTGATTGCTCTGAGTCGAAGACTCGGAGTGATCGATTTCTTCATGTTTTATAACAATTTTTTATAAAAAAAATTTTAATATTAATTAAATAATTAATGAATAATAAATAAATTAACAATAATATTATTATTTATAGTATTATTATTTATAATAATTTTTTAATCTTTTTTCTCAGTTCTTGTTAAACTTTCTTTATTTTTTCTTTCTTTTTGTTAGAATTAGAAAAGTAAAAGAGAAAGAAGAAAAATAAAAGTTAAGAACAGAAAAGTAAAAAAATAAAATAGAAAAGTAAAAAATAGAAGTAAAAAAAGTAAAAAATAGAACTAGAAAAGTTAAAACACAGAAATAGAAAAATAAAAAATAAAACTTAAAAAAATAAAAAAAGAGTATGTACTTACAATATTAAAAATATTTAACAGCAGAGTTAAAAATTTTCTTTTCCAATTTCACAGGTGGGCAAAAATAATTTCTCGTGCTATCCAGATAGTGGTAAAACAGAAGAAGAAGCCAAAAGTATGGCTATTGCTAAAGCATTACAAGAATTAAAAAAAAAAGAAGAAACTTGCTCTTTACCCACGACGAAAGATACAAAACTGATAGAAGAAAGAATATTAAAAATAATCGACACTCATTCCACTGGAGTATTTACAACGCAACTGTTGAAATACTACATGGAGGAGTACAAAGAATTATTACCGCAAAATGTGTGTAAAATAATTAATTCTTGTGAATTTATTAAGGAAGAGAAAGGAGCGAATGATACGACTATTCTCACTCGATTTGTTCCAACAACAGAAGAGGTAAGTTTTTCGCAAATTTTTATAAACATATTTTCTATAATGTGTGTATGTACGTTTGTTTATTTCTAAGTCGACTTGGGTCATTTATTTAAAATATATTTCATTCATTTCAATTTTAATAATTTTTGACTGAATCAAAATTTTTTACAGGCGTTATTAATATAATTGATTAGTTTATTAATTCTAATTAATTAATTGATAATAACAAATTAATTATAAATTATCATTATACCTATTATTTAAATATGCAAAAAGTTTAGTGTCAAACTTGAAGTACAATAACTGTTTTTTTCAAAAATCTTACGTAAATTATAAAAATTAAAACCTTGAGTCGACTTAAATATAAAAACGTTAAATTAAAATTTAACAATTTCTTTTCATGTTTTTGACAAGTGGCATTTTCGACATGAAAAAATTCGAACATACGTTACAGAAAAATAAAAAACTATTCCTCATAGTGAAAAATTAAATTTTTTTCTCACATGTGAGTAAAAATGTAAAACTTGATGTGTTGTGTGCAAAAGTTTTTTGAATTGTTTCATTATTTTCACGTTTGATTTTATTTTTCTATTTTCTTGCAAATTCACTTTTTTTTGAAAGAATTTTATATTTCTTGACTATTGAAAATATTAAAAATTAAATTTATTATTTATTTATTTATTATTTACTATTATTATTTATTAAATTAAATTTATAGATGTCTCTTTACTCATTTGAAATATAATTTACTGTCTTCTTCCTTTAGAAGTTTGTTTAAACTAAAATCATTAAAACTACGTGTAGAAATTTTGTTTTTTAATTCTGAGAAAAGTGCAGATCAATTTATAATAAATATATTTGTATTACCTTTAGTAATTGTAAATTTATTCTTTTGCATGGATTTTTTTAGAGACACATTTTCTATTCTTTTTCTGTGCACGAATTGCTTTTTTCACCTTTATTTTTTTTTCTTGTTTAATTGTTTAACACCGAGTGTTCAATAAATTATTGAAAACTTCAAACTTGAAAGATTTCAAGTGGTTTTGTTTCTAGATTTATAAATTGATTAGGAATGTTTGATAAATATTGGAAATTAATTTATTTTTTGTTTTGCAGAAAGAGAGCGAGGAATTAGCTCCATTGTCTCCGTTTAATAAATTGAGAATAAGTTCAAGTGATGGACAACTTTCGAGCAGTTTAACTATTCCTGAAGATAAATATTGGGTAACGCATGTGACATTTGTTTATTCAACGAGCGAAATAATGGTCCAAATCGTTGGTGAAGAGTACAGTGTAAGTGTAATAGAATATTTAAATTTTTTTGTGAATAATTATATTTTAGAATAACTTTCTTATAAAATTATTACTTTTAATTAACTTAGAAAAGACTCTTTTATAAAAACTCTTCTTTAAAAACCTTGAAAAAACCTGGAAAAGTCAGGGAGTTTACATCGAAATCCTAGAAAATTGTTGTTTTCTAAAGTTATTGTGTTTATTCTTGAAAATTAAATTCAGTTAAATATTTCAAAATTAATTCAATTTTAAAAGAATTGCGTTTACAATTTTCATAAGTAGATGAACTTCAAAAGATTTTGATTTAAAAATTTGTAAAATTTCAATTTTAGATTAATTTAATTAGAAATATAAAAAAACTTAGATTTAAAAAAAAATTTTTTGAATAAAATTCTTCTGAAATTAGTTAAATTTTTGAATATATATATTTAATTGATTATTAAAAATAATAAATTTATAGAAGAATTTTAGTTAAAAACACCAAAACAAATTGAATTTTGAAGCAATTACGAATGATTGCAGAAATTCAATTATTTTCAAAATTAGTAAAATTCTTCTCAGAAATTCAATTATTTTCAAAAATTTCAATGAAATTCTTTGCGTAACAATTCAATTTTTTCAAAATAATTTCAATAAAATTCTTCGCAGAAATCCAATTGCGTTTAAAAATTTACAAAAATTCTCGTCAAAATTTCAATTATCTATATATACATAAAAAATTTGTATCCGAAATTCAATTATTTTCAAAACTTTTAATAAAATTCTTGGCAGAATTTCAATTATTTTGAAATACAATTTTCATCAAATTTCTCGAAAAATGCAATTATTCTTAAAAATTTTATTAAAATTTGTCAAGAGAATTCATTTATTTAAAAATTTGTTGATAAAATTCTTTATGAAAATTCAATTTTAAAAAACATTTAATTGTTTAATAAAATATTTATTTTTCTAGTTAAATAATGGAATTCTCGTAGCATTTTCTAATAGATATTGATTTAAAAATGAATTTCAAATTAAAATCTTTAAAAATTTGAACTTATCATACTTTTAGTTAAGAATTCTATAATTAAATATTTATTTAAAAATGAAGTTATTGATGTTTTCGAATAATTTTCGTTTTAAAAACCTGGAAAACCTGGAAAAGTTAGGAAATTTGAAAAGAGCAAAAGCGTTGCAATCCTGCCACAGTAGTTAATTTTAATTGTTAAATATTTAAATACTTCTTTAATCGCTAAATTCTTCCCCTGGAAGTTTAAAATCAAATTTTTGTTTCTAAAAATGATCTTTTTTTTAATTGAACTTCCCTTGAATTTTTTTTACAGGATGAGAGAATTAATGTTAAATTTTTTCTATTTTAGGAAAGATTCGAAAAAATGTCCACAGAAATGAATGAATTTTATTTAAAAAATCTCAAGACAACAAAGGTGACAGCATTCGAAGAAGATGTGCTCTATGCATATTTTTCTCAACAAGAGAGAAAATGGTATCGCGTTCGATGTCTTGATGTAAATATGGATCTACAGAAGGCCTTAGTTGATTTCATTGATTTTGGCGACGACGAAGTTTGTGACTTGAGCATGTTGTACAAATTGGACAAACAATTTTGTGTTCTTCCAGCGCAGGTTCGTAATGTTTTTACAAAAGTTTTCTATTTTCATTTTTTTTTTTATTATTTTCTATCAATATTATTAATTAATATATAATTAATATTGACCCTTACTTACCAGTTGTGGTGTATTTCTTTGTTTTTAGAATAATTTTATTTTTTGCCGAGGCTACTAAAGTAGATTTTTCTTATATTTGTTTATTTCCTATATTTTTATTTTCTTCTTCTTATAATAGAAAACTCGGTTCAAATTCCAGCTCTTAATATTAAAAAGTAAAAGAATTTATGAATATATGTATCTTTACAAAATAGTAATTCTTTTTTAATAAATTAATGTTATTGATTTATTTTTAGGCTCTTTGCTTATCGCTGAATGAATTGGAGATATTCTCTTTGAACGAAATAGAAGAGATTTTTGACAGTGAAAGAGCAAAGACAATAATCGCAAATCATCTTATGGATGCGGAGTTTTACGTGGAAGTGAAGTATATTGACGATGGAACGCCATCAGTTGTTTTCTATGACACTCGAGGTGAAACAGACGTAAATTTAAATAGAGTGATGGCTACTGAAATCGTCGAAACTTGCATGAAACGTCCAAAATTGAAAACGGTGAGGTTTTTTTTTAATTGATCTTTTTGTTAGTGTCGATAATTCTAATTGGATTTTATTTCGTTTTTATTCTAATTATTCAAATTTTTTACTGATTCAGATTTATTATTTTCTTAATCAGAGAATAAGTTTTATAGACATATTTTCGAAAAAAACATTTAGAAATTATTATTTTGCGTTAAGAAGTGGAATTTTTTTTATTTTTCGAAATTTTATTTTTAGGCGAGTCTTCACGAAGTTTACGTCTCGCATGTCAGTGAAGCTGGCGAAGTATTTATTCAATTCAAAGACAACAGTATGTTCTATCTGGTCGAATTGATGAATAAAGTCATTGAGAAGCTGAGTGACAATTATAGTCAGTACGCAGTGAAAAAATTGGATGTAACGAAACTTTACATTGCCAAATCGAACGATGAACATTGGTATAGAGTTAGAATTTCTTCAATTGTCGATTATTCGAAAGAAGAAATAAGCGTTTTATGTGTTGATTTTGGAAAAACTATGACAGTTAAGATTACGGACTTGGTCAATTTGGATGTGCTTTCTGATGTTTTGTGCATATACCCAGTTCAAGTGAGTAAAAAATTAAAGTACTTTTTAATTATTGTTATTAATATTAATGAGCCTAAATTTATACTCTAGTTTTTGTGATTCAAAATTATGGAATTAATGACAAGATTGTTTATATTTGTTTATTGTTTTTGTTCTTCAATTTTTAGGCAGTCAAGGTGCAACTTTCTAGTTTGTTAACGCTCGACACTGAAAAACTAGAGAGATTGAGGAAGCTAACACCTCCAGGTCAACTTTTGATCATGAAGGTCGTTCAATTGGGCCTCAGTCATTCACCGATGCCGATCGTTGAATTATTTAAACGACAAGAGCCAAATAATGAGATTGTTTCAATTAACAACACCCTTCTCCTAGATGCCGTACTAAAGAAGTAAGTTATTTTTTTTCTCTTTACTTTAAGAGGCTGATTAGGTATTTAATTCTTTTGAAATTTAAAACTTATTTCGATATTATTTTTTTTCAACTTCAATTCAAATATTTTAAATTAATTTTTTGATTTTTAGATGCAATGGTGACAGCAATAACAATGTGAGAGAGCGAAAACGCAGTGAGAGAACGGTGTCTAGACACGGATCTTCATCAGATCAAGGCAATGTGAAGAATAAGAGAATTCTTCGTCAACCGGAAATTCCGAAAGTTGATAGTCAATTTGATATCCATGTGGTAATGGTCTGCAATCCGGGGAATTTCATCATACAGCCGTATGAGTCTAAAAAGAAACTTCAGGTAATTGGTTACTTTTTGCTTCCTCTCAAAGGAAGCCTTATATTAATGTCGATTTTCGAATTTCTTAGAATTAATACTTTTGATGAATTTTTAAAAATTTTTTTAAATTAAAATTTTTTTTAAATAATTGAATCCTTTCTGGAATTTTATTAAAATTTTATTGAAAATAATTGAATTCATGCAAAGAATTTTACTGTTTATGAAAATAATTAAATTCTTCCGAAGAATGTTATTATTTTTATAAACGATAAAATTTCTTGCGAAGAATTTTATAAAATTTTTTGAAAATAATAAACGGTAATAATCAATTTATGTACTTAATAGGTGAATTTTTTTTTTAATTTTGAATCTGAAATTATAGTCAAAAATGGAAGTTTAAATATTTAAAAATATTAAACATTAAAAAATTTTGTAATTTCCATTATTTTATATTGATTGCAAAAATAAAAAAAAAATTTTTAACAATTTTTCAGGCAGTGAATGAACAATTATTCAAAGAATGTAATAATTATTCCGGTGAACCATTAACAATGGACAATGTTCATGAAGATTCATTGTATTGCGTTCGACATTCCGATAATTTTTGGTATCGGTAAGTTTAATTTAGATTCTCCGTTAAATTTTTTTTTATTTATTGTTTGTTTATTTATTTAATTTTATTTATATTTTCTTTTCAAAACAATGCTAATTAATATTTTTTGAATCAGTGTTTGCGTTCTAAACAAACTAATGGCTCAAAATATGGTCACTGTTTATTTTGTTGACTATGGAGAAGTCACTTTAGTCAATTTAAAGAATCTGCGGCCGCTTCCCACAAAATTCCTTGACTTACCATATCAAGCAATCAGAGCGAAACTGGCAGGTAAACAAATTTTTTTCTAAAACAATTTTTGAAAAACAATCTTTGAAAATTTTGTGAAAAAAATAATTTATGAAAGAAAATGTAACATTTTTTCAGTTGAAAAAAATATTCTATTTTCTTTCCTAGTGTATATTTTTTATTTCTTCTTGTTTACTTTTTAAATTTGTTTTTCCAATTTTTCAAATAATTTTTAAATACAAAAAAAAATTTAAAAAAATTTTTTTTAATTTTTGCGAAAAAAATATTTTATAAATGAAAAGAACATTTTCTTCAGTTTCTTATTTTAAAATAAGAAAAATAATTTTTTCCATAATGAATAATTTTATTTATTTTGCTTTATTTTTATTTTTTAATATCCTGTAATTTTGTTTTCTTCAAAATGAAAAAAAACTTTTTTCTTTCCAAATGAATAATTTTTTTTAATTTCGTTTTATTTATTTTTGAGTTTATTTTTATGTTCCTTGAATAAAATTTCATTTTAATAGGCGAATTTTATTTTTATTTTTGAATTTCTTGTAATAGACGTGAAGCCAGCCAACGTCGATTGGTCTCCAGAAGACAGCGTGAGGTTCAAGGATCTGATTGAGGGAAAAGATTTCGTATCGACAATTAAAAATATTAAAAAAGACGGCGAAGAATTAGTGCTCTCATTGGCACTCATTGACGTTTCGAAGGAATATAACGTCAACATAGACGAAATTTTGATAAAAGAAGGACGAGCAAAGAGTGTCCTCTTTTCTCGTTCCTCTTCAGAATCATTTCTCAACTCTAGTTTAACAAAATAAATATTAAAATACGTAACAATCGATTTAATACAGTCGATTTCATGACTTGAAGTGAATCTAGTTAAACAAATGTTTTTTCTCATAATTCTCGCATAAAAAAAAACGGTGAGTGATTATTAAAAGCCAAAAAAAGAAATTTCGTGAAAAAAGACAGAAAGAGAAAAAATATTTTTTTTGTAAACTGACATATTGCAAACGTCATGAATTTTTTTTATTGTGACTAATAATAACTAAAGGACTAAATTTTCTTCCGTTTTTGGAAATTTAGTGGAAGTTTATGTATTTTTCATGATTTGAAGACTTTATATAGTCTTTAAAAGACTTGATAGTATTTAAATAGTTGAAATGAAAGGCGGTGCCTAAAGTATTTTTTTTTTCCTTTTAGAAAATCTAATTTCTATAATATTGTGTTAAAAAAACGTTAACATTTTATATTTTATTTGAACAGAAGATAACGATAAGTTTAATTCTTGCGAAAGAAAGCACTTATATGTTAATTCTACACACAAACAGACACAGAAATACGTTTATTTTTTACGTAAGTGCCAATAAATTAATTATTTCCTAATTTTTGTGTTGTTATTGAACCTTTGTCCTTTTTTCAGCGTTTCATTAATTGTTTTTCTGCAATTTTTTAAGTTGATATTAAATTTTTTCGTAAAGTACTTTTTCATTTTAATGATTGGCAGAGTAAAAATTTGAATTTGAAAATTAGAAGAGAAGTTTTTTTTAAAAGAAAGAAAGAAGGAAATAAAGAAAAAAAGAAGAAAGGAAAGGAAGAAAAAAGAAAATTATCGAATTGAAAAAAAGATGAGTATTATTTTTTAAATTCACTTTGGAATTGAACTTTTACTAAAAGAAATATTTATTTTCAACAGGAAAGAAAATGGATGAAAAAAAGAAGAAAATCCCTCGTTGGAAAATGAATTATTAATTAAAGAAGAGTAAATTACATTAATAATGGAAATTTTTGAGAGAAATGCCAATCCATCATTTTTCTAAAGACATGAATAATCAATTTGAAAAGATCACTGCGCTGAAAGTAAGTGTTGCAATTTAGTTTTCGCTCTTTGTTAGTTGAGGTCTATTATTCTGTGAGTGGTCAGTGTACTGCGATCAACTCATTTTTTCTCTTCTTTTTTTTTCATCCCAGTGACATCCCTTCTTTTCATAAAAGAACGAGAGGGGGTAGAATAACGTCAGATCAGTGAAATATTCGCCACCTCGGAAGTTTCGCGGTTGTACCTTTTAAAAGCAACATCATCACCACTTTACGAGAGAAAATTCATCTCACTTTATTTCGGATTTTTCTTTTTATCTCCTTTTTGGGTGAGTAATTATTATTTATTTACTGGAAAATTACTATTTTCTTCTTTTTCTCGTCTTCTTGATATTTTTTTTCTACTTCTAATTGTTTATAAAATATATTTCTATTTCGTTTGTGGATCTGCGAATCTCTGTTATTTCGAAATTTCTATTTTAAAAATCAAATTTTTTTTATAGATTTGTGTGAATGTTTTCTATTCTCTGTGTTTCGATTTTCTCACTTTTTTATCTTTTGCACTTGCAATTTGTATATTTTTTATTTATTAATATATAATACAAAAATTAATTAGACAGAAAAAATAATTTAGAGTGAAATTTATAGAATTAAATTTAAGAACGGAAATAATTTTATAAAAACCTGAAAGTAATTAAAAGGCACTTGAAAATAATAAAAGAATTAAAATAAAATGGAAATCAAATTGAAATTTCAATTTAAAATTATTTTTTAAAAAAGGGAAAATAAATTTTCAAAATAAAAAGTTTTGATTTGTTTTTCAAAAGGAAAATATTTGAAAAAATTGCTTTTTTTATTTTGTTAAATTAGATTAAATTAAAAAATTAGTATCATTTTTTGTTGATAAACGGAAATATTAATTATTTTACAGCTTTTATTGGGGAAAATTTTTTGTGGAGAAAAAATAAATTCTTGTTTATTTAAAATTCTTGTTATACTTTGTTGAATATTCAACCAAATGAAATAATCAATGTATCTTTGAAAGGGTGGGTTTAGTAATTAATTTTAAAATAAATGTGCCATGAAGCCTATGAATATGAAAATTGATTACCGAGATTTTTTTTTATATCTGAGAAATTGTTCGTTTGAAAAATTAAAATTATTTACGATTATTATATATTTCTAAACTATTCTTTTAACAATTTTTTTGCAAATAAGATATTTTTGAAAAATTAAAAGCAATTCAAAAATAAGAAACTAAAAAAATTTATTTCGTCTTAAAAACATCAAACAATGATTGAATAATTTTTTTAAAATAAAAATAATAATAATAATAATAATAATAGTAATAATAATAATAAAAAAATAATAGTAATGATAATTAGAATTAGAAAAATAATAATAATTGAACAAATAATAATTATTCAATTAACAATTTGAATGAAATTCTTCTATCCAAAAGTTTCGAATTTAAAGAAGCAACAGGTTAAATATTCGCCTGTTTCAATGAAAACTTGTTGATTCAAAATTTTCTCTTTAACGTAATTTCATGAAACTTCGATTATAATTCTTATGAGAATTTAGAATTCATATTTATAATTCACAATTAATTTAATAAAAAATAGTATTTGATTAATTTTTAAATGTTAAAAGAAACCAAATTTGCATGCAAATTTTCTATAATTAAATGTTTTGAATTCCAAAATTAATATATTGAAACTCATAAAATTATTGCGAAGAATTATATTAAAATTTTTCAAAATACGTGAATTCTTTCGAGAAATTTCATTAAAGTTACTTATATTGAAAATAATTAAAATCCTGCGAAAAATTTTATTATTTATGAAAATATGAATTCTTGCGAATAATTTTATTGATATTTATGAAACAAATTTAAATTTTTTGAAGAATTTCTATGAATTTTTTTAGAACATTTTAATTGAAAATTTCGAAATTAATTGAATTTTATGAAAAATTTCTCTCAAGTGTGTAAAATAATCATGTTTGATAATTATTGTAATTAAACGTTTGATTATAGAATTTTATTGGAATTTTTAGTAAATAATTAAATTATTCTCAGAATTTTATTACAATTTTTTAAAATAATTTAATTCATTCCAAGAATTTAGAAAAAGAAATGCCAATAATTGAATTCTTTCGAAGAATTCCTTCAATTTTTTTAATATAATCGATTTTGTTTGTTAATTACAGTTAATAATTTTATTATTAAATTTTATTAATATTATTTATAGAAAATTAAATTCTTTTGTAGAATTTCTTCAATTTTTTTGAAAAAAATTTATTTTTTTAATAAGTTTAATTGAAAATATTGAAAATAATTGAATTTTTTCAAGGTGTTTAATAATAATTATAATTAAAAATTTCATTATTAAATTTTATAGAAATTATTTTGGAAATAATTGAATTCATCCCAGGATTTAAATAAAATTTTTTAAAATATCTAAATTTTTTTTAGAAATTTCGTAACAATTGTACTAAAAGTAATTGAATTCAAACGAAGAAATTATTATTTATAAAAATAATTAAATCGTGGAATTTTATTACAATTTTAGAAAATTTTATTACAATTTTTAAAAATAATTGAAAGTTTTCCAGAAATTTTATTAATATTTTATTGAAAATAATTGAATTCCTGAGAAGAATTTTAATATTTTTGAAAATAATTGAATTCTTGCGAAGAATTTTAATATTTTTGAAAATAATTGAATTATTGCGAAGAATTTGATTAAAATTGTTGAAAATAATTTTATTCTGTCGAAAAATTTGATTAAAATTGTATTGTAAAAATAATTGAAATCCGGGAAAGAATTTTATTATTTATAAAAATAATTGAATTCTTTCGAGAAAGTTCATTAAAATTTCTGAATATAATTGAATTCCTGCCGAAGAATTTTACTATTTATTTATAAATTATTAATTAATTACTGTTATTTATTTCGATGCAAGTTTTCAAATTAAAAATGTACATTCAATTATTGTTTAATTATTTTTAGATAACTTTTCTCTGAATGTATTATTGTAAATTTGTGTCTTTTTCAATCTTCAATGTTTATAAATATGTACTTTGTTAATGCTTGACAAAATTATTGTCGAACTTGAAATTGAATGTCAATCAAAAATTTATTTTTCAATTTAATTTCCTCGCATATTTGATTTTATGTAATGTCTATGTGATATTAAATGTTTACACAAATTCTATATGTTAGAAAAAGAAAATAAAAAAAAAATAAAAAAATAAATGAATTGTGGACCGAAATAAGTGCACGAGCTTGACAATGTGTTCTATATTCATCAGATGCTGTGTTATCATTGTTGTCAAATGAAAAAATTAGAGTACTTTTATTGTCATGCAAGTGCATTTTTATAGGTGAGATAAATTAAAAAGAAGTCTGAAATGAAGAGATTCGAAGCGATCGCGTTTTTAATGACCACTTAAGTGCACGGAATGCATTAAGTGAACGAGAGATAATGATTACAGAACAGACTTGGACTATGATGTTGGACAGTGAAATCACTGGGATAAATGAGTAAGTTATTTTACATTTTCTTTTATTTTTGAAAATTCTATAAATAAAAAATATTTAAAAAATTTAAATTTAAAACTAAAATAAAAATAAAATGATTCTCAATTTCAAATAGAAAAATACAAAAAACATTTCAACGTATTGAAATGTATTTTAAATTTTGCACGTTTAGCGGAGAAAAAAAGAGTAAATAAAAGATGAGAATTGAAAGATTTGAAGCAATAATTACTTCTTTGTTCGAAAAACAATATTTGAAAAAAATGAAAACAAATTTTCTAAAAAAATATTTTTCTTAACTTTTTTCCTCGATATTTAACTATTTTTTCAACTTTTTCTTCTCAGTCAGAATTTTCTTATAAAAATTTAATTTTTTCTACAATTTTCAAATTTTTACCTTTGGATTAAAGTTGCTTTTAAATGCGTAAAACAAAATAATAATTATTATGATAATTATGAATAAATTATGGTTTTTCCAATCGCTTGTCAGGTCGAATATTTCACCGAGAAAACAATTATGGATTAAAGCAGTAAAAAAACTGACCTCTGAAAGATTAGGAAGGGAAGGCTTGGCTGCTTGGCAAAGTCAGAAGGGGGAAACCACTGTTGCCGAAGACACTGATATGGAGGAAATAGATGATAAAACGAAAGAAGATGTCGACACTCCGAAAGAAGAGGAAGTTGTCAACTCGAAAACACAAGAGAAAGATCTTGAAGCTCAAATTCAACCAGGTAAAAATAAGTAAACGTAAATTATTCATGTTTCCTTTTTTTTTAATTTTATTTCAAGTGCGTTTTTCTTCTCATGAAAAATTAATGTAGGAAGAAAAAAAATTTTTAAAAAACAACTTTGATAATAAACGAAAGATTAAACAAAATTTTTTATCAACGAAAGATTCAAATAGAAAAACAAAAAACCTAACTGAAATATGTAGAAAAACTAAGCAAAAAAAAAATAAAAATGTTTAAAAATAAGCAAATTTTTGGAAATAGAAATTATGATAGAAAAAAATTTCTGAAAGAACCGAAAAACAGAATAAAATCGAAAATATCTTCAAAGAAATAAGGAAATTTTTGAAAATTTAAATTAAAATCAGACGAAAAATTTAAATAAGACGTAAAAAAAAATAAATAGAAAGTTTGTGCAAAAATAAACAACAGTTTTAAAAATAAGCAATTTTTTGCAATCAGTGAAAATTAAAATCAGACGAAAATTTGTTAAAGAACCGAAAAAAATAAAACGAAAAATATATCAAAATAAAAAAGAAGAAACAAAATTTTTAAAATAAGCTACTTTTTGGAAATAGAAACTAAAATCAGGCGAAAAATTTAGAAAAGTCAAAGAAAAATTTATAATAACAATAAAATAAAAAATAATAAAGTTTGTAAAAATGCAAATTCAATTATTTCAAAGAAAATTTAAATTATTTCAAGAATTTCATGTAAACTTGTACTAAAAATAATTGAAATTTAATAAAAATGTATGAGAAGAATTAAATTATTTTGAAAAAATTTTATTTTTGAAAATAATTGAATTCATTGAAGGAATTTTATTAAAATTTTTAAAAATAATTGAATTCTAGAATTTTGATTGAAAATAATTGAATTTTTTGAAGAAATTTTATTTTAAAAAATAATATTAAATTCTTTTAAGGATTTTTATTAAAATTTTTAAAAAGAATTGAATTTGTGAATTTTTATTGAAATTGTTTTGAAAATAGGTAGTTGAATTCTTACCAAAAAATTTATTCAGATTTTTTTAAATATCTCAATAATTATTGATCATTAATAATTGTATTGGAAATAATTCAACACTTGCCAAGAAATTTATTCAAATTTTTTTAAATAACTCAATTGTTTCGAAGAATTTTATTATGATTTTTGAAAACAATTGAATTCTGTCGACAAATTCAATTAAAATTGTATAGAAAATAATTATTCAATTACCGCCAAAAATTTTATTCTCTGTGAGAATAATAATTATAATTGATTATGGTGTTAATAAGTGAATTTTTAAAAGTTTTGAATCTGAAATTATTTAAAAATTTAATAATATCCAAATATAAAATTTTGTAATTTCCATGACAATAATAAAATGAAATTTTCTTTTGAAAGAAGTAAGAAAAAAATAAGAAATTTGAAATAGAAAATATCAAAACAGAAATAAGACGAATAAAATTTTTAAAATAGTCAATTTTTTAGAAATAGAAATTAAAAACAGACGAAAAATTTAGAAAAGAAGCAAAAAAAAATAAATAAATAAAATAGAAATTGTAGGGGAGAATAAACAGAAGTTCAAAAATAAGCAATTTTTCGAAAATAGAACTTAAATCAGAAGACAAATTTTTGAAAGAACAATAAAATAAAATAGAAAATAGATTAAAACAAGAAAAAAATGTTTAAAAATAGGCAAATTTTTGCAAATTGAAAGTAAATAGCCAAAAAGTAAAAAGAGAAAAAACGAAAAAAATTTATAGGAAAGAAACGTCTAGGGTTTTCGAAAAAAAGAATGTTAACAGTAATTTGATGGGACGATTTTTTGTAGATGTCTTTAAGAAAGGAATTCTCTACAAGGGCATTTTTTGTCCCTCCCTCACCAACAGCTTTCACAATAAACAAATGGAAAAGTCATTTCTTCATTATTCGAATCGACAACGGCAGAAATCTCTCATAATGCTCAACATTGTCGATCTTGGATTGAAGGTATAATTAAAAAAAAAAACAGGAACTGGAAAAGAAAATCTCCACTTTCGTTCATAAAAATTAAAATCTCCTCCTTTGCACTTTTTTATTTTCATTCCGTGTAAAAATTGTCCTACCATTTTTTTTCTCCGTCATTTTTCACTGCGACAGAAATTTGAAAAATCGCTGGAAGAGAGGCAAATTTAAAAAAAAAAGAAAAAGATATCTTCGCATAAAATTGATGAGAATATTTTGAAATTTCAGTTTTTATTGAGATTGAATTTTCAGGATATTTTTTGAATTGGAATAAAAAAATTTTCTTTTTCAGATAGCACTTTTGTCGATATGGTTGTGGCGAAAGAAGGACAACACCGAGGGTCTCGTCGAGTCTTTATCTTGGACGGCCTGCTGTATGGTATCTAATTTAATAGTTTGTGCACTGGGATGGTGGCGTTGTTTCCCCAACAATTATTTATATTGGGCTTCTATTTTCACCTGGCTTCTCATCAATTCTCAAGGTGAGAGAGATACGTATAGATTTTTTTTTCACTGTGTACTTTCAATTTTATCTGAGGCGATTTTTACCATAATAAAAAAACGAGGGATTTTTTTTAATGATTTAATTGTTATATAGTATTTTTAATATTATTGCGATTTTTCTAATTTATTGTTTTAATGGTTTCAAAAAAATTTAGATAAGCGTTTAAAAATAAATAAGAATATATTAAAAGATAAAAATTTTATTTAAAAAATGTTACTATTTTTCCAACTTTTATAATTTTTAATCTGAAATAATTTAATTCTTGCATAGAATTTTATTAAATTTTTTGAAAATAATTAAATTCTTTCGTAAAATTTTATTAAAATTTTTGAAAATAATTATATTCTTTCAAGGAATTTAATTAAAATTGTATTGCATTCTTCTAAAGAATTTTATTGAAATTTTTGAAAGTAATTGAATTTTTTTGAAATATTTCTTTTAAGTGTGGAAAATAATTGTGTTTGTTAATTATTTTAATTAAACGCTTGATTATTGAATTTTATTGGATTTCTTAGGAAATAATTAAATTGTCAAAATTTTATTACAGTTTTTAAAAATAATTTAATTCATTCAAGGAATTTTATCAAAAAAATTGAATTCTTTCGAAGAATTTCTTTTTTTTTTATAATTGCAGTTAATAATTTTATTATTAAATTTTTTAAACTAATTGAATTTTATGAAAAATTTCTTTCAAGTCTGTAAAATCATCGTGTTTTTAAATTATTTCAATTAAACGTTCGATTTTATTGAATTTTATTGAATTTCTTAGGAAATAATTAATAATAATTAATAATTTTATTACAGTCTTTAAAAATAATTTAATTCATTCAAGGAATTTTATTAAAGAAATTGAATTCTTTCGAATCATTTATTTAATTTTTTGATTATAATAGATTTTGTTGATAAAATTGCAGTTAATAATTATTTTATTATTCAATTTTATTAAAAATATTTATAGAAGATTAAATTAAATTCTTTTGAAAAATTTCTTTAAGTTGTTGACAAGAATATATTTTTTTTAACAATTTTAATTGAAAATAATTTAATTTTTTCAAGGTTTTTAAATAAATCCCGTTTCATAGTAATTGAAATTAAAAATTTGATTATTGAATTTTATTATCATTTTCTGGAAATAATTTAATTCATCCCAGAATTTTTATAAAATTTTTGAAAATACCTGCATTTTTTGCAAATTTTGTAAAAATTGAACTGAAAATAATTTAATTCAATGGAAGAAATTATTATTTATCAAAATAATTGAATCAAGAAATTTTATTAAAATTTTAGAAAATGAATTCTTTTGGAAAATTTTATTACAATTTTTAAATGTAATTGAATCCTTTCGAGAAATGTTATTAAAATTGTAGCGTATTCAAAATAATTGAATTCCTGAGAAGAATTTTATTATTTTTGAAGATAATTGAATTGTTGTGAAGAATTTTGTTAAAATTTTGGTAATATTTGAATTCTGTACAGAAATTTTTATTAAAATTGTATTGTAAAAATAATTGAAATTCGGAGAATTTAATTAAAATGTTTGAATTGTATCGAAGAATTTTTTTAAAAGTTCTTAAAATTAATTAATAATAATAATTAATTAGTTATTCAGTAAATAAGTAAATTTCGTTTAATTTTTAATCTGAAATTATGTAAAAATTAAAGCTGATTTTTCAACAACAAAAAATTTGGTAAATTGCATAATAATAATAAATTGAACACGAATGAAATTTGTAAAATTTTGTTTCGAGAAATTAAAAAATCTTATTCTACTGCAAGAACTTATTGACTTGATGCTTTATTTTACTAATTGAAATTCTGCTCTGTTAGTTCTCAATGATTCATTAAACTCATGCTCACTTAACCGTATCTTCACTTAATAGATCTTTTATCAAATGTATCGACGAATGTCTAAAAATACGGAAAAATAAAAAAAATATTTATTATAAATAGAAAAAATTCTGAAAAAGGGATTTTTACGGTTTTTTGAAAGTGAATAAGCTAAAATTAATTTACTAAGAGTTTATTTATTTATTATGAATGTAATGAAATAATTATAAATACTGGGAAAATATTACAAAAGAAAAAATTGCGAATTGCAAAAAAAATCGATATTTTGCTTTTTAGAGTAATTTTCTGAAAGAATCGAAAATTTGATTTTTAACTAGAAGAATATTTTTATTTAAATGTCATGTTTATTTTCAGGTTTTATAGTAGCTGGACTAGACTTTTCAACCCAACAACGTTTAACTTGGTACATTTTGCTGATAGTCTACGCTCCTTACGCGATGCTTCCACTTCCCTTGAGGTGGTGCGTTCTCGCCGGATTCGGAACGGCGTTCACTCACATTTTCATGGCCATGATAACTCTAGCAACGGATTCAAAATTTATAAAGGTGCCCTCGAAATTTCGAATTTTTATAAAATTTTAATATTTTCGCCACTAAAAGACAATCTTGTGATATTTAGAAAAATTTATTTCATATTTATTTATTCTATATTTCGTGTGGTAAAGTTTATTATAAAAATAATTTTAAAATATTTATTCTGTTAAAAGTTTATATTATAGAATCTTTTAAAAAATACAATTTTTTGAAATACAATTTTTCGAAACACAATTCTTCAAAAATACAATCTTTTCAAACACAATTCTTCAAAAACATAATTCAATTTTGAAACAATTTGTAAAATTGTAATAAAATTAAATTCTTTCAAATACCTATAAAATTTATTTCAATTAAATTTGACAAAACTTTTAATTATTTCAATATTTTTAATTATTTTCCTGAATTCAGTTATCTTGAAAAAAATTTTGATTACAATTTTTCAAAAAACTAATTTTTTTAGAATTTCTACAATAAATTATTCAAATATTCAATAATGTAATTTTTCGAAAGTACTTTTTAGAATTTTTGAATAAAATTATTCAAAAATTTAATAATTTTCAAAGAAAAATAATAATTAATAATTTTTTTTAAATACACATTTAAATATTTTTATACTTTCACGACAATTAAAATGTTGAAATGATTTTAATTTACAAAACCTTTGAAAATTTAATTATTTCTTAAAATTTCTGTTTCAACGCTACTAACATTTAATTATTTTTCAAAATTTGATTCTGTTTTTAAATCAATTTTTATTAGAATTCAATTACGACAATTGAATTATTTTAATACAAAACTTTTGTAAAAAATCATTGTTTTCCAAATTTTTAGTTACAATTCTTCAGAAAAAAAACAATAAGATTTAAAAATAATTTTTCAAAGTGAGAAAATATAAATTATAAAAATGTGAAATATAAAATTTGAGAAATTTGTCTATTTGAAAATTTTTTAAAAATTTTTTTCAGAAATTCAACTATTTTTAAAAAATTTAATTACGATTTTTTCTGAATTTCTAAATAAAATTTTTCAAATTTAATTAATTTTTGTTTAAGAAATATTTAAATACTTATTGTTATTTAATTGCCCAATTTGAATTAAATTTTCAAACTACTTTGAATGTAAAACCTTCTGAAATTGAATTATTTCTAAAAATTATAACTGTAATTCTTCCAATATTTTATAAAATTTAAACTGAAATTCTTGTTTTAATCAATTCTCGTAAAAAAAGTTGGACAAGAATTGAGGCCTTGGATCCAATAACTCGCCCGACGCTTGAAGGCACGCGCTAATACCAGTCGGGTAGCAGTGAGTGGCCCAGAGGCGCTCACTGCTCACTGACTGGCAGTTGCGCGTTCCTCACGAGCGTCGGGCGAGTTATTGGATCCAAGGCCTCAATTGAATTATTTAAATACAAAAATAATTGATTTTTTAAGATTACAAAAATATTTTAAAATATTTTTAAACAATACAAAAAGATTGTTAAACTTTTGCAAAATTTGCAATTATGTCACATAAATTGAAAAACTGAAATTTTTATTAGAAATAAATCGTTATTTATCGCAGTTTCAGGACTTGGTTTGCATCGTGCGAATGCTATCGACAAATGTTCTTCTCTACTTTGCAGTCAATTTGGCAGGAATGTATACAAAATATTTGACTGACCGAGGACAACGTCAAGCATTTTTGGAGACACATCGGTCCATGGAAACACGACAGAGAACACAAAATGAGAATAATCGACAGGAAAAACTTCTCTTATCTGGTGAGAAAATTCTACTCCAATTCGGAAAACAATTTTTATTCATTTCTTTATTTAATATGGAATTCAATATTCCAAAGGCAATTATTATCAACTCGAATAAATTTTAATTTTTATGAAAATTAGTTCAAAGCCGCATTTTATAGCAACTGAACTAATTAAAATAATATTTTTGCTAAACTTATCGAAAAGTATTTTTAATAAATAAATATTTTTAATTATAAATAAATATACAAAATATAAAATTTATATTTTATATTTTAAATAAATATTTAAAAAATGTTAATATTCACTATTTAATACTTTTAAAAGTAGAATATTTTTTATTTATTTATTTTTTAAATATTTTTAACAAAAAATTAGTTCATCAATTAATAGTTAATAATAATTATAAAAAATAAATAAAATAAGTAAAGGAATACGTTAATAAATAAGTTAATTAATTGAATTATATAAAATTTATTTATTTTAAAAAAAATATGTGGTCAGTTTAATAAACACGTCTAATAAAATAGGTTTTTTGAAATATAATTTTCTGAAATCAATATACAATCCAGGTTTGAAATTATCTCAGGTTGTGACGCTAAATGTTTTTTTTTCTAAGAGTGCAGTTTTTTTTATTTTATTTATTATTTTTTTTAATTTTTTTGTTGAGGTGAATTGTGTTTGTGCGGCACATTTTATATAGAACTTTTATAGATTGTACAAACTGTGTGAGGATTTGACGTGTTGCTGCTGAAGAGAACAGAAATGGTACAGAGAGGAGCTTATTGGCCCGTGCAAGCTGTTCATCCGTGTGTCAAAAGGGTCACTAGACATTTTCAGTCGATTGCGTTAGAGATATTTTTCCAAGGACTATACATATTCTCATGATACATACATCTTTTCGATTCCCCCCCGCACACACCCCCTTCTCATTCATCGATCCGATCGAGTCGGAAATAGATTCATTGTGTACAATAATATTTACCATAGAGTATTTTTTCTTCTCCCCCATTTATTGTCTTATTGTAATTATTACTATTTCTAACTTTTATAGTTTTATTTTAGCAAATTGAAAACAATCGATTCAATTTTTTGACTTTTACAATAATTTTTTTTCATAATTGAAAAATTATTAATTATTGATAAAAAATATTAATTTTTCTGTATTCTTTTTTGCATTTGGCAGTTCTACCGGATTTCGTTGCCAAGGAAATGATACGGGACATTGCAAGGGAAACAGCAAGAGGTGGAACGATTTCATTTACTCCGAATCAATTTCACAGAATCTACATTCATCGATATGAAAATGTTAGCATTCTTTTCGCCGACATAAAAGGATTCACTGGTATAAAAACTTTCTTAAATTTAATGAGATCACTTTAATATTTCAAAAAAACGTTCGTTCTCCTGATTGGAAATTAATTTTTCTTTTTATTAGCTTTGGCGAGTCATTGCAGTGCTCAGGAATTAGTTAAAGTACTCAACGATTTGTTCGCTCGTTTCGACAAATTATCGAATGAAAACCACTGTTTGCGAATAAAACTTTTGGGTGACTGTTATTATTGTGTCTCTGGTCTGCCAACTGCAAGAAGTGATCATGCTCATTGCTGCGTTGAAATGGGATTGCACATGATCAAAGCAATTCGAGACGTTAGATATACAACCCAGGTGATTTTTGCTTCCAATTATTTTAGAAGAAAATTATTATTATTATTATTATTATTATTATTATTATTATTATTATTATTATTATTATTATTATTATTATTATTAGTATGCAAATTACAAAAATTTTTATTTAGGTATTTTTACTTCAATTTTTGAATAATTTCAGATTAAAAATTTTAGAAATTCACTTTCTAAGTACATAATTAATTATTACAGTTTATTATTTACAAAAATTTTAATAAAATTCTTCGCAGGAATTCAATTATTGTGTTCAAAATTTTTAATGAACTTTCTCTAAAGAATTCAATTATTTTTATAAATAATAAAATTCTTCTTAGGATTTCAATTAATTTCAATACAATTTTAACAAAATTTCTCGACAGAATTCAATTATTTTCAAACATTTTAATAAAATTCTTCGAAAGAATTCAATTAATTTCAAAAACAATAAAATTATTCTCAGGGATTCAATTATTTTCAGTACAATTTATTTTAATAAAATTTCTCGAAAGGATTCAATGATTTTTAAAAATTGTATTAAAATTTTCTAAAAGAATTAATTTGCTAAAATTTTAATAAACTTTCTTGATTCAATTATTTTTTATAAATAATAATTTCTTCGTTTGAATTCAATTACTTTCAGTACAATTTTTACGAAATTTCTAAGAAAAAACAGGTATTTTCAAGAATTTTATTAAAATTCTGAGATGAATTCAATTATTTCGAAAAAATTTTAATAAAATTCAATGATATTCAAAAAAAAATTTAAGTAATTTTTTGAAAAAATTCAATTATTTTCAATTTTTATAATAAAATTGTTAATTATGAATTAAATTATTTTAAAAAATTGTAATAAAATTCCAAGAAGAATTTAATTATTTCCTCAAAATTCCAATAAAATTTGATAATCAAACGTTTAATTACAATAATTAACAAACACGATTGTTTTACATATTTGAAAGAAATTTTTCATAAAGTTCAATTACTTTAAAAATTTTCAATTAAAATGTTCGAATATAAACCCCATTATTTTCAAAAAGTTCAGAGAAATTCTTTAAAACGATTTAATTTGTTTCATAAATAATAAAATTCTTCACTGGATTTCTATTGTTATAAATACAATTTCAAAGAAATTTCTCGAAAGAATTCAAGTATTTTGAAAAATTTGAATATAATTTTTCGAAGGAATTCAATTATTTTAAAAAATATTGATAGAAATCTTTGCAAGAATTTAATGAGTTTCAAAATATTAGTTTTGAAATTAAAAACATTTTTGTTTATTTTCTTCCATTTCGGCTATTTTTCGTTTATTTTTGTTCATTTTCTGCTATTTGGCTCATTCTCTTTTATTTTCTTCTATTCTAGCTTATTTTTATTTATTTTTGTTTATTTTCTTCTATTTTTGTTCTTATTCTTCTATTTTCGATCATTTTCTTTTAATTTTGTTTATTTTCTTCTATTTTTACTCTTTTTCTTTTATTTTTGTTCATATTCTTCTATTTTTGTTCATTTTCTTCCATTTTGGCTCGTTTTCGTTTATTTTTGTTCATTTTCTTCTATTTTTGTTCTTACTCTTCTATTTTCGTTTAGTTTCTTTTAATTTTGTTCATTTTCTTCTATTTTTACTCATTCTCTTTTATTTTTGTTCATTTTCTTCTATTTTTGTTCATATTCTTCTATTTCCGTTTATTTTCTTTTATTTATATTCATATTCATCTCTTTTTTTAATTTTTTTTATATTCTTCTATTTTACAATTTTTTTTTATTTTACAGTTTAATTTTTATTTTCTCATATTTTTACATTTTATATATTTTTTAAATTCGAAATTTTCTATTTCCTTTTGTTTTTAAAATTTGTTTTCTATTTTAGTATTTTAAATATTCTTTGATTTAATTTTACTGAAATGAAGTAATTTATTTACAGGTAGATTTAAACATGAGGATAGGAATTCACAGTGGATCTGTTCTTTGCGGAGTTTTGGGTCTTCGAAAATGGCAATTCGATGTCTGGTCTTACGACGTTACACTTGCCAATCATCTCGAAAGTGGCGGAATTCCTGGGTAAATCATTAACTGATAATTGTAATTATTTTCTTTAAATTTTCAAAAATTAGGAAGAATTTTTATCTAAAATATTTTTAGAATTCGTTTTCAACTATGAACCAAAACTATAAATCAAATATTAAATATTTTATAGCAAAAGTAGAAAGACGAAGAAAATACAAAGTAGAATTTTCAGTTTAAAAATTCCTTGCAACTCTTTTTTATAATCGTAAATTTATATCAATAGACTTCTAGACTTTCTAGTTATAATTAAAATTATAATTAAAAATATGAATAAATAATTATTATTATTATTTAAGTATTTAATATTATTTAATTATTTATTATTATTTATTTTTTCTAATATTTTCTAAATGGAAAAAATGACAAAAATACACATAAAAAATCCCAAGGAATCGTAACAGTAGCTTCTGTAAGTTTTTAGAAAAAAAAGAAATAAAACATTTTAATTGGTTTACTCAAGAATTGAAAATTTTTAGCAGTGCTCTTATTAAAAAATTTGTTCCTGAAGGAGAGTTCACATATCGGCCGACACATTGGAATGTCTGGATGGCGTCTACGAAGTTGAACCGGGTTATGGAACTGAGCGCGATAATTATTTAAAGGATCGAGACGTCGACACTTATTTGATCAAGCAAGTTGAGCCACAACGAACGAGACGAAAATATTCTTCAAAGCCAAAAGTTTGGTCCGAAGAAGATAAAGACAAACGGAGTTTCAAAATTAATAATTCAACATTGTCGGTTAATAACCCTACCGGCAATCCGCCACCAGTTGAAGATGATATTGGCGTCGATTGGACACCGGAGATTCCATTCGAAAATGTTCGTAGAAATGCACTTATAATAATAATAATTATGTAGTTAACTATTTATTAACTATTTATTCTCCAAAAATTTAAAAAAGATCCCTTGAAACAATTCAATTATTTTATTAATTAAAAAGAATTCTTCATAGGAATCCAATTATTTTCAATGAACTCAATTTTAATTAAATTCTTTGAAGCAAAAGTATTGTATATTAAAATAATTAGTTTTTAATTATTATAATTGTTTATTTCAGTTGAATAGCGCAACTTCAGTCAGCAATCTAGAATCGGAATATTTAGAAGATGACAATGAAAATGCGAAAATGGTTAAGTCCGCTTCCACTGACGGAAGTCAAAAAGGAACACGAACTATTGGAATTGAATTTGCCAGCAATAAACGAATGAGGTCTGCTAATATCAATACTTGGACGTTAAGGTACAATGACGAAAGTTTAGAATCAAAGGTAAGAACCAAGACTCAATTTATTCAGAATTATTTGAAATTAGAATCAAATTCGAGATATTTGATTTTATTTTCTCAAGATTTAGATTTAAAATCTATAAATAGATATCGAATGTCTAAATTAGCCAAAAAATAATATAGAAGAGGGAATTGAATTTAATTTAAAACTAAAGTCCACTCAAAATCGAGTAATTGGATATTTGGAAAATTAAAGCCAGGAAAAAAATATTATACAATAGTTTATAAATAATTTAGAGGTAATTAGTAATTTTTTTTACAGTTCTGCCAAATGAGAGAGGAAATGTTCAAATCAAACATGATTTGTTGCTTCGTCATTTGGTTATTTATTGCTGTCTGTCAGGCCATTATTTTACCAAAGTAAGAATCAATCACTATTTATTTTCTATTTTAATACTCATTATTTATTTGAATTTTAGTTTAATTTTAAGTTTTTATTTATTTTTTGATGATTTTTCTTTTAAGAAAACTCTTTTTTTATTATAATAAAGAAACAAAAAATTTAATATAAAAAATACTTAATTATTTAATTATATTTTTAATTTTAATAAATTTTTTAATTTAGTTGTAAATTTAATATTGTATTGTTAATTTTGTATAATAGTTTGTAAAATTTTTGCAGTTGTGCTGTTCTTCTGATCTCGTTATTAATGACAACATTAATAATAATTGCCTCATCGATTTTGGTAATGGCCGATGAATTCAAATCCTTACCAACATTTTTAAAGCACTTGTCATCAACTTTAGTTCATAATAGACAACGGCGTACGATGTTTATTTGTAGTTTGATAAGTTTGATGGCATTCACGTCAGTTATTAGTGTTGTTGCTTGTCCCGATGGCCGAAGAAGTCACGTGGAATTATTAAATCTCAATGAGACGGTGAAGAATTCCACACAACAAAGTGGCCTAGACAAGTTTATATTAAGCTTCCTTGAAACTGCCTTAAATGATGATGCATCATCAGAATTATCCGATATCGAAAATTCCAAAAATTCTCTCACTTTTGGATTTCTCAATAATGAAAATCTAATTCCACGTAGCTCAAACAGAAGAGACTATTTCAGGTATTGTCAAATTTTCTTTTTTTCTAATTAATTTAAAGAGAGAATAATCTTTTAAATTGAAAACATAATTCTACAATTTTTTTATTCTATAATTAAAATTAAAATTCTATTTTTTCTTTTCTAATCGAAATTGAATTTCTATATTTAAAATTAAAACTCTATATTTGAAATTGTTACTATTAGAATTTTTCGAAAATAATAGTTAATTTTTACTATTTTGAAACAAATACTAATTGTCTTTGATAATTTTGTATTCATGCAAATAATAATTTTCTTTTTTTTCAATCAACAGATATGAAAAATTTCGAGCTACTGAACCATTAAGACATCAGAGAAAATATTTAAAAAAATATAAAACTGAAGAGTTGACGTTTCTACCGATAAGAAAAATTCTCTCCACCACTAAGGATAATAATGATAGTAATTTTTTGCACGATAATTATAAAGGAGAAAATTGTATTCGTCCTGAGTATATAGTCTTCACTTGGATTTTATGCCTGATTGCATTGGCTTCTTCACTGAAATTATATTATTTGGTGAAAACAGCTTTGGCGAGTGTTATTGTATTAATATACGCAGTTCTGATTTTCATCATATATCCAGATTTATTTCCGGCTAGTTATGAAGAAAACGACAGGTTTGTTCGATCTTTTTTTTATTAATAAATATTAATGGCAAAATGAATACAATTTTTTGATAATAATGGAATTATTATTTAGAAATTGTAATTAAAAATTCAATGATAAATAAATAAAAAATATTTATTAGTAATGTATGTAAAACTTATATTAAATAAGGAATAATAATTTATAGAACGGCGATACCTCTGGCAGCACAAATGCTCATTTTTCTGATCGTCTTTCTGGTAATGGTGACTTATCATGGACGATTGGTGGAAGTGACGTCTAGATTGGATTTCCTGTGGAAGCAACAGGCCGAAAGAGAACTTTCCGATATGATTGAATCAAAACACAATAATATGCAACTTCTTAAAAATATTCTTCCCGATCACGTGGCTAATCATTTCTTGACTCAGGAACAACGAGCACCGGAGGTAAATAATAACATAAGAAAAAAAATTATTTACAGTTACAATCTTAGTAAGAATTTTTCAAATAAACAGAAAAAACAAATAAAATAACAAAAAAATTCACTTATTAAGTACATAATTAATTATTATTATTTATATTTTCAAAAATTTGAATACAATTCTTCGGAAGAATTCAATTATTTTCATAAATAATAACATTCTTCGGAAGAATTCAGTTATTTTTATAAATAATAAAATTTTTTGCAAAAATTCAACTATTTTCAAAAAATTTTAACAAATCAATTTCTTTTTAAAATAGTAAAATCTTTGCAAAAATTGAATTATTATCAATAAAATTTCACGAAAGAGTTCAATTTTTTTCTTAATTCGTTATAAAATTTTCCAAAAGAATATTCAATTATTTTCTAAAATTTTAATAAAATTCTTCCTAAATAGTTAATATTTCTATCTTCATCATTGTTATGCAACTTTTGATTAAGATTAAATTATGAATTCTTATTATATGAATAATGTATATTAAGTATTTTATTGTACTTTAAAAATTGTTTTCATGGTTTTCCTAGAACAAAATAAAGGAAATTCTAATTCTAATTCTAATTCTAAATATTCAATTATTTTTAATACAATCTTAACTAAATTCCTACAAAGAATTTAAATTTTCATCGAAACAATTGTATTATTTTTCAAAAATTTTAATAAAAATCTTTGCAAGATTTCAATTATTTTCATAAATACATAATAAAATTTTTCAAATGATTCCAATTATGTTCAAAAATTTTAGTAAAATTCTTCCTAAAAAATTCAATTATCTTCATAAAAAGTAAAATTCTTTTGAAGATTTCAATTATTTTCATTAATAATAAAATTTTTCGGAGGATTTCAATTATTTTCAAAAATTTGAAACAAATTCTCGTCAAGAATTCAATTTTTTCATAAATAATTGAATTCTTTACAGAATTTCGATTATTTTCAAAAATTTTGTAAATTCTTGTCAAGAAATCCTTTCGAAGTTTTTTCATCGCAAGAATTATTTTGAAAATTATTTTAAAAAGTTGAAAGTTTATTAAATTATTTTAAAAAAAAGACAAAGAAATTCTTCAAAAGAATTGAATTATTTTCAAAAACTCTAATAAAAACCTAAATAATAATAAAAATAAAAAATAACAAAAAACTCTAAAAAAAAATTAATAGTATCTATTCTTTGAAAGAATTTAATTATTTTCTATATTTTAATAAAATTCCTTGAATAAATTAAATTATTTTAGAAAATTGTAATAAAATTCTGAGAAGAATTTAATTATTTTCTAAAAATTTTAATAAAATTCAATAATTAAATGTTTAATTTAAATTATTAAGAATTAAAATTATTTTAAAAACTTGAAAGAAATTGTTCATAAAATTAAATTACTTTCAAAATTTTCAATTAAAATTATTAAAAAAAACTACATTATTTAAAAAAAAAAATTTAAAGAAATTCTTCAAAAGAATTTAATTATAGGATTTTTAAAATCTTTAATAAAATTTATCTCGAGAATTCGAGTATTAATAATATATATTTTGCATTACAGGAATTGTATTCTCAGTCTCGTGATAAAGTGGGAGTAATGTTTGCGAGTGTACCGAATTTCACAGAATTTTATTCGGAGGACGTGAACAAAGGAATGGAATGCATTCGCTTGTTGAATGAAATTATAGGTTTGGTTCCTTTTAATTATAAATTAATTTCTCCAGAACTTTAAAAAAAACAGAATAAATCTTATAACTATGAATTTTCTTTCTTAAAATTAAAAAAAAACCATAAGTAGAGTTACAGTTGCAATTTTTTGAAATAATCAATTATTTATTTTTGTATTTAAATTGAATTCTCGTATAAATTTTCGATAATAATAGAATAAAGAATTGTAAGAAATAGTTCAATTTTAAAAGGTTTTTAAATTAAACTGATTTTAATAGTAAAAATTTTTATTTTTAGCCGATTTCGATGAATTATTGGACGAAAATTGTTTTCACTGTATAGAGAAAATAAAAACTGTTGGCGCCACTTATATGGCAGCATCGGGCTTAAATCCGTGTCATAATGTAAGTCGATTGATTTGATAATAAAAAAATAATTTTTTTTAGAGGGAGGGAAAAATAAAATACTTTTTTACTTTTTGTTTTTTAGGACAAGAATATGGACGATATGGAGCATATCTGTAGATTGGTTGATTATGCGGTGGCAATGAGATCGCGTCTCGAAGACGTGAATATTCATTCTTTCAATAATTTTGATTTGAGAGTTGGAATAAGTTGTGGTCCATTAGTTGGCGGAGTTATTGGTGCAAGGAAACCAGTATTTGACATTTGGGGAAATACTGTCAATGAGGCATCACGTATGGACTCAACAGGTGTTATGGGAAAAATTCAAGTACCCAGTGAAATTGCCAGGGTATGACATTTTTTTTTGTTAATACTTTTTCTCTCTATTTATTTTTTACAGTAATTTATTTTGTTATTTTGGAAGATATTTTCAATATTCTTGTTTTTTTTAATTTTTATTTATTAGAAATCTGATTATATAGAAATATATAAAATATAAATACAAATATAAAATATAAATATATAGAAAATTGATTAGTACCTATTGTTAATTTTTCAAATAATGCATTTTAATAAAAAATTATTGTCTTTAGTTTCTCGAGTCCAGAGGCTACAAAACGAAAAAACGTGGTTTAGTTGAAGTCAAAGGTAAAGGCAAAATGGAGACGCATTTTGTCCTCGGAAAAGGAACTCTTCAAGCCGGACCATCAAGACAAAGAAGTACTTGTCGAAGTTTAGCTGCCGTCGTTTATGGCGTGGTGCAGGCACGACGCAAACAAATTGGCAGTATCAGGTAATAAACATTTTTTTTAATAATTCATTTCCACATTAATTAATAATACACAAGTTAATTTTAATTGACAATAGAGTCTTAATTAGAAATCAGTTTAAAATAAACAGTAAAATTACATAAATAGGTAATTTTTATAGAAAAAAATACACAATTTTTAAAAATAATATAATCTATAGATAATAATAATAAAAAATATAATATTTTTTTGTAATGCAGGTAACGTTGCGGAGTTTAAAAACTTTAATTGTAATGGTTCATCCCTTCTGTGGTTTTCAATATTTGGTCCAAATTTGAAGTAATGTAGAAAAAGATTTGTGTGGCGAAATATTTGAAAAATCTCCAATCATATATCGGACTCACAGTGAAATTGTAAGTTGCGTGAATGTGCCTTACTTGTAGGCAATTTGTAATATATCCTAGTATATTTAATAGTAAAAATTAAATACATTCTTCACTAATTCATTAACTTATCAAGTTTGTTATATTAACTTAAGTAATGATTTTTATCCTTTTCAACACCCACTTTTATTAAAACTGTTCTTTGAAAAAAAAACTTTTGTTGCTTGAAAGTAATTCAATTTACTGTAAATTAAAGTACTAATCAAATTCTTTCAATTATTTATTTACTTTTTTCATAGAAACCAATTTTTATCAACTTCCCCTAAAGATTTTAATTATTTTCAACAATTTTTTTAAAAATTCTCCGAGAGAATTCAATTATTTTCAAGATTTTGATAAAATTAAATAAAATGTATAGAAAATCAATTATTATAAATACAATTTTAATTAAATTTCTCGGGGGGAATTCGATTATTTTAAATGCAACTTTAATAAAATTCTTTGAAACAATTCAATTATTAACAAGAATTTCAAAAAAATTTTTCTAAACAATTCAATTATTTTCAAAAATTTTAATAAAATTCATCGCAAGAATTCAATAATTTTCATAAATTCTTCATAAATTCATAAATTCATTTCATAAATTCTTCGCTGGAATTCAATTATTTTTAATACAATTTTAATAAGTTTTTCCGAAATAGAATTCTCTGCAGAAATACAAATAATTTTTAAAAATTAAATTTTAATATAATTCGTAGAAATTTAATTATTTAAAAAAAATTTTAACAAATCCTTGGAAGAAATTCAATTCCTTTGTTAAAATTCTTTCTAAAAGTTCAATTATTTCCATACAAATTTTAATAAATTTCTCATAATTCAATTATTGTAATAAATAATAAATTTTTTCGCAAGAATTATCAATTATTTTTAAAAATAATAATTTCTTCATCAAAATTTAATTATTTTCAAAAATTTTGATAAAATTCTTATTTAAAAATCCAATTATTTCAAAGCAATTATAAATAAATTTCTTGAAAGAATTTAATTATTCTGAAAGTTTAAATAAAATTTTTCGAGAGATTTGAATTAATTGAAAAAATTTTGTTTAAATTCTTTTTAAGAATTCAATTCTTCACAGGAATTTAATTTTTTTTAAATTTTTAATGAAATTTTTATAAACAATTCAATTTATTTCCACTAATTTTAATAACATTCTTCGAAAGAATTCAATTATTTTCAAGATTATTATAAAATTCATCGTAAGAATTCATTTATTTCTAACAAGTTTAATAGAATTTTTCTCAAAATTTAATTTAATTAAATTTTAATAAAATTTGTAGAAATTCATTTATTTAAAAAAAATTTTAAACAAATTCTTGAGAGAAATTCAATTACTTTGGTAAAATTCTTTCTAAGAGTTCAATTATTTAATTAAAAATTTAAATTTAAATTTTTCGTAGTTCAATTATTGTCATAAATAATAAATTTCTTCGCAAGAATTCAATGGTTACTTTTAATTCAATTTTAATGTAATTTCTCGGATGAATTCAATTATTTTTTAAAATATTAATTTCTTCGCCGAAATTAAATTATTTTCAAAAATTTAGATAAAATTTTTATTTTAAATTAAACTATTTTAAAGCAATTTTAAATAAATTCCTTGGAAGAATTTAATTATTCTTAAAGTTTTAATAATATTTTACGAGAGATTTGAATTATTTTTAAAAATTTTGTTTTCAATTTTTCACAGGAATTCAATTTTTAAAAAATTTTCAATAAACTTTTTATAACTTTTTATTTTAAAAATTTGTATAAAAATTTTATATGAGAATTCAAATATTTTTAATGAATTTGAAAACAATTCAATTATTCAATTCTTTGAAACAATTCAATTATTTTAAAATACTTTTATAAAATTCTTCGCAGAAGTTCAATTATTTTTTCTATTTTTAACAAAAAATTTTCAGAAATTCCCTTAAATTGTAATTCTTCGCTGGAGTTCAATTATTATTAATATAATTTTAATAAAATTTGTTGATATTATTTCATTATTTTCGAAATTTTTAATAAAATTTTACATGAAAATTCAATTATTTCCAAAAATTCAACTTTTATGAGAATTCATCAGAAGAATTTATTTATTTTCAGAAAATTTGATATAATTCTTTGGAAGAATTCAATTATTTCCAGTTCTCAATTTTAATTTAATTCTTAGATTATTAAATTTTTTCAAAGTTGTGTTAAAATTTCTGTATAAAAATTTAATTGGATTTAACGAATTTAATTTTAAGAAATTCTTCGAAATAATTCAATAATTTTTAGTAAAATTCTTTATAAGAATATCAAAATATAACAAAAAAAAAAAAAAAGAAATTCGTGACATCATTTGTAGACGCTCCTTTTGCATGAATAGAAATTAGGTTTTCTACAATTATTATTAAGTAATTAATTTTTATGTTATGTACTAATAAATTATATTCTGATTTCTAATCCGAAACAATTAACAATTTCGTTAATTTTAAAATTGAAATCTATATAAAGAAAAATTGTAAAAAAAATCCAACAAAAAAACTGAAATATATATAGTATATAAATATACAACAGAATACAACGATTATTAATATAGAAGATAGATTAATGCTATTATTATTTAAAAATAATTATTACTATTATTTTTTATATTAACTATTACAATTACCAGTAATAATAAACAATTTAAATAATAAACAATTAACAAAAAGACTTTAATTAATTAATAACAAAATTTCATTAATAATTAACTTGATTAGAGAAGTTTCGTCAATGGAAATTAGGAAAATGGAAAAGGGATAAAAAAGATTGAAAAAGAACAAAATTGTGAAAACGAATTCTGTATAACTGTATATTACATTATTATGGTAAACACAATTGTCTTACAATTTACCAGAAATTATAATCGGAATAGTGATAAGAATAATACTAGCTACAATTAGATTTCGTCTGTACATTATGTATATACGATACATTTTGAAAAAATTCTATACACTAATGATTATTAAAAATTAAAATTTAATAAGAATGAGAATCGCGACACTTAACAAAGGGGACTGCACCTTCATTTCGAAAGATTTTCTTTTTTTTCTCTTCTACAAATACAACGATTTGTTTTATTTTTTTCATTTTTTTGGAAGAATGATAAAAAAAGAAACATTCTTTTCTCAATTTCTCGAATTTGTATCTTATAGAAGATTAATATTGTTTTTGTTTTGTGTCTCTTTCGAAGATTTTACATTACAAAGGCACTGTACACATAAGATAAGAGCGCTAGAGGCGGTCCAAAGACATTTTTTTTTATTTCCTTCTTTTCTTTCTATTATTAAACAGTAAAATTGACCTGTTTAAAAAATATCTAGTTTTTTTAAAATTATAATTGCTTATAATTAATAATTAGGAGCCGCCTCCCACATATCCGAGGGCATCGATTCTTATTTTTATTATTTGCTTATTTTTCTTTTTTTTGTACAAATTTATATATTTTTTTTTACCCATTATTTTTTATTGTGTGAAAATATTGTTTCTTTCCCAATTTTTTTTTTCTAAATTATCGATGCGATCGGTGATTAGGGAAACGCACCTGCAAAAGGTGGGTTTTTTTTCATGTGTATCACAATTTGGCAGTGAACATTCTCACATCGAAATTCAGTTTACTTTTTTTTCGCCTACACGGGATGTTAATATTTATTACAAATTAATTTAAAAAATATTTTATTATATCTTTTTATCATTCGAAAAAAATACATTTCTGTTTGCTTTTCCACGTAATTCGATTTATTTTGTGAAGAAGTGTTAGAGAGAATACAACTCAAGCCTTCTGTGTATTCTGTTTTCTTTTTTTTTTGTATCTATTCGTACTATTAATAGCGAAAATAGTGATTTTTTTACTCACTGCTTTTTTTTAATTATTTGAAATTTATTTGTGGCAGATTTTTTTTTTTAGTTGTACAAAATTCTGTGTTTGGTATCAAAATACAATTTTTCCTTTATGAGGAGGTTTTTAAACATTTACGCACACAATTTTTACGGCCATTGTTCTTTTTTTTCCTAGCGATTGTAAATATCGTCCACACTTTCTTTCTAACTCGAAAAAAGAATTATAGGAAAAGAAATTTTTTTGTATTTTCAAATTGCATTTGGTCACGAAAATTTCGAAAGAAATATTCGCTAATTTTTAATTCCTAAAATTGAAAATAAATTTTCTACATATATGAAAAGTAGAGAATTATTTTCTCAATATTCAATTGTTGCTAATTTATATTTGTTCCTTGATAAAGGATTACAAGAATAAAGTCTTGAAACTGAATCACTTGAGAAAAAAAATTGATTAATATTTTACACTTGTATATTATAATACAATAAATCGAATCACAATAATTAAAAAAGTATTATTGAACAATAAATTAAATACAGATGTCAAATCGATTTAATGATTTTTTTTTAGCTATAAAAACCAATCTTCGATGCGGCGAATCACTTGATAAGCTTTGAGATGACAAAAAAAACATTTTCTTGTTTTTTGTCGAAGAAAAATAAAACAAAAGCAAAACAAGTAGTTCACTGCATTTGCAAATGCATTCTATGAATTAAAATTAAACTATACAATAATTACTTGAAACGCAATGTTCAAATAACAAAGTCACAGCGTCTAATTGAATTTTTCCTAATAAACTTAACTAACCATAATATAGATTTTTGATTATCTATGCTGCAAACAAGACAAATTTTTTTTTCTATACAATCATAGCTAATTAATAACGACTTCTAGTCGTGTTTTTTTATTTTATAATACAAGCAGCATAAATAATCTCATCATCTCATATACATTCATACACACTCTTTATAATCATACATCCAGAGAAAAAAAAAGCTTTACGAGCTTTTTTCCAATTCGAGTTCCGTCTATCTCGGTCCCTAAAATTCTTAGCATTTACAATTTTAAATATAATATTTATTTATATATTTATTTGTATATATTTATATATATTTTTATATTTTATATCTATATATTTTTACATAATTTATATTAAATCATAATCAAAGTTGTCATATCAGTCCCAAATATTGTTAGAAAACAAAATGAGTTTTCTATCAATATCATAACGTTGAGATCATTTCATGCCATTAAAATAGTTTCTGAATTATCTTTTTTTTTTGTTTCTAAGCTAGCGTATTGCTAATTAAACTATTATCTAATTAGGAAATGTATTTTACGATTGTTGTGAAAAATGTTTCGAGATATTTTTGGATTTTCGAAAAAATTTTCTTTTTTTTTTGTTTAATTCTATTTTTATAACTATGGACTTTCGAAAATAGTTTAGACACGGTTACGTTATTTTACGTTGCTTAATTCTTTTCTTTTTGTTTATTTTTTTTCGAAAATTAATGACGAAAAACTTATCAGCAAAAAATTAATTTTTGAATAGATTTGAAAAATTTAGCATAATTCGAAAAATTCTTTTTTTTGTGAATTAAATTCGTTTTTTTCGATTTGGAAAATTTTTCTTTTTGTGAAAATAAATTTCGTGATAGTTATCAAAACTGAGTTTTGATAAATAATTTATCACTAAATGAATTTTCTGGGTTTTTTTTTATTGAGTGAAATTCGTTTAACAACAAATAGACGAAATTTGTTTTTTAAAATTGAAATTCTATTCAATTCGCAAGGGAAATTAATTCATTTCTTGAGAAATTAATTAATTTTCTTTGATTAATTTTTCTTAAAAGAAGATTTACCAAATTTTGACATAAAATTCATAAACATCTTTAAAATTTTATTTATTTTCTTTTTTCATTTTAAATTTGTTGAAGTAAATTTTATCCAATTCTTAAGGAAATTAATTCCTTTCGTTAAATTTTTCTTGAAAAAGATCAAATTTTATCATTAAACGAATTTTTGTTGTAAATTCAATAAAATTCATTTAAAATTCAAAATTCACAAAATTCACTGAATAAATTGAATTTAAATTTAAATAAAATTTCTTTAAATGAACATCACTCACTTCTTAAGAAAAAAATGAATTTTCTCTGATAAATTTTTCCTGAAATAAATTTTATCAAATTTTTTTGAACAACATATTTTATATTCATTATTGTAGAATTTGATAAAATTTATCATTCACTTATATTTACGCAAATTGACGAATTCGTAAAAGGACAATATCTTTTTTTCTTGTGCTAATTACACTGTACATCATTGCAGGTTATTCGAAGTTTCTGTCAAAAAACTTCTTTTTCATTTTAAAACAAAAATTAAAACTTGAACAATTTTTTCTCATAAATTTGTGATTTTTTACAATTTTTTTCTAATTTCTTTCTGATTTTTTGTTTATACTTATAAAAGTAAAAACTCGAAAGATAGAAGAGTAAAATACTCCAAATTTGCAAATTTCATTCTCGAGAAATTTTCTTCGATTTTTCAATCCTGCTTTTTTCTAATCACGCATAAATATTTAGAATATTTATTCTACATTCCTGCAATAATTCTAAATTTTAGTTTAGAATTTTTTTCTCTAAACGGCATTCAAAATTATTTGTAACTAAAGTTTTGAACGTTTAAATGAACGACAATAATTTTGAATATTCAATTAAAATATTTAATTTAAATATTAAATTTAAGTATTCAATTCAATATGAATTTTGAAAAATTTGTCCCTATTTTTTGAAATTGTATTTTGAAAGAAATACGAAACAAAATACTGTTTTTGTATATTTTCAAAAAATAATTCGTAACTAAGTAAATGTTTAATTAACATTATTTATTCTATATTTTTTATTCGGTTGTTATTTTTATTTCTTATTTATATTTTCGAAGACATTTTATATTTTTAAAAATATAAAAAATGCTTCGTTTTACCTTAACGTTCAAAACAAATAATTTTAAGTAGTTTTTAAATAGTTTTGAATCCACTTTTCGAAATTGACATTTTTTCAATAAAAGAGAAACTTTTAGTAATTCCTTTTTATTTCAAAAAGAATTTCTTTTTTGTTAACTTCGATTAAAAAAAATGCCTTCAAAAAAGAGTCTTTAAAAAGATTTCGATTTTTCTAAAAAATTTTCAATTTGAAAAAGAATTTTTTTGAAAGTTCACTTATTGAACTTTTCAAGTTTTTGCAAAAATCTAAACTCGAAAATTTTTTTCTCCGAGTTTAATTTTTATCCAGTAACAATAACGTAGAACCGTTTACCATTTTTGAGCAGTTTTGTGTCTTCTTTATTCTAGTTTTCAACAATATCAACAATAGCTACATAGTCACGATTTTCATTAAATTTATCGTGATTTTAGAACATTTTTATTTTTTTTGCTTTTTAAATCATTTGGCAGTGAGCGATTTCATAGCACTTGCTTTATTTTCGTTATTTTATTATAACAAAGAGTCAAAAAAAGCATTTGATCCGAATTTTTAAAATTCAAATAGTGTAAAAAAAAACAATTTGCAAATTTGGTAAACGTCAAATTATCAAAATTTCATTGAATATTGAATGATTTGTGAAATTTTCAATCTTGAAATTTTCCGAGAGAAAACTTTTTTTTAAAAAAAAGAGAAATGAATGAATTTTTAAATTTTACTTCCCTGAGTCTTGGAAAATTTTCCAACAATGAAAACTTACGTTCAAATGATAAAATACATTGTAAAGTTTAAGTAAATATTTTTTTTTTTCGAAATTCATGCAAGATTTAAATAATAAATAGGAAATATAAGTACATACTTTATAAGTCTGATTAAATTTGTAAAAAAAAGAAATTTGTATTTTAAAACTTCTTTCAAAAGTTTATGTTCTTTTTTTTTTATCACAACAAGGATTATCGTCTTAAGCGTTAAAAAAATAATGAGCTATATTAGTAAATTCGTGATTTTTTTCTTTGAATTTCAATTATATGAAATTCAACAATTGATTGACGGTGTAAAAAAAATTGGGGTTCACTCTAAAAAGAATATTCAAATTTGAAAATTTCAAATTACGAATATTTCAATGAAACTGTTATTTTAAAAAAGAATTTTCCCTTTTTTTCATTGTAAAACTTTCTTATTGACGGAAAAAGTTTTTTCACTCGCCAATAAAGAACTCAAAGACCTAATATTAATCTAATTGCGCAGTAGAAAAGATTTTAAATACTCACGTTTTTTTTGTCCTATGATACAATGTGATTGTTTTTTTTTCTCATTTTTGTGAACAATTTTTGTTTGTTTACAAAAAATGATTTTTAAAAAATGAATTGTTCAAATATCACTTTTTTTAGACGGTATACTCAATGTACTCCTGTGTTACATGCCTCTCTCTTTTTTTTAGATATGGAAAAAAAAGATTGGTACCCGAGAGCTATGGAAAATATTTCTCTCACTCTCTCGTGGACTTGTCACAGGAATCGAAAGATATAGTCCGTAATTTTTTTTTTTTTAAGGAATTAGACTAAGCGTTTGTTTTTTTGTACAATTAGAACTAACTAATGATCAAGTTACGGGTAACTTTGAAATCGCGTTCAAACTTATAGGGAGCAAATTATCAGTCATCATTTTTTTCTCTAAATTAAAAAGAAAGAAAATGAATTGTGACATTTGCTCCTGTGACGCGTTATTCTTTTTTTTTATGTACAGTTCTCTCTTTTTTGGATAAAAGAGAATTTTCTGTACAAATCTGTTTTTTTTTAGCTCTCAGGTACATATGGATGCTTGTTGCTTATTTAAATGAGAAATATTTACAGAGATCGTACCACTTAAAGTTATTGAAGTGTACTCAAGTAGTCCAAATATCTGTGCTGCATGTAACCTCAGGAGGATTGAGTTGTTTGGACTGAATGAGCCGCCGCCGTTACTGCCGCTGACACCGACGCCGATGTCGCCGGAGCTGACAACGTTGAGTGCAATGAAAAACCATCGTAGACATCCATTAAATCGCGCATTCTGTATTCTTCTAGACAGACGAAACCCTCTAATGATGGCGCTTGCTTTCTTGCACAATCCATGCAGTGTACCACGTGCCGCTTTTCTTGCTCGCGTATGAACAGTATATTAAATACTTCAATCTGCGAAAAAAAGGAGAAAACAGATTAGTTTCAATAATTTATTCTTAAATTTCATATTTCGCAGAAAATTTATTTTCTCACTATAAAAAATTATTTTCCAATGTTTTTTGAAGAATTGTAACTAAAAATTAGGAAAATAATTAAATTTTACAAAAGTTATTGTATTTAAATAATTTAATTGTCGTTGAATTCTAACAAAAATTGATTTAAAAAAAGAATAAATTCACTTATTTTTGGAAGTTTAAGGAAAATTATTCGCCTGATCTGTGGCGAACTTGATCTAAAATTGAGAAATTAATTTGAAGTATAAAGAGAAGAAGAAAATATGGAGAATGAATGAAACTTACCTCACATTGTCCACAATAATGCGAGGCCTCATTCTTTCCACGTCCATGGAATCTGACCTCAACACCTTTACTCTTGACGAACTCGAGGATCAGACAGCATTGTCTCATGGTACGAAGGAGGCAATTTTTAACAAGCTCAAAAAGCCGAGGATCTGATACCTTTATATTTCTAGCTAAATTCCAAGATAAATGAACCATCGGCACTATAGATTTGAATGATTGTAATTTATTCCACTCGTAACGTTCAATAGCCAACTGGTATTGACGAGCGGTCAATGGTCCTACATTCCATGCGATATTATTGCACCAACCAACTGCTTGTACCCAGTGAACGCAACCTGCAATACAAAAAAGAGTTTATTCAACACTATTATTATTATTATCATTTTTATTATTATTAGTATCATCACCATTTATTATTAATATTCAGATTCATTTCTCTAAGTACATCTTTTTAAGTTTATACATTTTTATCCAATTTATTATTATTTTTTTTTAAATTAATTTTTCTTCGTCATTGAAGCTTTATAATTGTCTGAAATTAGAAATGTCTATGCAAAAAATTCAAATAAGAGAAAAATAAGCATTTTAAATTAAAATTTGTAAAGAAATTTTAATATAATTCTTATTTCACAATAAAAAAAAAATTTTCTGTTCTTAAGAATAAAAATCTGTTTCTCCTTTCTTTAGAATTTAATTTTTTTGAGAGAATAATTTAATTACTTTTTGTTGAACAAAACTAATTAAAAATAAATGCAAAGAAATAAAACTGATCTAATTAAAAAATTAAATTTTAAGGGACTTATTGGGAAAAATGTCAGCTTTCCAATGAAAATGATGAAAAAAAAATTAAATAAAGATGTAGTTTTTGTAAAAATTAAATATTTCTTTGATTTCTTTTATTTCAAGTTTTTAAAATAATAGGATTTGTTACTAATTGAAATTAAAATTTGATTATTGAATTATATCAAAATTTTTTTGAAATATTTAAATTCCTTCGAGAATTTTATAACAATTTTTTTCAAATAATTGAATAGATTCAAGAAATTTGATTAAAATACTGAAATAATTAAATTCTTTCAAAGAAATTCTTTAACTTTGTTAATAATTATCTGTAATTAATAATTTTTATTATTTAATTATATTACAATTATTAATAGAAACTTAAATTCTTTTGAATACTTTATTTTAATTTTTTTAAGGAGCAGTTTTGTAATAATTTTAATTAAAAAATTGAAAATAATTCGATTTTACAAAGAATTTTATTCAATTTTTTAAAATAATCGTGTCTGTTATTAATTATAATTAAAAATTTGATTACTGACTTTAATCAAAATTTTTTGGAAATAATTGAATCCTTCCCAGAAAGTATTCCATTTCTTAAAAATAATTCAATTTTATCAAGAAATTTTATAAAAGTTTTACTAAAAATAATTGAATTCATGAGAAGAAAATTTATTAGTTATGGAAATTATTGTCTTTCTGCGAAGAACTTTATTATTTCTCAAAATAATTGAATTCTAGTATAGAAATTTATTACAATTTTGAAAAATAATTGAATTTTTGCAAAAAATTGCATTATTTATGAAAATAATTGAATTTTTCAAAGAATTTCATTCAATTTTTTAAAATAATCATGTCTGTTATTAATTATAATTAAAAATTTGATTACCGAATTTAATCAAAATTTTTTGGAAATAATTGAATACTTCCCACAAAGTATTACATTTTTTAAAAATAAATCAATTCTTTCAAGAAATTTTATAAAATTTTCACCAAAAATAATTGAATTCATGAGAAGAAATTTAAAAGTTATGGAAATTATTGTATTTCTGCGAAGAACTTTATTAATTATCAAAATAATTGAATTCTAATAAAGAATTTTATTAAAATTTCGAAAAATAATTGAATTTTTGCGAAAAATTTCATTATTTATGAAAATAATTGAATTTCTGCAAAGAGTTTAATTAAAATTTTGAAAAATAATTGCATTTCTGATAAGAATTTTATAAAAATTTAATAAAATAAATTGAATTTCTGAGAAGAATTTTACTATTTATGAAAATAATTGAACTCCTGCAAGGAATTTTATTAAAATTTTGAAACATAATTGAAATCCTGAGAAGAATTTCATTATTTATGAAAATAATTGAATTCTTGTGAAAAACTTTATTATTTATCAAAGTAATTTAATTCTGAGCAAAGAATTTTATTATTTATTAAAATTAATTGAATTCCATACAAAAATTTTATTACTTATGAAAATAATTGAATTTCTGCGAAGAACTTTATTATTTATGAAAATAATTGAATCTTTGCAAAGAATTTTATTAAAATTTTGAAAAATAATTGAAATTCTGAGAAGAAATTTATTATTTATGAAAATAATTGAATTCTTGCAAAAAACTATACTAAAATTTTTGAAAACTAATTAAAATCCTGAGAAGAATTTTATTATTTATAAAAATAATTGAATTGTTTTGAAGAATTTTACTACTTAAGAAAATAATTGAATTTTTGTGTAGAATTTTATTATAATTCTTGAAAATAATTGAATTCTTGATAAGAATTTAATTATTTTTGAAAAATAATTGAATTTCTGTGAAGAATTTTATTATTTATGAAATGAATTGAATTCTTGCTAAGAATTTTAATAAAAATTTTGAAAATAATAAACAATAATAATTCATTATATAATTAATAAGCGAATTTTAAAATATTTTTATGAATCTGAAATTATTCGAAAACTGAAGTTGATATTTGAGAATAAAAAATGTAATTTTAACAGTAATAATAAATAGAATACTGCGTGTCGTACGTGTAACATTTGTTTGTTTACTATACAAAAATTAAATTAAATTAGAAAAATAACAAAAAATAATCATAAAAAAATAGAAAAATTAAAAAATAATTAAATACAAAAGTACAAAAAAATTGTCAAGTTTTGTAGAAGTTAAATCAATTTAAAAACGTCATTGTCCCTTAAAATTTTTGATTCGATCAGTTTACAAGAAACTGCTCTATGCAAGAAACAAAAAAGATCAAATAGAAAAAAGAACTCACCGGCATTAACCCAAACGAGATCACCAGGTCGTTGCAAAAACCTATAAACAGGAATGTTCTCCTCATAAAGATCTTCGAGTGAAGGCCACCAGCTTCCATGAAGATAATTAATATTATTCCGTTCGCACAATGCACAAATCACACCCCAATAAGCGTCAGGCACTGCGAACCATTCACAATCACCGGGACCAATATTGATATTAATTGAGCAGAAATTATTATTCTCCTGATGTCCAGGCGTACGACTTCCCGGTACTTTCATGTACAATTGAACCGTATTCATTCCCAGAATAACATGTCCCACATGACTCAACATATTGCCCGCCGAGACAACTCTCGCGAACGCCGGCAATTTCATCAACTCCTGCAATTGTATCTTCCATTTTCTCTCGTCCGACAAATCCACATTTGTACCGAAGCGCAACATTTTCGACGCTGGCCTGCCAACAACACCATAGGCATTCTTCTTTCGTCTCACAACTCCCGTACTGTCCTTCGAATCCGAATCCGACAAATTCGACGAATGAATACCCTGCGTCTTGTCTCTCTCCTCCTTCAAACTCTCCTGAAAACTGGAAGCCTGATAGTGAGCGTACTTGGCAATTGTCGTGTGACTCCTGTGACTGATGCAGCCCCAAACACGACGACCCATCGACTGATCCCAATTCTCGTCGCTCGTCTGTTGCATTTGCGTGCGAACCTCAATTCCATGATCGGGATTCGCCTCGACAAGTGTTTTCGTTGAGAACAGACCGAGATCGAGTTTCAAAGCGGCCGCGAGACCACGAACCACGGCTATTGGATGCTTGAGGCAAAATTCCTGTAATTGTGGACTGAACGCGTCTTTTTTATTCTCGAGATAGACACTCGGTGTGGAGGGCAAAAGTTGTTCCTTGGTTAACCTTTGAGTTGGTGGATCGGGCGGCGCTGGCGGTGGTGAACGATCGCTCAATATCGAGCAATTTGGCACGCCCTTCAAACCCTGACCCTTGCACGCCTCGACAATTGCCTTTGAATCCATCTCGACACTGAATTCCTGCTCCTGTTGAGATTCACAGAGACTTTCAAATTTCAGAACTGACTCGACTTTATTTGTACTCGATGTTGCTTCGCATTTCACGGTCATTGGTTTCATTCCCTTGAGGTCGACGTGTGACGTGCTCGAGGGTTGCACGTCCTCCTTTTCGAGTTTCACCTCCTTTAGTTTCTCATTGCTGTCCTCGAGATTCGAGGGCGAGAATGGACCGGAACTCAAGGTGCCATTGTTCATGATGTTCGGCGAGACGTCCTTCTCGTCGAGATCGTCGGAACCAAAGTGTTTGAGCAAATCCTCGGCTAGTGAGGTGGCAATGTCCTTTTGAGAGAGGAGGGCCTGGAGTTCTTGATCTGTTACGCCGAGGTCCTTGTTGTTGGCGGAGGAACCCTCTGGATAGCAACTCGTTGTCGACGATATCTGAGTGAAACCTTGACTTCCGTATTGATTGGATTGGTATTGATTTTGATATTGACCGGGGGTTGGTTGTCGGGGTGGGAAATTTGGATCAGAGGCCGATTTGTAAGGCATGCCTGCTGGTTGTTGAGTATTTCCAGTCGCCGCTGGACTGTAACCCACGGTTGAGTCGGAAAATCCAGTTTGGAGTGCTACAGTTCCGCCCTGCTGGAAATAAACAATCAGAAAATTAGACTCGTGTGTATTTTTCCCACCACAATTATTGTATTTTAATAGATTCTCTTTTAGAGTTGCCAGGAAAATTTAATTTTGTTTTTCCCGAAATATTTTTTCTCATTTACAGATAAAATTTGGATTTTTTCCCGAGACACTAAAGAATTATTCACTTTAATTAAAATTTTTTATTCTGATTCACTTTAAAAATTGATTTGTTTCCTAAAGTTCGTTGTGAAGTTGTTGAATTTTAAGAAATTCGGTTTTTCGAATTTTTGATATTTTTTAATTAATTAATTATTATTTTTTTCCGGTCAAATTAAATTCCCGGCTATTTCCTGATTTTCCAGATTGGTAGAAACTAGTTAGTCAGCTAGTTATAAGAATTTTGTAACTGCAAGTTGTAAGGAATTATATCAAAATCGTTAAAAATAATTAAATTATTTCGAAGAATTTAATTGAAATTCTGATAAAATAATTGAACTGTTTTGGAGATTTTTACAAAAATTTTCGATAATAATTGAATTTCTAAGAAGAATTTTACTTTCTACGAAAATAATTGAATTCGAAAGATAAATTCTATTATAATTTTTCAAAATTATTTTAATTGTTTGGAAGAATTTTATTAATGTTGTAAAAAATATTAAAATTCATTCAAGGAATTGAATTAACATTTTCCTCAAAAAATATTATATTATTTTGAAGAATTTTAATAAAATTTTAGAAAATAATTAAATTCTTATAAAGAATTTTATCAAAATTTTAGAAAATAATTGAATTTCTTCCAAGAATATTACATAAAATTTTTTTAAATAATTGAATTCTTTCCACAAAATTTTATCATTTATAAAAATAATAAAATTGTTTTGAAGAATTCTACTAAAATTGTTAACACTTATTTAAATGGAAGATTTTTATTAAAACTTAAATTCATATAAGGAATTTATTTTGAATTATTTTTGTATGTTTGAACAAATTTTAATACAATTTTTGCAATTAATTGAATTTCTCAGAAGAATTTTATTAAATTTTTTAAATATTATCAAATTATTTCAAAGAATATTATTATATATATGGAAATAATTAAATTTTTTTCAAGAATTTTGTTGAAATACTGGAAAATAATTGAACTGTTGCCAAGAATTTTATTATTGAAGAAAATAATATAATTTTTGTGTAGAATTTTATGAAAATTCTTGAAAATAATTGAATTCTTGCTAAGAATTTCATTATTTTTAAAAATAATTATAATTAATACGAAAAAAATTTAACTCTTGCTAATAATTTTATTATTTTTGAAAATAATTGAATTCTTGTGAACAATTTTATTAAAACTTTTAAAAATAATTGAATTTTTTACAAAGAATTCTATTATTTATAAAAATAATTGAATTTTTGTAAAGAATTTTTCTTGAAAATTAAATTCTTTCTATGAATTTAATAAATAAAATTGAATTATTCAGATGAACTTTAATAAATTTTTTGAAAATATTTAATAATTGAGAAAAATTTTTGAAAATAATTGAAATTTGGACAAGAATTTTATTAAAATTTTTGGACATAATTTAAATAAATAAATAAATAAATAATTGAATTTCCTAGAAAAAATTTTTTTTTTAGAAAGATAATTGAAATTTTGAAGAGAATTTTTAAAAAATGTTTGTACATAATTGAATTTTTGTGAATAATTTCGTTACTTTTGAAAATAATTGAAATTCTGCAATCATATTTCAAAAGCCTATGTTCTTTAAAATTTCTAATTAAATTCATTCAAAATTGAAATTTTCTAAAATTTCAAATTTTAATCCTTTTGAAATTTAACTATGCGTAAAAATTGCAATCGTAATTCTTCCAAAATTCAATTACTTTTTAATTTTTAACTTAAAATTATTCACTGATAATCTTAAATTAATAATTTATGTAAGTTCTTCGATATTTAAATTGTTCGAAATTTTAATTGCATAATTATCTAAAATTCAATTATTTTCCAGGAATAGAACAACATCAAGTTGTTTTATTTAAATTCGTGGTATTTTCAAAGTTTTTAAGGTGAATAAAAATAAAATTGAAAAAGAATGAAATAATTTTTAATAGAAGAAGAATTGGAAAAATTGCAAAATTACCGGTTGTTGAGGTAGACCATAGTTTTTAATAACGCCCGGTTGTCCTGGCTGGGAATGTGTGTAGCCAGCGGGATAACCAGGTTGACCAGGTCGTAATCCTCGTGGTGTGGCTTGTTGTTGCTGCTGTTGTTGTTGCAGTCTCGTTTGCTGTTGATGCTGCTGCATTGCACGATACTGGTGCTGCAATTGCGCCAAAAGCGCTTGTTGCTGAGGCGATAAGCTGCCTTGATTCTGTTGCAAACATTGTAACATTTGCAATTGTTGAGGGCTTAAATAAAATGAGGGCGGCCTTTGTTGTCCACAAGGCGAAATGGCATCGTCTCCCGTCTGTATAACCGAAAAACAAATTATTGTTAAAATAATTCATTAAAAAATTTATTTATTATATTTATCTATTTTCTTTTTACTTATTTTTTTATTTATTTATTATATTTATTTTTTTATTTATTCATTATATTTATTTTCTTTTTACTCATTTTTTAAAAATAATTTTTCCAAATTACTTTTTCAAACCAGAAATGAAAAAATAGTTTATTCTCGATTAAAAAGAAATGCGAAAAAAGGCTGTTTGATAGTTCAATCTAAAATTATCGACAAATTAATAAAATAAATAAAAATAAATTTCTAAAATTCTTTGGAATTATAAAAAAAAAAAGTTTTGAACTTGTTTCAAGAGTGGAAAAAATTCAGAAAGGAAATAATTAGATAATGAAGAAGAATAATAAAATAAAAGAGGGAATAATTGTAAATTTCGCGAGTGTACCTTAAATCTCTTAACGTTAGCTGCTTGTCCTTGTCCTTGAGGATAAGGGGGTGGAGGATGTGCCGGAGTTCCGCCGTACCTGCAACCGGGACCTCCAGCAGCTGGCTGCTGTTGCTGTTGTCTGCTAGACATTTCTGCGCTAATAGGCAGATTCCAAGCTTCATCTATTGGCGGCAATTGCCGTCTTCTGCGAGTGATCAACAAAAACAAAATTACAAACCACTTTCACCAATTATTTATTTATTTATAATTATTTTTTGTAATTCATTTTTAATCAAAAAAATACAAAAAAAGTAAGAATAAATTTAATAAATAAAATTTAGTACGGCAAAAATTTAAAAAAACCTGATAGTAGGATAAACATTTTTTAAATAAATTTAATACAATAATTATGAATTTTCAGGGTGGTCACAAGTTTCAGTTTATCAATTTCCCTGACATTTCCCTGACAATTTACTGACATTAAAATTATTTTCCCTGACAAAATTTTTTTTTTATATGAAAGTTTACGGAAAATGAGTAAAATTTTTATTGAAATTTAATAATTTCTGAAAATTACAACTATAACCCTTTCTGAATTCAATTATTTTCTATAATTTTCAACTAAATTTTATCTTTAAATCAATTTTTTAAAATAATTTTCTGACAGTTCTTCGAGAATTAAATTATTTAAATATGAAAATTCAATTTTTTATAATAATTGTAACTGTAACTTCGTGAAATAAATATAAAAAACACAAACAAAATTAAAATCATAATAATAACTTCGAAAAAATACTAAAATTAAAATCAATTATTGAATAATTTGAAAAGTTGGAAATTATTTTTTAATACTTGAACGGAAATTGTTACTATAAAGACTTGAAATTTAAAAAGAAAAAAAAGAAAGAAAAAGTAAAAATCAAAAACGTAAGTTTTTGATTTTTCTTTTTCTTTCTTTTTTTTTCTTTTTTCTTTCTTTTTTTCATAAAAAATTATGATAAAAAAATTCTAAGAATTAAGTAGTTTTAAAAATATTTTAATGTAATTTTTCGAAAACAATTGAATTTCTTAAAAGAGTTTTTGTAGTATTTAAAAAACTAATTAATTTTTTGATGAACTTTAATGAAATATTTTGAACATAATTTTCTTTCTCCAAAATGTTAAAAATAATTCTAAAATGTTATTGTTTTTTATGTATTTTAATTTTCAGAAATATGTTACTAAAAGTATTGAAAATACTAAATTTTTAAAAATTAGAAGCCAATTTTCATTCATTTTTATTTTTAAATTTACTTTTAAAGATTTTTCATTAAAATTTTTGATAATTCAATTAATTTTTAAAATTTGCAATTAAAATTCTTCAAAAGTTGATTTTCAAAAATTCTAATAAAATACTTGGAAAAAATTAATTATTTTCAATTACATTTTATAAAATTTCAATTATTCAAAATCTTTTTAATTGTATATTTCGAAAGTCGAAATTTTTGAAAATAAGTCGAAAAAAATTTTAATTTTCTAAATTTCCCTGACAAAAAGAATTTTTTTCCTGGCATTTCCCTGACAAAAATTTTGTTTACCTGACATTTCCCTGACTTTACTGACATGTGGTCACCCTGATTTTGATAAATTAAGAGAAAATTGCAGAAAAGAAAATGTAAAAAAAGTAATAAATAAAATATCATTTTACAGTTCAATTTTGTTAAAAGAAAAATAAAAAAATATTAATCTACAGTTTAATTTTGTTAACAGAAGAATAAAAAAGTAGTAATAAAATTATTAATTCACACTTTAATTTTGTTCGAAGAAAAATAAAAAAATTGATTCACACTTTAATTTTGTTGGAAGAAAACCAAAAAAATTAATTTACAGAGCTTAATTTTTCTTGTAAGAAAAAATTTCTTAAAAATTTCTTAAAGAACTGATTCTTTTGTGAAGAATTTGATATTTTTCGAAAGTGAATAATATTCAGTCTTGCGAAGTATTTTACACGCAATAAAAAAATAATATTTTGCTTACGTGGTAGCAACGGAAGGCATTGGGGCTTGACACAGATGATTTTGCAAAAAGTTGATGCGCTGCCGAAGAGATGGGTTCATCGAAGCGTTACCACCAGATTTAGCACCTCCGATGTTTATCAGCGAATTTGTGCAATTTGGTGTATTATTATTGCCTCTGTGTAAATAAAACATAACCATAAGTTAAATAGTTATTCTCTCAATTATTACAAACATATATTTTCAGTACAACAAGAACTTTTATTTTTTTTCTTCATACATTACTTATTTTATTATTTATTCACCAATTTATAATTATTATTATTAAACACTATATTATTGACAATAAACAAGAATCTTGAAATATAATCTTTTCTCTTAGGAAGCAATTGTTAATTGCTTCCTACAATTCTTACAATTGCTTCCTAAAATTAAATAAATTAAATTTAACAAATTAAATTGAATAAATTAATTAAATAAATTACATTAAATTCATTAAATTGAATAAATTAATCAAATAAAATATATTAAGTTAGTTAAATCGAATAAATTAAATTAAGTTAATTAAACTAAATTAATTAAAATAGAATAAGCATCTAAACTATAAATATTAATAATATTGCTTATAAGCTATTGCATTACAGTTTTTTGATTTATTAGAATTTGAGAAATTTTTGAATTTATTGAAATGATTAAAAATGACTAATTGGTTAGAATTGAAAAAGATATTGAATCGAATGTAAATTGAATTGAAATGGAATAAATATATTATCGATAAATGAAAAGTGATGTGAATGAAAAACAGTCAAAAGTCAAAACATTGACTAATTTATGAATTACCTTGAAGCATTAATATAACAAGCTAGAGCGTCCTTGGGTTGACTGACACTTTCATACAAAATTCCAAGATTGGTCCACGCAGCTGAATGAGATTTATCCAATTGTACAGCACAAATGTATGCTTGTAGTGCATCTGTAGGTTGATTCTGCTGTTGATAAAGTACTCCTATACTGCACCAGGTATCCGCATTACTTTCAGACTTTTCCACTGAATTTCTGCAAATAAACATTAAATTAGAATCATTAGTCTTCATCACATTTAATAATATTTCGAAAAATAACTTTTTTGGAAATTCATTTCGAAATTAATTTAATTTTGGAAATTAATTAATTAATTAAATTTTAGAAATTAATTATTCGTATGCCTTATTAATTGACGACTAGTTAATTAATTAATCGACTAGTCGTTGACTAGTCAATAAGTTAATTTTTATTCAAAAAAATTAAAATACTTGTAAAATTAAATAAGAATGAAATAATAATTAAATTATTTATATTTAAATAAATATTTGGCAATTATGATTATTATGGTAATTATGTAATTATTTAGATATGACAGGAGCTCCTTATTTGCATAATTTACCAAAAATTCAATTAAATATAAAAATTTCCAAACGTAAAATATTTATTAGTAATAATAATATTTCCAAAGTTCGAAAGTTTCAAATGAAGGGAATTTATTCCTTTGATTCAATTAAAAAATTTATCGTAATAATTTCGCGTCGAGTATTAAAAAAATAATTTATAAATTTTTAAATTCTGAATAAAAAATTCAAAAAGAAAAAAAAAGAAAAAGTAAAAATCAAAAACTAACGTTTTTGATTTTTACTTTTTCTTTTTTTTTCTATTTCAATTTCGAGTCTTATAGTAAAAATTTTGCGTCAAGTATTAAAAAAATAATTTCCAACTTTTCAAAGTATTCAAATGATTGATTTTAATTTTATTTGTTTGTTTTTGATTTTTATTTTACACGAAGTAATTTTTCGAAAAATATTTCTAAAAATATTCCCTTCATTTTGAATAATTCGAATTTTTTTTTAGCACTAATAATAGTAATAATAATAATAAAAATGAAATAATCAATTTACCTATAAGCAATGAAGGCCTCGTGAATTTTTCCAGAGGCAGCAAGACAGCGTCCTAGTAAATAGAGACTTTGTCCACTTTTCGGCTCGGCTTCTATCGACTTCTGAAGACACTGAATAGCAATATTTTGTTTATGCTGCCTCGGAAGAGTTATACCCAAAAGATGGCAGTCAACAACATGGTACATCCATCCTGGAAAAGTGAAAATTACATTTATTAATACGCAAGTACATTTTGAAATTTGAGGTAAATTTTCTTTTCTTTAAATTAGCCGAAAAATAAAATTTAAATTTAAAATATTTTATGAATTAAAAATAAAATTAGTTGCATATGTAAAATAAAAATTATTCTAGAAAATTTGATAAACAAGTAAATTCAAATTACTAAACATATTTTTAAATTTAAAATGTTTTGCAATATTTATTAAATATTTGAAAAATATTTTTTTGAATTTTATTTTTGATTTCTATTATTTTGATAAAAATGAACTACAATTTCAATGGTTTTGGTGTAAATTCTTTACAAGAATTCAATTATTTTTATATTTAATAACATTTTTAGATAGAATTCAATTACTTTGAAGAAAATTGTAAACAAATTTCTCGAAAGAATTCAATTTTTAAAAATTTTTTAAAAGAATTCAATTATTCTCAAAAAATTTTCAATATTTAAAAAAAAATTCAATTATTTAAAAAAATGTTAATAACATTCTTTAAGAGATTTCAATTATTTTATTATTATATTTTAATAAAATTCTTCGGAAGAATTCATTTATTTTTATAAGTAATACAATTTTTGGATGTAATTCAATTACTTTTAATAAAATTGTAAATAAATTTCTCTACAGAATTCAATTCTTCTTAAAATTTTGATTACAAATTTTAAAATTAAATTTTTTTAAAAAATTTAAATAAAATTCTTCCCTACAATTCAATTATTTTGAAAATTTTTAAAAATATTTTGAAAAAAATTCAATTATTTTTTTTAAATCTTACAAAATTCTGAATAAAGATTTCAATTCTTTTATTACAATATTTGAATAAAAATCCTTCGAATGAATTGAATTATTTTTAAATATTCAATTTAAATTAAATTCAATTATTTTCAATACAATTTTTATAAAACATTTTGAAAGAATTCAATTATTTAAAAAAATTTTAAAGGAAATTCTTTGAAAATTTTTTAACAAAATTCAATGCAAGAATGCAATTTTTTTGAGAAATTTTATTTAAATTTCTATAAGTAATTGAATTTTTTCGAAAAATATTTCTAAAGTTGAATTGAAATAATTTAATTTTTGAGAAGAATTTTATTAAAATTTTTGTAAATAATTGAATTCTTTAGAATTTTATTAAAAATTTTTTAAATAATTGAATTTTTTCAAAGAATTTTATAAAACATTCTAAAAATAATTGAATTATTTTGAAGAATTTATTAAAATTTGTAAAAATAATTGAAATCTTTTTGAAATGTTATCAAATTTGTATTAAAAAATGTTGTTAAAATCTTTGATAATTGAATTTTTTGCAAAAGATTTTATTAAAAATTTAAAAAAAAATAATAATTTTAATTTACTAATTTATTACTTTTCATAAGTAGGTGAAAGTAAAATTTGAAGTTGTACTTATATAATTCTTTTTAGAAAATAGTTAAAAATAAAATTGAAATTCTTTAAAAAATGTGACATTGAAAATTCTTCTTAGAAATTCAATTATTTTTTATAGTTTTAATAAAATTCTTCAAATAATTTTAATTCTTACTTAGAATTTTGTTAAAATTTTCGAAAGTAATTAAATTATTTCGAGAATAATATTTAATTTTTGTGAAATAATTGAATTTATTTTTGAAATTGTACATAATTTTTATCAAAATAATTGAAAATAAAATTGTCAAATATTTATTAAATAATAAAAAAATGTTCACTAATTAAAAATAATTTACATCACAATTTTGAAATTGTAGACAATTTTTATCAAAATAGTTGATAAATGATAATAAAATAAAAATTTGTCAAATATTCTTCAGATATTCAATAAGTAGTAAAAAAAAGGAAAGAAGAATTAAAAATGACACAATTAAAAATAATTCACACCACAATATTGTAAATCACTTTAATAAAAATAAATGATTAACTCCACGAAATAATTTTTAAAATACTCCTTTGGATGAATTTCCCACAATGCAAACTGAACATATGAAACAGGAAACGAATTTCAGAAACAGCTGCCGAATAGAAGAGACTAGGAAGCTAAAATCTAAAGTTGAGAAGTGGTTCTTGAATTGTGGATCACACATTCTATTGTAATGCAAAACGAAACACTTTTTAAAGTCCTTTAAAACAAAAATTCCATCCCCCCCCCAAAAAAAAAGAAAAAACCAAAAATTATCCATCAGAATATTTCACAAAAAAAAAATTGTAATCAAACGAACAAATAGAAGATTAGATAAAAAGAAAGAGAAAAGTACCAACACTTGAATGGAAACTCTCGGACTAAATTCTGAGTTGCTCTTCACTCATCCTGTTATAAGGCACTATAAACTATGACCGAGAGAGAATTTCAGCTCCTGAGGACGATAGACGAGCACTAAACCTAAACTGAATAAGTTCTCGCAGGTATATAGCTAAAGCCCTACCTAGGGTGGCCACTGTTGCCCCACTCTCCCTTCTTTTCTGACTCGAATTACAACCCTCTATAAACATAGGCGTAGAAAACTGTCTAGGAATAGGCAACTGGCTGGGGTCGACGACAATCTTCTCCACTCTTGGTAATACGTGTCTACGTGACTACCCAGTCGTCCCCGATGTCGAAGACCCTTCAAAAATGGAGGATATATTTCTCTCCGATGCAACTATGAGCAGTGTTCCAAATTTTATAGTCAGTCCAAAAAAAAAAGAAAAATAAATTTGTCTATTTGTCATTAATTTTTTCATTGAATTTTCATACTAGAATTTTACTAACTGACAGTGTGCTTTTTAAAAAAATTCTTACTCTACTGATTTGTTTCGAATTTGAAATCGAAATAATTGCGAGATTAATTTAGTTCATTTTTGAAAATTACTTTAAGTTCGGAAATTTAATTAATTTTGGAAATTAAATTCATTTTAGAAATTAAGTTGATTTTGTAAATAAAATTCATTATGAAACTTAACTTAATTTCGAAAATTAAATTATTTGCGAAAATTAATTTAATTTTTGCAATCAATTTAGTTTTTAAATTCAATTTAGCTCTGAAATCAATTCAATTTACGAATTATATTTAATTTTTGGATTCAAAGCAAATTTAAAATTAAAATCAATTTAGAAAATCAAAATAATTGCCGAATTTTGATAAAATTATGCAAAATTAAATTTGATTCTCATAAAAATCAAGATCCACAAGATCCAATTTTATTCTGCAATCAATTCAAATTCAAAATTCATTTTAATTCTAAAAATAAATTCAAATTCAAATTTTGAAATCAATTCAATAGACGAATTTAATTTATAATTGCAAAATTATATTCAATTCTGAAAAGAATTCAATTACAGATTTTCCATTTAATTTTGAAATCAATTCAATTGTGAAATTCAGTTTCATTATGGTTTTCATTCATATAAATTAAAATTAAATTAAAAGTAAAAAGATAATTAATTTTCAATTTAATATCAATCTGAAAAAATTCAGTTTTAGAATTTAATTTAATTCTGGAATTATTTCAATTGCCAAATTTAATTTAATTCTGGAATCAACTAAATTCAAAATTTTAATTAATTTTTGAATCAATTCAAATCACTGAATTGAATTAATTTGCAAAATTAAATTAAATTAAAACAAAATCATAATCCTAATTCCATTAAATTTTCAATCAATTTAATTTCAAAATCCAATTTAATTTTGAAATCAATTCAATTGCCGAAATAAATTTACTTCCAAAAATAAATTAAATTCTCAATACAATTCAAAATAAAAATTCCATTTAATTTAGGAATCAATTCAATAACGGAATTGAATAAATACAGAATTGAATAGAATAAATTGAATTTCAATTAATTTTAAATTTAACTTTATTCTGAATAAAATTCAGTATTGGAATTTAATGTTTCTGGACTAAATTCATTTTCAAAATTTGATTTAACTCTGGAATCAACTCAATTATATTCTGTAAACAATGGAATTTCAGACTTTAATTGAATTCTGGAAGAAAGTCTATTTAATTCAATTAATTCAAAATAAATTAAGTTAAATAAATTGCATTGAATTTATTCCAGAAATGAATTGAACTTTGAAATTTAATTGACTCCAGAATTGAATTTTGCAATTAAATTCATTACAGAATTTAATTGAATTATAAAATTAAATTCTTGAATCAATTCAAGTTCCGAAATGAAATTAATTCCAGAATAAACTTAATTTAAAAATTTTATTTTATTCAGGAATCAACTCAATTTTAGAATATTCAATTTAATTTTTAAATCATTCAAATCGCTGAATAGTGTTTAATTTTTAAATTTAATTTAATTCTCAATAAAATTCAATTTTAGGATTAAATTTAATTCTTAATAAATATTAATTTTAAAATTTATTTTAATTCTAAAATTAACTTCATTTTTTGAGTTTTGTTTAATTCTCAAAACAATAAAATTTAATTACTAAATTTAAAATAATTGTAAAATTGAATGGAATTCTCTTAAGAATTGAATTTAAAAATTAAATTTATTTCGATGGAATCAACTCACTATTAGAGTTTAATTTAATTCTGAAATCATATCAATCCTTGAATTGAATTTAATTTTACAAATAAATTTATTTCTCCACAAAAATTTAAATATCATAATTTAGAATCGAAATTGAAAATTTTCAATAATTAAAAAAAATCCGAATTTCCAGTGATTTGAAATACATAAAATCGAATTTCTATTTAATCGAATCTGTAAAAATTCAGTTAAATTACGTCTTGATTAAATAAAAATGGAGTAATGGAAAAATTCTAATCAAAATTTTTCTGAATGGAAAATATGCTATATTTTACAAAATCTATGTCACAAAAGTCTAAAAAAATTAATTCAATAATTAATTAATGACCCGATTAAATAAAAATTAATCGCAGTTCAATAAAAAATAAAAATAAAATTCAGTTGAATAAAAAAATTAAATTATACAGATACAATTCCACTAAATATAAATTCTCTTATAAATAAAATCGCCCCAAA